TATTTGTGCATCCGTTGAACCGTGATCACGCGGGATTGATGTTGGGTCAAAGTAGTCAATCGCGGAGGCACGAACAGAACAAATCGTGTGACACAAAAAGAGAACAGCGTTGTCGACGACGCTTCAATCCATTTCAAAACTTGACGTGGGGTTCTTGTACTGTACAACCCTAATTTATTAACAACACAAACAACAGAACAATGTCTTCTTGGTTCAGCGCATTTAGCGACACTGTGGCCAGCGTGTCCGAAAAGGTTTCCAACGCCATTCCGCTGGACAGGGAATTGATTGATAAACTCACGCTCAATACTGACGAAATGAAGGCTACCCGGGAACAATTTGGAGAAGACGCTACTCGCAAGGCTGCTGCGAAAGACCTGCTGGCAAAAATGCTCCCTTGGGGTACCAACGATAAAGAACGAGATATTTTGGTGGACGAATGCAAGGAAGCCATTTTGGCGTTAAGTAGTGATGAGGCCACCTTTTATGGGCCGTTTGAAATGCCAGAACTCGATGTGAACATGGAGGAGGAGGAAGACGAAAAGAAGAAAAAGAGCAGCGAAAGTGATGACGAAGAAGAAGAAGAAGAGGAGGAAATAGTAGATGAAGAAGATGAGGAGGAGAAACGAAAACGACTATTGCCATCAGAAGAATCACTGGAAAAACTGGCACAACTGGAACCCCTGCCCCCGTTGTTGCAGGACTTTGATCTGGAGTGCCATGTTGGATTGATTCAAATGATATTGAAGGAGGACCCCAAACTGGTTGAAATGCAATCCAACATATCTGGTATGTTTGTTTGTGCTTGACTTGTATTGATTTCCTGAATAGAGTACTTTACTTCTTTGGATTCAGTAATTCCTAACCATCCTTTGATTTGCAGGTGGAGGCAAGAGAGAAGAAATCTTTTGGAGAAATTACTTTTTCCACTGTGCGTACACACGGTACGAAGCTGGATTGAGCATTGACGAAATTTGGTCTTTTTCACCGGAGACTGCGGAACCTGTGCCAGCTGCTGCTAAAACTGCAGCGGTGCCGCTAGAGACGAATGAAGCGGACGAGGAACAAGTGGTATTTGATGACAAGGACGCAGCATCACCGCAACCAGCATTTTCACCAGATGATACTGATACTACCGACGAAGCAACACCAGCAGAGCCAGCGGCGGAAACTCCAGAGGCTGCAGAAGAACCAGAAGCATTTGACCTAAATAATGGCGACTTCGATTTCTTGGACGATGATGATGACGACGATGATCAGGCAGCTACTGAGCCAGCGATGGATGAACTGGAAGCAGAAATTATGGCAGAATTGGAAGGCTAAGAGGATGATTGATTGTACACGTGTACACGTACCTATGCTTAGTCAATAGTATATGTCACTGCATGAATATACATACGGTAGGATAACAAGAAGAGTAGCAACTGCGTTTTGAATTTCCAAACACTTACTTTTTTATTCGTCTTAGTGAGTCTGTCTGTTGTCGTACTAAGTGTCGCAAAGTATAAGTGTGAAAACCGTACAGCCTCTAAAGTTGAACAATAATGAACCAACCCAAACCGTACAAACATAAAACCAACATCATGCCAACAGCAACCCCTGCAACCGCTGCAACCCCGGCACCGGCACCGGCGGAAACACAACCTCTCACGCCGCCCAAGGATGGCGTGGCTCCAACAGGAGCAGCCAGCTGGGAACCTGTAAGAAAGCGTTTGTTGGGGACAGACATCAAGGTGGCGCTTCAAGCCGCCATGGAGTTGCGGGAGGGGATCGAAATTGTCCACACTGTCGAATTTCCTATACTATTATCGGCGTTATTACCAGCATTTACTTCCATTCTCACTACAAGAACGACGCCCAATCCAGACGTTAACTCTCCCGACCACAAATTGCGCAATGTTGTTTTGGAAATAATATGTCGAATGCCCAGCAACGAGATCTTACGGCCACATGCTCCACACTTGGTAGCTGTTGCCTTGGATATTCTCAATAGAGACTTTGAAGAGAATGCACTATTGGCTTCCCGTATCATTTTCGACTTGTACAAGGTCTACCGGACACTTCCACAGGATTACGTCCAACCTTACTTGGATTTTGTGCTCAATTCCTATCGGACTTTGCCGACTTCGGTCCAACGCAATTTTCTATTTCCCGCCTTGGCAACAGTGCCACCCTCCGAAGTGCAATCCAAATCAAATACTAGCTTGGACATTGATGCCATGTTGGCGGGGGAAGATTTGTCAACGTCGGCCACTACCGAAGCAGGATCCAAGGAGAATACGCCTAAAAAGAGTGCTTCCACTGTCGTGGCAACACCCAGCCCCACCATTACCAAAATGGTCACTTCGCCCGTGCCCCGATTACTACCAAGATCGAATTCCTCTTTCCGCGTATTGACCGAATGCCCCTTGATTGTCATGCTCATGTTTCAACTCTATCCCAAATTTCTGAGGAGCAACATTCCAGGGCTCATCAATGTCATGATGGAAGCTTTGGCCCTGAGAGCCCCACCCATTCAATCCATCAAGCAGGGGAATCAAATGATGGATGCCAATGGGAAGCGCCTCTACTTTTCCAGGTGCCGAGAATTGGTGGCGGCCCAAGCCAAGACTTTATCCTTCTTAACCTACCTGCTGAGAGGATTCTCCAATGACTTGAAGCCGTATGAAGATCGATTGGCAAGCAATGTAGTAGCACTCATGTCAACTTGTCCAAGGGAATTTATTAGCACTCGCAAAGAACTCTTGGTGGCTACTCGGCACTTGTTGAATAGTGAATTCCGGAATGGATTCTTTCGGCACGTGGATGCGCTGTTGGACGAACGAGTATTGATGGGATCCCATCATCGGTATTCGGAACAAACCATTTTGAGGCCGTTGGGGTACACGACCTTGTCGGATTTAGTTCATCACGTACGATCCTTTTTGACCTTGGCGCAAATGTCAAGGGTGGTTTCCATCTTTGCTCGGGTCTTGCATGACTCGTCAATGACGTTGCCCATGTCGACACAGTATACAGCAGTCCGAACACTCTTGAGTATTTTGGATATTGTTTTCAACAACAAGGAGCGGGATCCACAAATTGGAAGAGACATTTTGGTACGGATACTACGGACATTGGTGGACAAATTGGCGGCTCTAGAAACGAGTCTGGAGACTACCACCAAGCAAGATGACAACAATGCTGGTGACGGCAAGGAGGGAGAATTGGGCAAGGCAGCACCTTCTAGCGAGGCATCTACGATACAGGGATTGACTCCGTCGGGTGATTCCTCCGAATCTCAAAGGGACCTAAAGAGTATGATCCGCGCCATTATCGTGGGACACAAGACCTTGATCTGGTACATTAACAACTATCGAATTCAACGAGAAAAGGAAAAATTGGACAATGCCCCACAGCGCTTTGGGTCCAATGAAGAAGTAGCGACTGCTCGATTGAAGATTACTCACACGGAACATGCATTGATTGAGAGGTTTATTGTATTGGCCTTTCCATGCATGAAGTTTTTGAAGGAGGAGAGTCCAGAAAATGAGAATCGAGCCAACAAGATTCCTTCGACGCCGGATCAATACCGCGATGCGCTGACGTACTTTGCAGCAGCCTTTTCGACTCTGGATGCTTATGATCTTCGACGGACCTTGGGCCGGCGATTGGACCTACTAGTGGATGCCATTACAGAAGACGCAATGCCAATCATTGTACCACGTCATTTGCTCGGGGCCAATGCCAAGACCAGTTTCGAATTTTGTACTATGCTTCTCGACTTCTTGGTGGAACGATTGGACGAATTGATAGTTACCAGGCCGAAAGATGTGTACTTTGTGCCACCACCAACAAGCTGCGGTGGCAACGAACGAGAACGATTAGAGCAGCTGTCCAGTGAAATGGACACTGTAATGGCGGAAGAGGAAAAACACAATGAACAGAGGTCCAAGGCTTATCTTCAATTGTTTGAAAGAGTACTGAAATCACTGTCAACATTTCCAGACAACGAGCGGGCGTTGCGACCGCACTTGAAGAAGCTAGTCTCTATTAGCCTTCGGTCCTCGATGGAAAAACCTGATTTCAAAATTGACAATCATTGCATGCTACTGCGGTATATCTTCCGGTCAATTTCTGCTGGAAAGTTTGAGGAGTCTTACAAGGAGATTTTGCCACTCATCCCAAGAGTTCTGAACGGACTGTTTCGGATATTGAGGTCGACGCAAGATGAAAAGCTACGAAATGTCATTATTGAGCTACTCTTGACAATACCGGCGCGTTTATCGTCACTCCTGCCGCACATGAACCTGCTTCTTCGTGTCATTACACACGCCTTAGAATCCTTATCTGGAGATTTGGTAAATTTGGGGTATGTTCGAATGATGACTCTTACTTCTTGGTCAGGTTGTATTTTACTCACAATATTCTTCCTTGCAGTCTTCGTACTCTCGAGTTTTGGGTTGACAACCTGAATCCCGAGTTCTTGTTTCCAGAGCTCTCCAAGCGCAATCATCAGTTCGCATGTCTGATGAAGGCACTCTCGCTGCATCTTCGACCAGCTCCGTATCCATATGGTCTCCTGACCCTCCGTCTACTAGGAAAGCTTGGCGGTAAGAATCGCAGGGTGCTGAGGGAACCAATCGATATCTCGGATGTGGATACCATACATCAAAATGTTGCAGAGCTTGGATTTGACTTTGTTTGGACCCTTCCTGATGAGGCGGAAGAATCAACCGACATGAAAGTGGACGGTACTCCTACATATTCAACGAACCCGTTCTCAATAGAAGTACCAATTATGCGTTGTTTCGAAATTGTCAAGAGGACAGCACTATGCCCAAGTGCAGCAAAGATCCAGAGACCCTCAAAACCTGGCGACCAATCGAGGGAACGAATCTCATGGAGAGAGAGTGATGAATTGTGGAAAGCTGATGTACTGAAGACCGACCTATTGGCGTATTGCGACGATGTCGTAAAGGAAACTAGCCAGAATCAGGTTGAAGCTGCGATGACAGTGCTTCGCGCAGCTTTGACGAAGATGTTTGTGGTTCAGAACTTCGAAATTAAGAAAATACATATAACGCACGACGAGGAGACAGCGGAACCAGCCGAAGACCGCCCTGTTGGAAAATCATTTGATATGCAATCGTCGTCACTAATACTCTCAGCGTACGAACATGATTTGAGGATGGTTGGACTCGGGTTGATGTTTGGTTGCACGATAGCAGAGATTGGTCAGGAGACAATTTCATTCACAAAGGGATTGCTCACAAACTGTTTCCTTCTTGTTTCGAGCCATCAGATGCACTTTGCAAAAATCGATGCCAATGGTTCTACATTGCACCGCCCTGCAACAAACAAATCAGATGGTGAAGGGCAAGAGGATGCTTTAAGTGTCGACTTCGAAGGAGGATCAGGTTTCCTGAAACCGTTTGGATACTTCGAACAGACAGGGCCCTTGCGGCATGTGACGAACCCGATGTTGCTGAATCAGTCACTCGTTGATTTATTGTCACAACCAAGTGTTGGGTGTATCGAAGTTGGAACCGAATTGCTGAAGCATATTTTGTCATTACCAGCGCAACTTGATGCCCAAACCGAGGAAAAAACAGAAGAGACGAAGGAAAGCGACACATCCGATCTGGGGCTAGGTTCGATAATATATTTCGAGCACTTGATGCGATCATTGATTGAACAATGCGTTTCAAGTGACTGGGATCGCCGGGACGGTCTGTATAGCAGCATCTGCCTGATGATTGAACACCTTGGTGCTTCTTGGGCAAAGAAATACGAATCTGAGATCATGTACGTCGCCTTATTCTCTGTAAAGAGCACCCCGAAGGAAATGTCAATCGCGGAAGTGAAAGCGTTTCATTTTATGATTCGGGTTACCTCGGGTCTCTATGGAACTCCAGCTTGCTTGAAGACACAGAAGGGGCAGTTTGTCTGCGATACACTTTCTAATCCAGATATGCAGGAATCCCAAATTGCACAAGAAACTCAAGAAACTAAGGAGAGCAACGAGTCGATTAGCAAACCATGTGATGAAGTGATCCAGTCGGTGATTGTGGAAATTGCTTCGACGAAACAAATTGTTCGGTAAGTGATCCATCCATCGTTTTTGCGACGCCGATTGGGATTTGAACTAAATTGACAATGGGATTGCAGACTAGCAGCGCGATATGTTTTAAAGCACTACATTGTTGGAGCTTTGCCTCCGAGCGCTTCGGTTGAGCTGCTTCGCAAATATCTGCCATCAATAAAGCGAGTCATTTTCTCGCGGTCGCTGCGACTGCTTCCACTCCTTGAACAGATCGGAGTTGTGGAAGCACTTTCTGTTATCGTCCAGCAAGTGCCAGATCTATTTCCTCTCGATGACAACCATCTCAAAGCGTTTTTGTCTGAGGTTTTGAAAATGTCGTCTGTTGCCGATGGTGAGATGACAGATGCAAGTCTGCTTGGCGACGTGATTGATAAGAACGGGATCGCAGTTTCTGCTCAAGCGAGACAGAGCGGGAATAGGGATTCTGACGCGTATGCATCGACATTTCCGTCTTCCGGACTTTTCCTACGTCGCGAGTGCATCATGCGAATCAGCGGGTCGAGGGTTGTGATTCCAGATGAATCGCCACCTGGCATTCAGTTGCGATTTTCCACAATAGCGCTGCTTCGCTTTGTCATAAGGGGTCATGCGAATTCCTTCTTTGACTCGGATTCGTCTACTCAAATTGGTACGTGCTGCCTTGTTGTTATCTAATCGTGATAACACTTGTTTCTAATCTGTTTCTCTTTGTCCTGTATAAAGGAAACATACGACCGCATGTCATAAGTCTTCTGTTCCGCTCGTTGGTGTCTCGACCGCTTAAAGCCGTTTCGTTTGCTCATGATGCACTTAAGGATGTTTTATCGCTGAGTGTTGTCGCTTCAGATGGAGCGGACGGCTCGAAATCGAAGTCCCGCTTGCGAAAGGAGCTACTGCAAACTTGCATTCGTCCAGTATTATTGAACCTTAGAGACTATACCAGACTATCATTGCATTTGCTGAGGGGTCTCTCTCGATTGCTTTCACTCCTGTCGTCATGGTTCAACAAGACGCTCGGGGAAAAGTTACTTGATCACTTGCAAAAGTGGACTGATCCCAATCGGATGCGAGCTCAGATGATTTGGCGCGAAGGGGAAGAGCCCGATGTAGCCGCGGCGATTATTGATCTCTTTGTGCTGCTACCCGATGCCGCTCGATGCGTTGAGCCACTCGTGAAAACTACCATCAAGCTAGAGGCCTGTCTTCCTGCCTTCAAGTCCCGTCACATTTTTTCTCCTTACCGGAAGCCGCTTGCACGCTATCTGAACAAGCATTGCTCCTATACTGTCCCTTTCTTCTTTCAGCGCCTGAAGACGCCGCTGTACAGCGAGCTATTCCAAGACTTGATCAAGCTGGAGGAGTCCAAACCGCTTCGAGATTTTCTGAGTGGTAAGCAGTTTTCGGTTTCTTTGCTGAGTGTCTGTTTCGAAAGACCACTTGCGATCATTCGCTCTGAAAAAAAGCTTTCTGGGACGTCCCCGCAAAAATCTGCAATGATGAATACTTCAGAACTTCTTTTCGTTCACGGGATCGAGCCAAGCTTCGTTCCGCCAACTCAACGAGAGGCTGTGCTCAGACAAGACGTCGAGGTGAAGAATAAGAAACTCATCATTCTTCAACAGGAATTCAATCGCGCACAAGAGTTTCTCCAAGCAAAAGTAGCCGCGAGCTCTTCTGGTGATACATACGCCAAGGCAGCACTTGATGACGCAAAGCGCAGACATCAAATTGCTAAGGTTGCTTACGAACGTGGGATAAAGGAATTTCGGAACAGCAAGCAGCGGTGTGCTACTGAACTTGAGAAAATAAAGCAAGCAAGGCTGAAGTCTGAGAAGGATGCTAAAAGAGTTGCCTCACGACCAATGAACATTGAAGCTCTAGAATTGCAGTACCAAGGTTTTCGGCTCGTCAAAACACTCATTCAGAATGATGAGAGCTATTTCAAGGAACACAACGATGTCATTCGGGCTTTACGGTGGCTGTGGCGGAGTAAAGGCAGATATTTGCGTCTGGAGCACGAACAATCCGTGCCGCCAAGATATCATGGTGAATCAAAGCTACTTGCTTCTTTCTTGGTTCACTACTCCAGAGGATTTCGGAACGATGTCGACTTGCTGTTCGAATTGATTCGTATTTTTCTCCAGTCAAGTGCAAGCGACTTCTCTTTTGTGCGCACATTTCTCGTCGATTTCGTTTCAAATGGAATATCTGCAGACCAAAGGAAACAAATAATGCAGCGCTTTTTCATTCTTCTTGCCGGAGAAAGCACGGAAGAGATCAAGACACTGACTGTTCAGCTCGTAGTTTACCCGATGCTTGAGTCCACGTTTTCCAAGCAGGAAAGCAAAACTTTGCCTCAATCTGGCAATGCCCAAGAACCGAAAGAAAAGGATCCGAAGAAAGCCAATGTGATGGAAATTGATGAAGATTCCAGCTTCATTGAGGAGGAGGATGTTAAAAAATTTGTACGCGAAGTCCTATTCAACAATGGGAAGATCATCTCTTGTGGAGATCGGCTGAAAATTGAGCTTTTGAGGCTGGCAAATCTCTTCTTGACAAGAGTTCCACATCATGTCGAGAAGTACGGCCAGGATCTGATCAAATACTGTTGGGGTCTTCTGAAGAGTGACGATACCACAACAAAAAGTTGGGCTTATCTTGTCGTCTGTCGCTACGCTTCAGCGCTTGACACCCCATCAAGACTTATTCTACAGGTATACGTAGCTCTCCTTCGATCGCACCAACAAGAGGGAAAAGAACTGGTAAGAGAGGCTTTGGATCTATTGGCTCCATCTTTGCCAAAACAATTAAACCGAGATGGTGTCAAGAAAGTTGTTGACTACACAAGCAGAATCATGTTTGAAGAAGGCAACTCAGTGCCACAGCTAGCTCACATCTGGCATACAGTTGTGAATCACCCGAATGTTTTCTACGAGTACCGAAGTCAATTTGTCCGCTATATGATCAATTCCTTGAATCGTCTTGGTCTCCCACCGAATTGTCCAGCAGAGAACAGAGCTCTCGCTATCAGAATTGTTGATCTGGTGATCAAATGGGATAAAAAGCAATCTTTGGATGGTACTCTTTCTACGACGGACATGGGCGGCCAAAAGGGGAAGAAACGACCAGCCAACGAATCTACGGAAGATGACCCAGTCGGAGAAAAAAGGAGGAAAACGTCTTCCGGGCCAATTGCGGTTCCATCGACCCCAAAAGAGAAAGGGAAAGACGATAGGCTTCTTGATGCAGTAATGGTACGATTTTTGTTGAACTGTCAAGCCAGTATGTGGCACGTCACTAACTACTGCTTTTTAGGTTGACACACTTGTAAACTTCTTGATCCGGTTGAAAATTCTTCTGGCAGACCCAAAGGTCGAATCTATCTTTTTGAAAGCAGATTCTGATCACAGCAAGTTGTTCAAGTCCATTGTGTTGGAATGGAAGCAGTGTGGAATCCGCCCAGTGTATCTTGAAAAAGTGGTGGCCATGTGCAAGGAAGATAACGCCACCCGTGCTTCAGTAGGCAAGGATGAAGACCGGACAAGGAATAAGCTGGGGAGTAAATCAAAATCGAAGACTGCCAATGTTGTCAAAGGGGACAATGGGAAGAAAGTGAACTCAAAGCTATTGTCAGCATGTTTGGACATCTTCGTTGTGCTTGCAGAGGTCGCTCCATCCAATCCATTCCTCAAGGCAAACCCATTCCAATTGAACGAAATACTGCTTGCCTCTTTCTTTCGAGCAAGGCAACCAGAAGAGAATGAGATTCGGGAAAAGTTGCGTCAATTCATCGTTGCGTTCATGGGCGCAAAGAAAGAGAAAAGCAAAGCTATAGAAATGATTGCAAAGGTCATTACAGTGCAGCTAGAGCAGTTTCTTGTGGATTCGGAATTTGGGTATCGCAGATTCCTTGAAGGAAGTCATGGTTCCACGGACATAAGTCGTCAAACGGGAGATAGATATCGACGAAATTCGATGGATGCTGAACGCTCTGAAGTGATTCTGTCATCGTTTGCTCTTCGCGTCATTCAGGAAGTAAGCGAGCGCCATTCGAGCTTTCACAAACCGTTCGCTGGTTCGCTGTTGACACTGCTCCAGACACTAGTGAGGAAACATACTGCTGATGCTTCCGCACGGCAAAAACAAGGCACGGCGCCCTATGCCCCACAAGGCGACTCCATGAGTATCACGCATATGCATCACACCCCAACAGGCGGGATACTGAACGAATCATTTATCACAGAGTCTTCGTGTGCTACTTCTTCAGGCCCAAAGACCTCACAGAGCAAGGAGCCGTATCCTTCGTCGGAGTTGAATGAGTTTGATCCTACGATGCGGTCTGCTGTCATAACTACAGAGCTGCTGGGCTCAAGTGGCATTCCCTACACATTTACAGAGAACAGAAAGATGCTGTTCAGAATACTTGCTGATATTCTAGACTCGAGCAACAATTTGCAGCTTTTGTTGGTCGCAGTCCGTGTGATTGGAAAATGGCTGCTTTGCGATCAATTAGGGGGGCCACTTACTGCCGAAGAAAGAGACAGATTTTTGCAACGCATTGCTTCGTTTGACTACAATGGGCTCCCTGATGTTGTTGCGCAGCCACTTGCAGATATGGTTTCCCATTTTGTAATTGAAATGTTGAACCAACGGGGACTCAAAATTGAACGTGAGGTCGGGGAATCACAGGATGCACCTTTTATGCCTTTGGTGACTGGAGTCTTACAGATAAAAAATGAGCGTGAAGACATTGTTCTTGGCCGATCACTGGTCTCATGTCTTCTGTCTGCCAAGCGTACAACAAGACAGAAGATGCTTGCATTGTTCATTTGTCAGACCAACACTGGCGAGAACAATAAAAACGTTGCTTCTGGTGGCATTCCTCTGAGAACCCCGACGGATTTACTTTGGCAACTTCTTTCTAGCGATTTCTCAGGTCTTGGTGGTAGATATTGGATCGTCGTGTTTGTTGAACTGTTGCTTGGTAATCTTCATTGCCACAATCAACATACGCAGCAGGAGTCTGAAAACACCAATTTTTTGATGAAGCGGCAGCTACCACTCCCCCGTCTTTGCCAGACAAATGCTCCTTTGAGATTCTCAGAAGCTGTTCAGTCTGACCACCGTCTTTTCCTCAACAAGATTCTCCAAAGCAAATCTGATATTGCAGAAGGTGGCAAGCAACTCATTGCTTCCTTACAACAACTGGTACACTGTGATGCCTACACGAGTGAGAGTCTATTCATTTCACTTCTTGTTGCAAGTTGGGATGCCATTCCCTCTGATGGGATCCGCGTACAGCTCGCAGATGAGATGGAATTGCTCTTGGCCAAACCATTTCACTCTCAGTTCTTCAAGCGGACAAGGCTCGATACTGATCACCGCAGTATGAATTCAATACGGTCATACCTCAGCGCCATACATGCAGTTAGTCCAATGCCAATTCTGGACATTGATGTGCTCGTGTACCTTGCCGAAACCTATAATTGCTGGTACGAGGTTCTCTCTATTCTAGAAGACCATCTATTAGTTCTTTCTGGTGCGGATGGAAAGTTATCAAGTGATGGCGTGGCTTTCCGTGAGAGGATACTGCTTGCGATGAGAGAGTGCTACAAGCAACTCGGAGATTCAAATGTATATATAAGCCTCGCTCTCAAATCTTGTGAAGTTGCCGAGACTAAACATGCTGCATCACTCGATATCTATGGCAAAGTTGATCGTGCGCTTGATGCATATACAAACTTGGTGAAAACTGTTGAATCAGCCAAGTTGACTCCCACTGAAACAGAAATGGGTCTGTGGGAAGAGCGATGGGTAGATATCAACCGACAACAATGTCAATTAGGTGCTGTATCAGAGTATGCGAGGTTGTCAGGAAAAAGCTTGCTCAATCTCGAATCCGCCTGGAAGTTACAGGATTGGGATAGAGTCCGAGATCTTTGCTCAACATCGCCGCTTGTAGCTTCTGTTGAGACCGGTGACCCAGCAGTGAAGATGAGCGAAACGCTGCTTGCTGTTTTTGATGGAAAGCTCAGCGATGTTGAGAATCTACATGCACAGACCGCTCAGTTGTGTCTCTACAAATGGCAGCAACTGCCGAGCTTATCAAGTGCTAGCAATGCTCATGGATCTCTCCTGCATTATTTTCATCGACTGGTCGAAATACGAGAGTCTGGGCAGATCATGGTCGAAACCAGTAACCACTCAACTGGAAAAACGTTGCCGGATTTGAAAAATTTACTCAAGTATGTTTCATTGAATCTTTTTGTACAGCTGTTGCATCGAACTTGGCTCATTTCTTTTTTTCTTCTCAGTGCTTGGAAACATCGGCTTCCGAATGATTACGAAGACCTTTCAGTTTGGGATGAGTTGTTCACATGGCGCTCTCACATGTTTGATGCAATTACTTCAAACTTCAATTGGAGCGAGCCAGGCACGCTCGCAACACTTCATGACCGCCCATGGACAGCAATTCGTATGGCAACAACAGCCAGGAAGCAAGGAATGCGACAGGTAAGTAGCCAGGCCAAAAGGTATAGTACAATTTTCTTGTCTCATTTCACCATTGTTTTGTAGACGGCCCTTCTCTTGCTAGACAAACTCACAGGAAACAGAGCTATGGGAGTCTCAGATGCCTTTTTGAAACTGAGAGAGCAGATCCTATCATACAACAACATTGAAAGCGAGCTTGAGCGTACCGCAGGGTTGAATTTGGTCAACACAACGAACTTGTCCTACTTTGATCAGTCGCAAAAAGGCGAGCTTTTTAGACTAAAGGCAATCTTTTTGGCTTCATTGGGGAGAACGTTGAAGGCGAGCCAAGCCTACTGCCATTCTGTCAAAATTTGTCCTTCGCTTGCAAAGTCATGGATCAGTTGGGGAGGTCTTTGTTCAACACTCGGAACGATGGCAGAGCGACAAGCACAACAGATAGGGAATAAAGCTGGACCTGAGAAGGCAAAAGAGCCACGTGCCGAAACGGCAAAGAAGGTTGCACAGTACTTGGCTCAAGCAATGGGCTGCTATATTGAGGCCATTCAGATCAATGTTGATGAGAAATCTCGCATGCATCTACCGAAATGCCTTTGGATGTTGACAAGAGATGGCATTGCACCAGGTGTACTATGCCAAACACTAGAAAATAGAGGTACGAAATTACCTCCTTGGGTATGGCTACCATGGATCCCCCAATTGTTGACTGGGCTCTGCAGAATTGAAGGTCGATCAATCAAGGCAGTCTTGAGCAGGGTTGTTAAGGCGTATCCGCAAGCTGTCTATTATTCGTTGCGAGCCTTCTACTTAGAACGGAGGGATGTTGAACGAGCCAAAGGCACCCCTTCTCCAGGGCAACAAATGGCATCAGTTGCTCATGCAGAAGATTTGATGTCCACGCTTCGCAAGTCACACGCATCACTTTGGAGCTCACTGGAGGCCATATTGGAGGAATTGATTGTGAAATTTCGTCCTTCTTATGAAGAAGAGCTTTTGGCGACAATATGTGCACTTCTTGATCGAGCTGAATCCCTTGCCGAAAAGCAATGTGTCGAAAATAAGGTTCGAATCGAAGACGAGGAGGCCATGTTTGCATCATGGCATAAAACACTGAGTAGAATTGCGGCAAAGTTCTTCCGCACTTCTGAGTCAACTTCAAGCTCCAACCGGCGGGACCAACGCATGAAGAAAACTGCGGAGTTCAAAGAAAAATATAAAGCAGATTTTGAGAAAGACTTCAGAATCCAAGCAGAGAAAGCTGATTTGAAACCTGCCGAAGAGCAGAAGTTTGGTTTGGAAGAGTACATTACAAAACTCCAACACTGGAAGCAAAAGCTTGAAGCACACGTTGCAAGCACACCAGTTTCATTGCCTCTCATTGAGTCTTCGCCAGTACTAGCCATGTTTTCTGGTGATTTTCCAGATCTATGGCCTGGGGCATGTGATACCAAGTACTCCAATGCTGGAATGGAACGGGTAATGAATGACGACGGAGCAAGCGCGCGGAATTTTTCCTCAACATCATCGTCTGCTGTGAAAGCTCGAAGAGCGGCATATACTGCTGCTGTTGCCGCTGCTGCAGCTGCAGCGAAAGAGGGCGTCGGGGGCGAGTATGGTGGTGGTGCAGCATCAATTGAAATCCCTGGGCAATATTGCCCAAACTCAACGGCTTCTTCCGACTCAAAACCTAGCCCAGAACTCCATGCAAAACTAGTTAGGTTTGAGCCCCATGTTGATGTTTTACGTCGCAACGACCATTTGGTCCGACGAGTAAGCATGGTTGGAAGTGATGGCCGAACCTACAAGTTCCTGCTTCAATTTGCAATCCCATACTGGACCAGGACCGATGAACGGACAGCTCAGACGTTGTACGTGGTGGACAAGTTTTTGAGACGGAACATAATGACCTCGAGAAACCACCTCTCTGTTCAGCCAAACGCTGCAATTCCTGTGGCACAGAGACTCAGAATGACCCTTGATGATGATTCTCGAATTGCTCTTGATGACGTCTTTAGAGAGCATTTGGAAAAGGATGAAAAAAAGGCGTCTGATATCACTGCATCATTCCTTTCCGAAGTAGCTGAAGGATTCAAACAAAGGTCTAAACCAGGTATTTCCCCTGAAGAGAAAGATAAGCTTCAACCGGTTGTGCTACATGAAGCCTATGTTCAGACTTGCAACTCGCAAGTGGCACGGAATATTCTCAAGCGACACGTTCGGTCTAGTTTTGATGGTCCCGAACCTTTCTTTCAGTTCCGTCGGGCGTTTGCTGGTCAGCTGGCTGCCAACTCTCTGCTTCAGTATGTCTTTGCGGTAGCTGAACGATCACCCCAACGCTTTGTAATGCTCAAGCGCAACGGACAAATGCTTTCACCTGACTTTAGAGTAACATACACAACCCAAGGTAAGTACCGCATTCAGCTGGAGCTCATTTTTGTTTCCTTCACACTGGCTAACCACGTTGTCTCTGTTCCTTAGGTTTTGTCGACAATCCTGACGTGCCCTTTAGATTGACCCCCAACGTCAAGGCGCTATTAGGAGAAGCTTACTGCGATGGGCGATTCATGCCAGCAATGGCAATGATTGCGGCTGCAATTCTAGAAAATGGTGGGGATTTCGATTCAATCCTACGATTGCTCATGAGGGATGATATTGTTGCTTGGTACAGCAAGTCCCAAGCCAGATCTGACTCCAAGACTCAAGAGCTTGAGCGCCAGCTGAGCGAACGTGTAGCGAAGAATGTCTCTATTTTGCAATCTCGAATAGCGGAGTGTGCACCAAGTCGACAGGCAAAGCAAGACGAGCCCGTAGATAGACGCGTACGCGACCTCTGTGATGCAGCATCTGACCCTGAAAAATTGGCAATGAAGGGCACAGGTTATCATGCTTGGTTGTAATCTCAATAGGGATGTGACTTTTGGGGGTGGGGTTGAATCTCCTTTCACCTGCGAGATAATATTAGTACAAATGACATTTCAAATCAAAATATCCAAGCTCTAGTCTATATTTCGTTTACAAGACCTTGCACACCAAGTCTTTCTGCGACTTTGGATTCAACCGGTGGAACAGTAGACAATCCTATACCAAGGGCAAATTCCTCACTATATCTGACTACGTCTGCTGGCTTCAAACTCCCATAACCACTATAGTACGAGAGAAAAGCCTTGCATGCTGCTTCAGCGTTGGTTGTGAGAACGGCATGTCCACTTTTTATCTTGGACTTTGCAGTCTCGACCATTTCATTCGTTTTGTGATCAAGCGCAGAAAAGTCCCCTGAGTCTAAATGTAGGTCAAATCGGGTAATAGAATCCAACTGCTTCTCTTCAAAAGGAAGGGCGATAAGTAATCCTTGCCCCTGTCTGCCTGCACGTGCTGTGCGTCCAAGGCGATGGATGTAGTTGCTTCTGCTCGAAGGAGTGCCATACTGAAAAAAGAAACATGTTGAATCAATCAGTCATTTTTTTGTTCCATGCAAGCTTTCAAAATGCAAGGCAAAGAGTGCGTACCTGGACAACCAACGAAATTCCTGGGTAGTCAATGCCTGCAACGAAAGATGTTAGAATGACGATGAGCTCTTGCTGCTACAATTTGGTTTCCAAGGAGAGAACGCACCTCGAGCCGAAACATCACTTGTGAAGAGGATCCCTCGTTTCATATTGCGGAATGTGGTACTCGCTCGATTCCGAGACGCTTGAGACATTCGAGAGTGAATCTCAAGAACTGGAATCTCAAGTCCAATGCTGAAAAACTGAGAGAAAAACCTTACCAATCTTCCAGCGGGAACTTGAATGAACCAACAGGCGTTAGCGTTCAATATGAGTGCCAATGAATGCAGCCACAAAGTGATGAAAGTTGATGGTATACCATGATATAAACTTACAAAAGACAATTATTTTGTAATCCTTCTCTTTTTTCATCTCTCTTTGGATTAACCCAACCAGCGCTGGGACGTAGTGCTCCATACTGTCTAGCTGGTGAAAGAACTGTTGAGCTCGTAGGTTTGTCTCTGATTTTCTAGATGATCGATCGCTCTCCACGCAGTCTATTTCCTTGTAGTCGATCTTCATGTTTTCTCTCAGAAAAAATCGGAATCTCTTTGGCATGGTAGCTGAGAATAGTAATGTTTGTCGCTTGGTTGCTCTCGGGAGAAAGGATAGTATCGTATTAATTTCCTTTGGAAAGCTTTCGAATAGTCGATCGGCCTCATCGAGAACAATGATATTCGTGTCTTCTGCAATGTCGCTGAACTTTTGCCTCTCGACCCTTGTGTTTTCCAAGTGTACGAGAAGACGGCCTGGAGTGGCGACGAGTATGCTCGGCAGCCGAGGGCTCAACATCCGCATATCGCGCTGCATCTTGGTTCCACCATATATACATGCGACTTCAAAGTCATTCAAGTAGGTCGTAAGACTTTTTGCTTGATCTGCAATTTGAATGGCAAGCTCTCGAGTTGGCGCTACGACGATGATACCAATGTTTTTCCCTGGACGGTACATGTCCGGATCAAACGCTAATAACCGCTCGACCACAGGCAAAAGAAAAGCAAGGGTTTTCCCTGTCCCTGTTTTGGATCGTCCTAAGATGCTATCTCCACTGAGAGCTTCTTGATATACTTTGGCCTGGATCTGTGTCATCGTTTGAAGCCCCAGAACTTCCGTGATGCCCCTTTTCAGAGCAGGATTAATGTCCGAGCGGTCACTAAACTTTGTATTTGATAACAGGGTGGGATCTTGTAGAGCCTCTTGGTGCCGTGCTTGGGCCTCTTTAATACGACTTTCGATATTTCCACCACTGCCACCATCTACCTTGGAAGGACGCTTTGGTCGGATGCGTGTTGGCCTTCGAATTCGTTTGGAAGACGATTGTGACTCGTCCTCATAATCACTATCGCTCACCGCGACAACCAGAGAGGATCTTATCCGAATGCCATCATTGAAGGGAAGGAAACCACTTGCCAAGGACACAAGTAGTAGGAAAAGGAAGACTTTCATTTTTATGATGTTTCGGTTGTGATTTCTCGTTCGATTTGAATTGTCGTGGTTTTGCCGCGCCTTCCATGGAATTTGGAATCCAGACTTTCAATTTTACACAAAATATGAACCGACCTCAACCCTTGAATAAAAAAGTGGATGAGAAAGATCGTTTTGCACACTCCACATTATTATCTCCTCTCTAGCAAGAGTAGGGTACCGGTAAGCGACAATCTTGTTTCTGCTCCCTATCGTTAATGTCAGGGGATTAATAGTTTAGATGACGAGTCGGAGAGATCGGTCATTGCGTTATGCAATGAACCCCTCTATGTCGATTTAAAGAACGAGGCATTTGTATGATGACATTCTTGGAGGCCATCAGCCTTTGCGTTATTGCTCAACTCTCGTATCTCACCAAGAGGCTTTTTCTTTCTTCGCGTACAGTTGCGTAATAATGATGAATACTCATCAGAGCACTTCAGGGTCTCGAGCTCGAACCCATTCCTTGTCACTTGAACAATGGTTAGTAGATGATTGTTGTGTCAAAGCATTTGATGATTTGACTCCAAGGGATTAATAGTTTAGATGACGAGTCGGAGAGACCGGTTATTGCGTTATGCAATGAACCCCTCCATGTCGATTTAAAGAACGAGGCATTTGTATGATGGCAGTCTTTTTTCACCATTTGGATTTGTTTATGTATCGACACCCAAGCTTGAGATCTCACCGTTATTTTTGTCTACAGCTTTCTTCACTATCGATTTTCCTTGTGAACAAGGTTCTGATACGCCGACGTGGCAGTGAGAGCAACGATATCTGAACTCAAAACGGCATTCCAGTCTTTGTTGCCATTCGATTGGAGGCCAGCCTGCCTCAGGTTAGGAATGAAAGACAACAAAACCGCTGTACACTTTGCCATGTCTCATTTGCCACCACAGGTGATACCACGACTCTTCTTTGGAGCGCTTGTCACATTTCTGCAACTACGGCTTCTTTTCGATCTCCCACACCCACTCGCGTCGATTACCTATGTATTTATTCTATCCATCAGAGGCACCGTATCAATGAAGATAGCGAATAATACCGAACCATGGTGACTCATTCGCAGCAATCACGAGCATTCAACGTGCTGATCTTGAACCTACCGTAGATATATTGATTATAAAATATTATATCTATGTTTTATTTATCTATCTGAAACTGGTACACGCCACGCGGCCATGCATTCCCCAAAAATTCTCCCTCATGTACCTTCACTGAGTCTAAATTCGATAGCCGATGGTGCAAAATCAATCATTTAGCCCCTTGCACCTCACGTTAGTCAGAGTAAATCTGATCAAGAAGTTTATCATGCCTTTCCTCCTGCTTTATACTCTCCAATATTTCTCGCACCACGTCTTCACCACGACTTTCCCATTCTGCCCGATTACTTCTTGCATAGTTCTATCAATGGTGAAACAAGAACAAACTCGGTGAGAACATGTAGCCCGGCAAATCGTGACACCGGATTCAATCCTCGCTTACCAAGAATTCATCACTTGATTTTCCAAACACTCCACAGCTCTCCAGTTTCTTAGCTAGCGGGATGATGTAAAAGTCAAAGAATCCAATCTCTCCCTTGTACCAATCCACACTTGGATCTTTGTCCGCTCGGCCTTCTTTCCATGCTTTGTAGCACTCCCTAAAGAAAAGCTCGTTCCACTTTCGATACACACTGTAGCACAAGTAAAGAAGAGGTGAGGAAGAGAAGAGGACAGCGCAAAATACGACAACAAATGGTACGTACTGCCAGTGTTGCATTGTGTGACTAATGTCCGATGCCTGAATCAAATGTTCAATCACAATTGTAGCCTTGCGATTAATATTGTCTCGATTTCCATTGTCTTTGAAGCCAACAGAGCTTCGCTTAAAAGCCGTGTCCCATCGGTTGTTGCGAAGCTGCTTCAAGTCCTTATCCACAATGTCAGTCGCCATGACAGCATTCACAACCAACATTCGAAAGTGACTTAATTCTGCTGGCGTCGAACAAACACAATCACGAAGGTTTTCAAATCGTTCGCCCATGAACAAGTTCCAGGCAATTACCAGACTGTTCTGCTCGGCAACACTACGACTGTCGTACAAAGTGGCGATTGCTGCTTTCTCTTTTACCAGCTGTGCATTCGGTACACCTATTCAAGCAGTACAAGAGCGTATACATTTCAAATGTTAGGACACCCACTCGATACGACCATGTAATCAAGATAAAAGACTTACCCTCATGATCCACGTCATGTACCAAGGCAGCAAATGCACATGCAAATTGAGTCAACGGATCAGATGTGATTCCATACGTATGATCATGCAGACTTTGAGCATGGATGTCGTGGTATTTTTCCTCATCCTCATCGTTGCCTTCCATCATTTCCAGGTCAGTCGGTGCTTTGATTCGCGACAACAGCTTGATGACACTCATTGTGACATGGCTGATAAGAATATTTGGGAAGGAGAATTCGGTGAGTTGCCACAACCACATAATTTTTTCCAATAGCGTCGAAACACTTACCTAGCATGCTCAAAGTTGTGGAATGGATTCGATCGATAGAAGCCGGAGATGGTGCTGATGAATTGTCTTAGCTCGGTAACGACAACACTTGGGATCTCAATCGTATGTGGGTCTTGCTCGGATTGTGCTACTTCTGGGTCAAATTTAGGAAGCGCAATGATTTCTCGGACTTCATCCAGTGGCTTGAAATCGCTCTTCATCGCAGTTGCCAAAGAGAGATCATGAGCCGATGCAAACTCCATTTCATGTGAAGCAGAAGCGTAAGCATCTCGTCTTGCGACGATGTGCTGAAGTATCGCCAGAAAAACTGTGGCGTTCCACTCGACCAAACGATCTTCTCGGCCATCAGCACTATTCAATTGCTCTGCAAAAGGGCCCTCCAAGTTGCGCTCACTTGCAGATGTTTCAGATGCGCTATCACTTTTGGCAGTTGGAGCTGTCGAGATTCTCTTGGGCTCAATAACTTTCCCAATCCAGTATGTTTGGATGTCGCCCTTTCCTTTCACGATTACAGTGCCTTCGTCGCGCCTAATGAGCCAATGTCCTTTGCCACAAGAACGCAAAGACTCCGCAGTTTCTTGCGAGACTTGGATCCTTCCTCCGATCCCTGTACTCTCCATCCGCGACGCCACGTTGACTGAATCTCCAAACAGTTGGAAACGAGCCTTGTCTCCTCGAATAACACCTGCAGTCACTGCTCCTGTATGGATACCAATTTTGAGTTTCAAGTCGGCGGTATCAGGTCCGAGTGTTGTTTCTAATTGCTTGGTCAACTTGCTCATTTTTCGAGAGATTTTGTGAGCGAAGAGCACCATGCGCACGGCATGGTCTCGGTAATAGTCTGGAATTCCAGTTGCCGCTATGTAACAATCCCTAAAAGAAGCACGAAGCAAGTTGAATGAGACAGAAGATCTTGACAGCGGAACCCTACCAATGGTTTTCTTACCCTTGTGTTTCGACCTTGAATACTTTTGAGTGCCGACACTGTCTATCAAAGCTACCGTAAACCGCCTCCAACAATTTAAACACCTGAGATGGCTCACGAACAGACGACCAAGCAGTAAAACCACAAATGTCTGCATACATCACTGTCGCAACAGGGAAGTAGTCTGCGAGAGGCGGGCGCGTCAAGTCTTTGACGAGATCTGATCCTGAGCCAACTAGGTCATGGAAGTTTCTTGGATTGTTGTCGCCTACGATCTTGTTCCGGATGTTTTCTGGGAAGAGTGACGTGACGACAGCATTTGACCTCGCAGCGCTGGCTATCAGTTTTTCGTTTCGCTTGTGTACAAACCCATTATACACGGAGAAGACAAGAATCATGAAGCCAAAGCATCCAGCTATGGAAAGACCGTAATCCTTTGGTGCCGAACTGAGGTAGAGCTCTGCGAACTCGGTATCTGGATACAAGTGCATGGTAAACTGGCAGTGTCCAGGAGTCAACTCGAAAGCAGGATTGGTGTGCAATGCGAGGTCAACGACACGCTCGTATGGCTCATACTCTTCCTTATGCATGTCTTTCATGCCTAAATAAAGGGCATTTGGTCCTACCGAAAGAATGAAAGCAAAGATGAGGCACAGCATAAATAACCAGTAGGATCCGTCAACGGGCTTGCTTACCATTGATCCTGTATGTAAAAGTTTGGCCACAATTGTTTTCGATTACAGCAAGGATCCCAACCACCCCTTCCGGTAGCATGTGCAGGAGCGAGAAGTCCCAAGCCATGGCCGAGCCAATGAATGCCACAATTGGACTGTCAGGATCCTCCGCATTCAAATGGACAGGATGAAACACAAAACTGTGTGGATAGTCTGATGACGAATCATTGATTTCACTGTGCATGTGAGCATGTTCCTCATCAGACAACGCTGTTCCTCCACCAGCGTACGGTCGGACACCGGTGAGCAGTGTCTCGTCCGGCAAGGCATACAGGGCTTCAATAATATCGTTATAATCTGGAACACTTTGTACATTCCAATTGACGTTTCCATATGTAAAAGGAGGTGGAGAGTAATGCCAGCCTGGGTAATAAACATCACGTTCGATATCGGGAACCATGCCATTAGGAGACGGTGCAGTGAAGTAGGAATGATAACCAACCTCTTTCAGATTGTCGAGAGTCCCTGTCTCAAGCATATGGGCCTCTTTGACCATGCTCTCATAGTGCTGGTCAGTAAATTTTAACCAAGCTTCTTGGTTTTCCCGAGTGACGACAGGAAAGAGAGAGAAGACCTCGGTGCCAGAGATTTCAATGATATGTTTTCCAAAGGATTCAAACAGTGGCAGTGACACGAATGGCCATGTTTCGTTGGCCCCTGCGGCGTAATTGGATATGATGGTCTCAAAGGTGCGATAGGCCTCACGGATGTCTTTCTGTTGTCGGATTGCAGCAGCTTCAAGAGCATCGGAGAATTGATCGTACTATGATGAAAAGATGCAATCACATCAGATCAGAGTGATGAGATTGCTTCAAGCTCGTTGAACATCGCACAAAGATACGAGCATGACAATTGAAACTCACTGCGATATTGAACTCTTCCTTTTCCTCATCGAGCAAGAAGTGATATGTGAGGTAGGATACCGAGATTCCAGTTGCCAGAATAAAGAGAAAGAGAGCCAAGCGCCACAACTTGACGCTGCGATCCTCATTGCGAGAAGCATTCCTAACTTCTTGTACTTCATCGCGAGACCGATGGGCAGACGACATTGTCTCGGATTCGGTCAAGCTCTTGCTTTTCATTGAAGATCGTTCACTGATTAGACTTATTCTTCTATGATCATGGTGCTCATCGTGCTCATGGTGGTGGTCGGCATCAGGATTGTCGGTGTTGCTTTCGCCATCTTCAAGCAGCGCACTGCTTTGCGTCGAATATGCTGGTTTGTTCGAAGACCAACTGTTGTTCATTTTCTAAGTTTCCACAGTATTTTCAATTTGCATAAAGTTTGCAAGATTGTGACATAAATCTGAATTTGATTTTCATCAATTGATCGGATGATATCGAAACCGAACGCTAGCTCCTTATTTTACGTTTCCGCTGAAATGTACAGTGACCAGAGACTGTGAAGAATGTGCCACCCGGTACTGAGCGTTTTTAATAGAGATCTCATTTGTGTCACTAGGATGAATATTTTGTGATCATTGGTTCGCGTACGAAGAAGCGAGCAAACATGTGATCAGTCGCATATATATTATTGGTCCTTTCCGTTTGCAACGACTTCAATGCGTATTAGAGAACAAAGGTGCGATCTTTCATCTTCAATTGGGGTTCGGATCTCCGCGATGAAGAAGGCCAAGTGCGTAACGGTATCATGATCATGAATGACGGGAATGGAGATCGGTTCGAGTTTGAGTTCGAGTTTTTTGTTCGTTAAAGGTTTTTTAGAAAAGAGCTGATTTTTTAGTCGTATCAGTCGAACCGTTGCGTCCGTCAACCACCCGTACCATGAAATCGATCATCCATCATCGCAACGATCATCGTCAGACCGCACACAACAGAGTTAACAACAGAGAAGCATAACAAAAACTGCTTTCAGTATTGCAACCATGTCAGCTTCATCACCAGTAGCAGCAATTCGAATGTCACAAAGCTTATTGCGCCGTACATGTACCTCAAACAGCAGCACTTTGGCAACAACAGCAGGACGACGACACTACATTGGCACTCCCCTCCCTTCCATGCCAATGAAGGCAGGCACCAAGATGGATAGTTTGGCCATTTTCAAAGGACAAGATCCACCAGTTGTCAAGGAGCGAGACGAATATCCAGAATGGGTTGGCAAACTTGCCAAGCCGTTGCCGAGTCTGGCCAAGTTACGTCGCATACCGAACGAAGAAGCAGACGAGAAGGAAGTATTGAGGTTCTTGAAGTTGAATCGGCGAATTCGCATGAGAGCTAACAACGAAGAAAGTTCCATCTAATAAACTAGAATGTATTATATTGGAAGCTACTCGTGCGTTATTGATGTATGATTGCTACGCTCCTGGTTGGCCATCCTGGTTTCGCCTAGTTCTTTATCAGGCCCAGTAGAGGAAGGAAAGATTGAAGGCTCATTGTGAACTCAGCTCACTATGAACATGGTTCATCACAAATCTCCCAGTCGGCTGCATCGTCAATACAGTGATTGCAGAGCGAATTAGAGGTTTTGGGGAGGCGTGGAGTGCGGTTCCTTGTAGACAATTTCACGCGGTTTTGCTTGTAGCCTCATCATTTCGGAATCTAGGATCAAAATGATGCAATCCAATCCAAATCCAAATCCAAATCCAAATCCAAATTCAATCCAATCCAAATTCAATCCAATCCATTTCAATTTCCAAGATTCTCCAAAGCTACTGCTATTTTAATAAAAACTGCTTAGGATTGAAAATATGAAGCTTTATAGGACTACCGCACCTACTAAAATTTGATGGGTTCATTCCTTAACCGTGTCTAGACTACACAATCATTATTCTTGTGGTCCACCTTCTCCTTCTTCTGGTGTTTCCGGAATCAATCGCTTTTCAAGAACAGTATCGATCACGCCGAATTCCTTAGCTTGGTGAACATCCATAAAGGTATCACGATCCATAACTTGTTCAATCCTTTCCAATGGCTGCCCCGTGTGGAAGACATACAGATCGTTCAATCTTTTTCTCACATCCAAAATGTTTTGAGCTTGAATTTGAATGTCACTGGCCATTCCTTGGGCCCCACCGGACGGTTGATGCAACATGATCCGAGCATTCGGTAGAGCCATTCGAACATGTCCCCCGCACAACAAAAGGGATCCCATAGAAGCTGCCTGTCCCATGGCAATTGTATGGACTTCAGGGTTAATGTATTGCATGGTATCGTAAATGGCCAAACCGGCAGTCACACTGCCCCCAGGACTGTTAATATACATGTAGAGCGGCTTTTTGGGAGCCTCTGCTTCTAAAAACAACAACTGCGCCGTCACGAGGCTGGCCATGGTATCCGTAACTTCCCCGTGGACACAAATGATTCTCTCACGCAAGAGACGAGAATAAATATCAAAGGCACGCTCCCCTGTGGTTCCCTGCTCCAAGACTGTGGGAACAGTAACGTTTCGTTTGGTTATGGTAGTGTTGCTGCTGTTGCCTGTTGTAGTTTGGGCCAAGGCAGCAGGGCTGGAATTGAGAAGTGTGGTGCTGGCTTGGCCGAGTACACGACTACTCGTAGCCATCATTGAGCGCCTTGATAGAGATGAGGACACCTTGGAACACCACATTTTCAATCTTCACACTCGATGATTAACAAGCAATGCTATGGATCGATGGGCAATGTCATGGGCAGCAAAGATCCGGGGATTCTGGAAAAAGAATGTCACAGAAGGGGAGCAAAAGATGTTCCCCATCATTTTTTCCCATTGGATTTGCTCCCTCATTCTTTTCCAATCGCAAAAGAGAAAGCAATGATGCACTAACATACATGACGGCATTACGTAGAATTTAAAGATCCTCATCCTACGAGGTAGTTCATCTTCACATTGTTCAAAAGAAATTCTCCAAGGTTACATCATCGATCACTTGTCCTTGTGATGGGTCCTTGCAGGACCTGGGCACCTTTCAGTCACGAGTCAAGTCCTATTTTGGCGGCCGTACGAAATTTGCCGTACGCTCCACGACTGTAACGGTCTGAAAATGATCATCGGACGGCGATGGGATTTCACTTTGCTACTGTAGAAAAAAGCGGTTTTTCGTGCTACCGTGTGTGACTTGATTTGATACCATTGGCCTTTTTTGAATACTCTATTCTTTAGGTGGTGGTCGAGTGTATTAGTGGCTCCAATAATCAAGGTAGGTCGGTAGTGTTAAGATGGTTGATTGGTTGATTTTTTGATTGATTGATTGAACCTTCTGCTGCGAAGATGGAATTGTAATTTGGAATTGGCTCCAACGATCATGTCAACGAACGAATCGAGTTGTGTTGCATCGACGGACGGAAAATTTACAAGTCGGACATCGGGGTTATGGGAAAACGAATTGTGTGTCCAGCTTTTCAAAACTCTTTCTCACATTGAAACCTTGAACCCCATCTTGCCGTCAATATTCTTTTGGTCATTACAGCAAAGGAAAAACCAAAAACAACGAAAGCGAAAAATAATCTAGCATCATGAGCTCGGGCCGAAATATCTTGGTGCTGTACCGTGTGGCCAACTCGGATTCTGACAACAGCACACCCAATTACAACTGCTTCAACCTTCCCTATGGATCAGGTGCAACTTTGTCAAGAGTGAAACAGTGAGTTGTTGCGAAGATTGATCCACATGTCACTGCATTGTAACAATTCAATTCAGCGTTGTACTCACACCAATCTTCCTTTCTTCTTCTGTTTTCTTCTAGGCATTGTGCTGCAGCTCACCATCTCAATGTGTTGGGCCCAGAAGGGTATCATTGGCGTGTTTTGGTCGAGGACAAGGCTGGAGAGGAGGGAGAAAGGGCCTACAGCTGGTGGGACATTCAAGATGGAAATGCCAAGCTTCCCATCAAGCAATGCTCCCAACACGATGTCCGAAGGCTCCTTCACCCGGGCAAGTCTGTCATTTCTGGTACCGATTCTGCTTCCAAGGCTGCCAAGGGAGCTTTCAAAATGATGGGAAAGATGGCCGAAAGTGTTGTTGGAGGAGAAGCAGAGAGCACTGGACCACCAGTTGCTGTCATTACCTTCAAACTTGTGGATTTGGTCAAGCTCCAAGATGAAATGGACAAGAGAGGTCCTCCACCACCTCGTCAACCACGTGCTCGTCCCGCTCCACGACCACGAGCGACACCGGCTCCAAAACCTCGTGCACAAGCACCTGCTGGTGCTAGACCAGGGGCTCGACCACAACAAGCAGCCCAACGAGCTCCAGCTCCTAGGCAACAACATCAGCAACAACGGGCACAGACGGGTTCTCTCTTGGACTTTGGGGGTGGCGTGGCACCTTCGGCACCCACCACTGGAAACTTTAATCCCAAGGTTCTACATCATACACATTCGGCTCCTCCAGTCCCTGTGAACGAAAGTCGAGCGCAGCGTCTGAAGCGAGAACAAGAGAAGAAAATGAAGACTTCCAATCGCGTCTGGGACGATATCGATCAGCGATGGGTGGAAGCCAAACCACAGACACCGGCTCCAGGTGCAGTGGCGACCAAACCAAAGGGCAAGGTGGTCGGTGTCAAGTTGGATGGGTCCAGTGGAATCGGAAAGAGTGTTAGCGTACAAGCTGGGGTCAACAAACGTGTCAATGAAATGAAGGAAGCCCAACAAAAGGCTCTCGAAGAGGTTCGGGAACGAGAAGCCAAAAAGAAGCGTGACGAAGACGAAGAAGATATTGTGAGAAAGCAATTGGAACCCAAGATCAAGGCTTGGGCTGAAGAACACGGCAAGAAGAAACAAATTCGAGCACTGTTGGGAACCCTCCACATTATCTTGTGGCCAGGAGCTAAGTGGAAGCAAATTGGTATTGGTGACTTGCTGGAAGATAAAAAGGTGAAACGTGCCTTCCACAAGGCAACTCTTGTTGTGCATCCAGATAAGACTCACGATTTGCCACCCGACCAACGCTTTTTGGCGAAACGTATCTTTGATGCTTTGAGTCAAGCCAAGACCGAATTTGACAATGGAAATTAGACGGTTAGCAAGATCATATAGACAAAATAATATTTTACAAAATATGATTTCGTCTACATCATCAATGCGTTTTTCATAGGACTTGCAAGCTTAGTGATGGGAAAACAAGTACCTCACGATGGCAAAACAACAAGGATTCTTTGGTAAAATTTCATCCTGTGTAGCAGGAATCCGAGATAGTATAGTGGCTAGTATCCCCGCCTGTCACGCGGGAGACCGGGGTTCGATTCCCCGTCTCGGAGTAGGTTTATTTTTGCATTGCGAATATATTTTTTGCGTTTGGATTATCTACAGTACCGGTACCGGGGTACTTCATCATATTCCCTCTTCCAAGTTTTTCTAACGTAGACGGAAGAAAGCGGTCGAACCAATGGATTCGATATTGACTCATCTATGATCGTTGCCTGGATTTCCAGTAATATGTAGAAGGTTTTGAGAGCTTTGGATTCGTCGTCTTGGCCTTTGAGTAGCCCAAGTGCATTTTCAAATGCATTGGAAAAGCTTGAATGGTCTTCTCCAAGAGCCACCTTGCATATGTTCAAAGATAAATGGTACATATCAATCGCTTCCTTAGTCGTTCCTTTGCCTTGATATACCACCGCCATATTGTTGTATGTGTTTGCAACAGACACATGGTATTCTCCGCGATTCCGTTTCTTAATGTCAAGCAAACCTTCATACAATTCCATTGCCCGCTCAAGTCCTTGTCCCCCCTGCAAATACAGAGCATTTGCAAGATTGTTGTACGTCTGTGCCACAGACAAGTGGTCTTTTCCAAGATTCTTTGCTCGAATCTCCAGAGACTCTCGGTAAGCGTCTATTGCATCATCCAGACAACCAAGATCTTGAAGGACATTTGCCATCCCATTCAATGTATTGGAAACATATAGATGGTTTTCGCCAAGGTGCTCTTTCGCAATACCCAATGAAAGCTGATACATTGCCATGGCTGGACGTAATTTTGATTTTTTTGGTAAAACTACTGCGATGTTGTTGTTTTGAGTTCTGTCTGTAAAACTTGGATAGCTTTATGGTGGATTTGAAGCTCGCAAATATGCCTGAATCTATAGCCAGGAATATCGATTTGAATGCACAGATTGAAGTCCCTATACCCTGTAAGAGTTGGCTTTTCAAATCGATTCTTGGCTTTCACCACTCGTATTGATGGATCGTCCCGGATTGCTTCCAGACATCTTGCGATCTGCTCTGTTGTAGAAAAGATAATACTTGCACGGACAATGTCGTACAACCACGAGACTCCGGGACCGGGCTTTCGTTTGCTATAATCATCATCGGCCTTTTCTTGAGCACGTTCCGAGCCTTTGAGAGGGACACCCAGTATTTGGATGTCGTCTTTGTTGCATCCACAAAAGCTGTAAACTTGGTCAACGATGTTCTCGAGGGTTTGCCTGTAAATTGGTTTGGCTATTCTCGCGACAATGTGGCGCTCATCCAAAGTTATGACTGGCTTGCCTTCAGCCAACTGTTGTTGGAAGTCTGACTTGAATTCAAGCGGATCGTCGCTTTTGGTCTCAATTCCACCTGAATCAGTAACCAAAGGGAAGGTGGCAATCCTCTGAAACTCGTCCACTTGGTGGATTCGATCATCAATTTTCGACCTTGAATCGAGATATTTGTGCAGCATGTGAAGGTTTTCTTTTGTTTTGTCCCGGAGCTTGACTGAAGCACTAGCCTCTTTCAACCCATTGAGCCTTGCTGAAACCTTTTCCACAATTGCTATTGTCTTTTCCTCGGTGCTTGACTCTTCTTCTTCACTCCCATTGCTGCCTTCCCATTCATTTTCAAATTCATCAGAAGATGATTCACTAGCGTTGCTCATGCTGCGGTTTTTACAAGTTGAGTTAGTCAAATGACGACAAGGAAAAGTCGAAAATCTTTTGGTGAGCTTGAGACCCGCCAAGGTATTCGTGACTCCCTAGAATGCTCCTAAGAAGCACACGTGGTCGGAAAGGTATCCAAATAGTGAGTCTTGTCAGAATTTACATTCAACTCCCAAGATCGCAAGCTTCCGCCTATCTAGAGTTGCAAGAGTATTCTTCTTCCAACAAAGAAATGCACCATGGTGAAATTACCCAGCCAGATTAATCCAACGGCCTCAAACAAACTTCTCATTGTCAATCTTAAATTCGATGATCGATTGCAGCCCACACCGCTCCAAGAATTTCGAAAGAAGTCACCTCCTCAAATCCCTGCAAAATCAGTACTCAATGTTTTAAGGGATGGTCCGTCTTCCGCAAAATTATCACACGCAGTTGGCTCCGCCAAAAATGATGAATTGCTGCACTTTCGGTATGCCAGCTTTGGTCTCTTTGGCGCTGTGTATGAAGCGTGGTTGAATCATTGGGCACTTTGCACCACACCTGAGGACTGGTGGTTCCCCGTGGCTTTGAAAATCGCTAAGGCAGTTGACAAGCAGCCAAGTATGGGCACCGTGCTGAGGATATCGTAGGATTTGGGGATGACACACGCAAAGGTGATCTGCACAGTGGACGGCATTGGGATGAGGAACGTCTCCGTGGTGTCAGCTACGAGAAATGGAATATCAACATTGAAACCGGCACAGTACGCATCGACTACAAAAAGATCTTTGCTTCAATCAAGTCACAATTGCGTGAAAGCGTGCAAATTCCGGAATTCATCGACGCCATGGAAAATGACTTTTCAACCTCCACCGAGACACATGTTGTTGCATCTCAAATAAACCTGATGTCATGTTTTCAGGAATATCTCAACTTTGCTGTAATGCGGGGTGGGTGCGGTCTGAAAACATTAGAAGTGGACAGGACTGAAAAAGATTGGGATACCCTTGTGGTAAAACTGAAAACAGCCAGAGATATTCTCAAACCATATGCAATTGACGGACTGTCAGATAGGTGGTGGGATGATGTCCTTAATGTGTTTCAAATGTTGGCATTTACACAAAAGAATCCCAATGATTGAAATGTGGCTGTGATTTGGATCAACATCTTGTGCAACACAAAGGGCGAGAAATGGATTGGCGGAGGTCCTTCAGTGGGTCAGAACACTCGCCTTGAAGTACCCCTATACAATGGTTGGCCGATAAAGTTCTTATTGGAAAGGATAAGATTTTTGTGGAAGATCTGCAAGAGAATGAGATTTGAAAACAACTATGTTCCTTGAACCAAGTACCTCTAACTATGAGTCTAATGCGGCATCAGCACCCGATCACAGATATATGCTCTTTGATCACTGGGATTGTGGGCTACAAGATTCATTCTGGAGAACAAGTCAGCAACAAAGAAAATTCAGATGGGGAGGTTGTGCCGTCAGTAGAACCATATCGTAAGTGGGCGCTGATGCTGAAACGTAACTCTCCATTGCAGAATCACCGGCTAGCTTTGGATCGATATCCATAGGGACTGGAAAATTTTTCGAACAGCGTTTAGTTACTTCTTTAGCTTGAAACAAGTTCCACTGCAATTTATGAATTGTCTCTTTGACCTGCTAATCTAAAATGGGGATATGGACTACTGTCTTTTATGGTTTCCTCATCGAATACTATAATCTCCTACAATAATTGTTTTTAGATCATCGATAACTGTTCCAACAAAAGTGCGACTCCAAAGATCATCGAAATGCTGAATTGTAACAGTTTCGATGGAGTCAGTCTAAAAGTATGCAAAACTCCGAGACGGGGAATCGAACCCCGGTCTCCCGCGTGACAGGCGGGGATACTAGCCACTATACTATCTCGGAATGTTAGTTCTTGTCAGCTCCAGAGAAAATAGGCAACAATATTCATGTGTAAGCACACATATTGCTAACAACCTTCGCGCCAAATCACAAAAACCTAAGCAGCATCACACTGTTTACACCAAGCTGTAGCTGTTAATACATTACAAGGCAAACGAGACCTGTGCTACGTTCAAGACCTCAAGCAATATCTTCTCTCATCGGAAATTGCACCAGCGGTATGCGACTGGACTACACTGTCACTTTTGAAATCAAACATGATAGAAACGATGAAACCTTCGCATGTCATTGTTCATATCCACACAGGGCCTAAATCCAACGTCTCCAACCTCAAAGAAGAAATCGCAAAGTTCTTAGAAGATCGACATGACCGCATATCGAAGCGCTTATGTCTTCGAAGCTCGGTCCGGTCCATATTGGAAGAAGCGATTGGCGGAAAGATTAAATCCTGCAATGCCTGTGAAAGCTGGAAATCTGACGGAACGATAGATGGTTCATCACAAAATGAAACGACCGAAACTGACTCATTTTGGGACCACTCAAAGCACACTGATATTTGGGGAGAAGGCGACTTTATCAGTGTGGACGTTACAAGAGTTTCTACGCTTCAGGCGATGGCACAGTCACCAACTGACACTTGGGACTATTCAAAAATGAGACATTTCGTGGCACAGGATGGTTCAGCTGCAACTTCTCGAAATACCACCCAAAGCCAGAATTGGTGGGATCGACCACTGTGGGCTTGGAAGAGGAATGAGTTGATCCTAGCACATGGCGCAATGCTGGCCGTGGAGATGACGGAAGACCTCAAGAATCCGATTTTGTTGCCTTCTCAGAAAGTTAAAGTAATAGTTTCAAATACAAAGGCCATCCCAGCGATTTCTGCTTCTGGAGATTGGCCGTATCAAATTGCAGTACCTGGGGGGACAAATAGCTGGGACACCGAGAAAGAAGAGAAAATTGGAGATATGTGCCCAACCCGGAGCTGTAGTCATTTAGTTACATCGACTGACTATGAAATTGCTTCGCAGATGTGTGAGAAGGACAAACATGAACCGAACCACCAAGACGGCGAAGACGAACAGCATGGGAAAGAAAAAAATCGATTAAGTGCTGAAGTTTCGGGTTTGCAACGAATCGACTTTCATAACACCTTGTTGCATGATTTCAACGAGGACGAAAGCAAATGCAAGCCCTCGTCATCAGGTGCAACTGAATCTTTGGCGAATATTCCGATAACGCTGTCCCCAAAGGACTCAATTGCAACCATGGATCCAAAGGTCAGCATGGAGCATGCAAGCGAACTAAGGCTTGAAATAGCGATTGAAAGTTCAAGCATTGGTGAATCAAGGTCACCTTCGACAGTTCCACCTCATGCAATGCAATCCTTGATCGTCACGCCGGTGCATCAGCATGACCATCCGCTCACAAATTTCCACGAATGTCCCGGCAGCCATGAGACTGGTGACGGATCCTCTCAGTCTGAGAATACTGATAGCGTACAGAAGGACTGGGCGGACACCCAAGTCATTGTTTTAGGTGAAGTAGGTGAAGTGGACAATCCGCTGTCCACACCGACTCAACAAGCAAACTTGCAAAGTGCTACGGTTTCACCAAATGATATGCAGAAAGTGGAGGAAGAGTGCAAAGCTGGTGGCACCGAATTCAGTGAGGTCAATAGAAGTGACGACTTCTCAGATTCTTCAAGGCCGCCAAGTCGAGCCATCGTGTCGAGTTCACCACAATTGGATAGTCAAGGCATTGACCTATCAATGCTGTCTCAAATTCCTCAGGAACTTCGCTCGGAAGCTCGCTTGGCGCTTGCGGTGAGCCATCAACGGAGACCGAGAAAACGGTTTAGGCCGCCGACAGATTCACACCTCTACAAATGGCTGTCCTCCACTTCCTCGAAAGCTTCAAAGGTACAGCGAACTGAAAACCCTTTACTGAAGGACAAGGAGCGTCCCAGCAGCATTAAAGATTTCTTCCACACGACCTAGGAGGACAAGAAGCAGCGGAATGGAAATGACATTTCTTATTTCAAACTTTGATTTTGAATGTGGCAGCCACGGGTAGATGGTCGGAAGGTTCATTTGAATTCGGACAAGATACCTTGGAGACTGTATCAAGAACAGCAACTGGTTCTAAGGCTGCAGAGCAGTACATACGATCGTATCTTGCTTCAAAGACACCATCATCTGGTAGTGGATCTCCTAGAACGGCCATGTCGTGACTAATTCCCCAGAACTTTCCTCGCGACAGTTCCTGTTGATACACATCCGTAAATTGCTCCAACGTTAAAACTCCGTCATCAGGTATTTGAACTCTGTACTTCTGTACTTCATATGAATCCTCAGGATTGGGATCGACCCATCCCATGTGCTTTGCCGCGCTTCGGAATTCATCACCCCGATTGAGCCTCAAATTGATGGTTTCCAACCAGTGCTCCACTTCCTGCTTGGTCATGATACCACTCGAATTGGAGAATTTCTTGTATATCCTTTCCAATCGCTCGCGCATTGAATTCGAAAGAATTGGGTCATCATAGGTAGCCTCTTCCATCAAGTTAGACATTAACTCTGATACCACCATAGTCGGAGGAGGATGGTTGTCAGCGAAACTGCTTCGATCGACGCTAGAAGGGACATCCACCATTGGCTGACTGAGTGGTAGCTTTTTCAAGTTCGACGAGACATTAACGCCATCTTCCACAAATGTCTCGTCGATGAATCCATCTTCTAAAAGACGCACAGCTCCACACTCCGAACCGCCATTGAAGTCTCCACACACAATAAGTTTTATCTGTTCTTCAGGTTTTGGCACTTTCAATTTCCTTGCCATCGTCATTGCTCCTTTCACTGCTTCATTGATCTGTCTCACTCGTCGCGGTCCTTGTTTCCCTGCTTGCAAGTGACAGTTGCAAACAATCCAATTGTTCTGTTGCTCTTCGTTGGGTCGTCGAAATGCCGTCACCAAACATCTATCCTTATGAGCTGCTGGTACGCCTAGTTCCCATTGTGAGGTCTTCCAAAAAGTGGCAGGTCGAAAGCGGCCCTTCTTGAAGAGCTCCACACCATCATACCCCAAGTCCAACATGAAGGCAAAATCCGAGGAAAAAGAGTCCGGACTGACTTCTTGAAAACAAACAATGTCTGCACCGACGAGTTCGATACGTTCTTTCAGTAAATCTTTGCGATAGTCCCATGAAGATTGATACTGAAGATCCTTTGGCAGTGGAGGGTTGTACATTTTGTAGTTCCACCAGCCATCCGAGCTATTGGGAAGCAAAATGTTGTAGGAAAGGACAGATATCTGTTCTGCGAGGATGGGAGGACCGACTGATGGTGACTTTGGCAATGTTGCAGGGCTAATGAGATGTTTCACTAGCACCATGATTGATGATGGATGGTGATTGATGAGCTTTGATTGTTTTGTGCACTGTGCACTTAGAACTTCGAGTATTGGTTTCGGTTGTTGTCGATCACAAACGTGCGTGGCAAAAAAGCTAAGCAAGCCCAACAATACGCCCCGGATGTGACGTCAACTCAACCGTTTTGCCAACCTGAAATCTTGAGCCAAAGGACTTGTTCTCTTCCTTTAGCATGCCTCTCTTCCATTGAGACCATGACATCGTGTATCGCAGCATCTACATGCTGCGACAGTATGCTTCCTGGAGCGAATGAAAAGGAAGACAGAGTTGACGGTGATTTGAATTCACATTTTCAAGTATCGCCATCTCCTCTTTGTCGTCCTTCTCGGAAACGAAGCCGAAAGATGATCACGTTGACTTCAAGTCCCTACTTTCAAACTCCCTCGAGCAACGATGCCAATCCAGAAAGCAAACAGCGTTTTAGTTCCTACTTTCAAAAGTCGCCTTCTTCGACGTATGGATCGATTCGATCTCTGGGGCCGTTGATTCGCACTTGGACTGGTTGCACCTCTGGCGTCTGTCAACGAATAGACGGCGACAAAATGTCACCCTCTTCCAACCCAATCAACTCTCCGAATTCTCCTATCGACTTGAATATATGTCACTCCTGCCAATCTATAGTTCAGAGTGCGATGGCACATTTTCAAGAGTGCCCGTTGTTTAGAGAGCGACTAAAGGATGAAGAGTTTGGGTTGGATACATCCTCGACTTGTACGCGTCAAATGGAAGAAAGAATGGAGCATGCGATACGTCACCTTTGTCCCCATCAATGTTTTTTAAAGGCATATGCTCCAAGTCGAGAGTGGGTCTTCTTTCGAAAGGAAATTCATGAACGCACCGATGAACGAATAGATGAGTTGCTGGAAAGTTGGACCTGCCGTTTGGTACATCATTCGAGCCAATCGGCTCCAAGAGAACGTGGAGACGAGAAGTCTCAAGAAGAAAGGCTGCAACAAAATGAGACTGACATGGATTTGTGTTATAGTGAAAAGTTGAAAGGCGTGCCACTCCGTGCGATACATCCACAAATCGTATTCTTTAGTGCCAAAACGAAAGAGGTACGAATACTGCAGCATGCTCACAACACATGGAGAAAGGGAGGGGGGCAAAAGTTTCGCTATCTAATTGATTTTGTCGATATCTCACCATTTGCACTATTCTTTGTTTATGTCTCGTTCAGTCTTATTCCAGCAGATTGGAAGCAATGCGTGTATTGGGATTGAAAGCTCCTAAAAAGAAACCCAATACAGTTGACACTAACAATTGGGCATTATGCAGAGCTGGTGATCATGACGATAGCAATACGCACACTTCTGGTGATATGGTAGCTGCTGAAGAACTTGTTTTGTCACGAATTTCTTCTGTTGCCTTTGGTACGATGCGCATGCCTATGTCCCCATTCTCTGGCCAACGGCGAAGACTTTGGAAGGAACCAAGCAACAAGACCGCGACTTTTGCAAACTTGTCATCACCTCTGTCGCATTCTGCCGCTGGTAGATCGCCTCTTGGTTTATTGGAAGAACTCTTCATCGGAGATCCTTGGAAATTACTGGTATCAGCTATTCTGTTGAACAGATCCCGTCGAGCGCAAGTAGATTACATTTTATGGGGCGTTTTGGAGAAATGGCCGACTCCACAAGCTCTACTAGCGAGTACCAATGTGGTGACCAAAAAGAATGACGAATCTTCCACTGGGAATATCCACGACCATGACGCTTTGAAAAAATTGGTTACAACATTGGGCCTTCAAACAAGGCGATCGCAAGGACTGGTCCGATTCTCCAAGGAGTTTCTATCACTATTGGAAGAAAAGACAACCAAATCAAAATCAACCTCGACACTGCCAAACTCAGAAGGAAAAATGAGCAATGAAAATGGCCTCCGTTCTTACAATGATGCAGCCTTTAACTTGACGCGCGATGAAATCTTGGGACTTTACAATTGTGGCGATTATGTTGCTGATGCCTACCACATCTTTATTGCGAACCATGCTGTCAATTGCAACACAAAAGTTGATTGGAAGCGTTTACAGCCACAGGATCACGCGTTAGCAGCTTATGTTGAATGGAAACGAAGTGTTCAAAGCAGCCACAGGCAAGACGAAAATCAATAAGGTCAAATGCCTGATTTAGAAAGACAAACAAGAGCTAGGTATGAAAGTCGCATTGTAGGGAAATATTTGTGTGAGCGTCCATTGTATCCGTTTCCATTCTTCCGTCGTCCGTATTTGGATTCACTTCCAAAGCTTTCAACAGTTGAGCGCCATCGTTGCAGCTTCCAATGTAGTTCTCCAATTTGTGAACAAAGCTCATGAATTCGGGATTGTGAACCAGCTGCACAATGTGGGAAAGCACTTGTTCTTGATCTTCGATGCGAACTTGAGGGGCTTGGTGGTTGTTTGCCATGACGACTTGCTCAGTGTGACCATCCTCAGGGTTGACATTATAGTAGCTAGAATTCTGGCTTTGATTGCGAGGGCCTTTTGGTGCAAGGTTGTCATCATTGTTATGATGCTGCTCAATCAAGGAAGGATGATTAATCTCGCAAAAGCGATCCGAAAACTCCAAACAGTCTTGTAGCGAGGCAAATTTGAGCAACATGGCCCTTGTTCGCTTGCGTGATACTAGAAGTATGCAATTGTTTCTACGAATGACGCTCGATTTGTCATGATCCGTGTCGCCCTTGAGGGTGAATTTCTGTCGCAAGGATGGAAGAACAATGGAATCTTTTCGTGGCGATGCAGACAGTGGTGTGTCACCCTGAGTTTGCTGCCTTTGCCAGCCATCGCAATCAGTGTACCGGTATAGATCGACTGGCCATTGGGGTTCGGAGGAAATGCTGTTCTTGTGGCTCGCGTTTCTCATGAGAATTGAGTTGGAATTGACTTTGTGGTTGTTGTTTTATTGGTTTTGACCGAAATATAGTGGATGGAGAAATATATGGCGCGAGTCGAGTGATTTTGACCCATTCGATTGAATTAAGAGCAACCAATATTTTTATAACACCAACAATGAACAAAAGCATCGTAACATCCGATAGAGAAGACACCATGGAAGATGTGGACGAAGAATCACCGCTTTTGACACCCCAGACAAAGCGAGAAGGGAGCACACAGTCCAATATCCACTCAATCACTCCACTTCCTTGGATGCATATTCGGTGTTATCGAATTCGTTCCACGGACGGAAGACTCGATCATTGCTCCCTCGAGGAGTGTTTGCAACACCGACGCCGGCGGAATGAGCAAGATCGAGAAGAATTGAAGACCAATCCGATTATTAAAAATGATGCTCATTACTGGATTGACATTGAAGCAGATTGGAATCCACAACGTCAACCATTGTATCACAAATGGCTGCTTCAACTAGGCTTGCCTGTCTTTGCCTTGGAAATCTTGGCTAGGTCACCCGAAACTTGGTTCTCGCAAGTCATTCCTCTTCCTCGAGCAGCTTTGGCCTTGCTTCGAATCCTTCCATCATCCTTGTCATCAGATTCCGACGAGCTGCAACATTCGGCAGCTCTCTACATGAGCAGCATTCTCTTGACTCTGACCACCACAACGGACGCAGTCAATACAGCTGATCCCCCACCATCCTTGCACTCGCAAATCTATCAACGAATGCAACAACGATTACATGTGCCATCTAGTGGTGGAGCTCTCATGGCTTGGTTAGGCTTTCATCTAGAGAAGACTTCGCATGATACACGGACCTTGCGATCGTCCGTCTTGGACTTGGACGAATCCATGGATAAGCATGGTGTTACTTCCGTCGAAGTATCCGAAATTCTACGAGCCAAGGAACAAGTCATGCGTCTCCTATCCGTTGCCGAAGAACAAACGGAATGTCTGGAATCCTTGACCGCCTTGAATCTGGAGGAATTGCGTCTGCCACCCGAACAAGATTCGACCATGGCTTCCCTCTTTCACGCGTCTCTGCCAATTTTATTGGCCATGACAAGGGCGACGGAACGTTTAGCACTGCGATTGGAACAGCGGGTAATGGATCTACGAAGAAGACTGCAAACAAACGAACAAGAAAAAATGAATCGGCGATTGGGAGTCTTGACGGTATTATCGGCTGTATTTTTGCCATTAACGCTATTTACCGGGATTTGGGGCATGAACTTTGAAAACATGCCAGAGTTGAACAAACCGTATTCGTACCCCTTGGCACTTCTATTCATGATCATGATTGCGTTCACGATGATTTCCTACTTTTGGAAGGCAGGTTGGTTCCGATAGAGGGATCGTACCGTAGATTGGCGATTGATCATGGTTTTTTGTTGGAGCAGCAAATTGAATTGCGGTAAATGGAGGAGTCAGCCAGCTTGCTTCAATCATTAATGACAGTCATTTTTTGAAATTCAAATATTGCAACACCTCTCTCTTGCAGTGACTCCCAGTCGTCGAGTATTGTGGAAAAGTTGGAAGGCTGATATGTGTGGACCAACCGAAAATGGTGCTGAGAGGCAACTTGAATGAGATGAGATTCCAGTGATTCTGCGACACAACCATCAGGGAGGGCTGCCCGAGGAACGTGTGATACTAAAAATACCCCATTGTTAGCGTTGAGCGACTTGGAAGCTGTCACCAACAATGGTTCCCATGCGGCAATATCATACAAGACATCGGTTGCCAAAACAGTATCAAATGTTCGGAGTGTGGATGATTGTTCGTCGTTGCAAGTTAAAAGGCTCTCGCCCCATGTGAGTTCCTCCACACCAATTATTATGCTGCCTTCGTTGAGGGCACAGTTGTATCGGCAGAGTTCCAAGGCGGATTCTGATGCGTCTGTCAGAATCAATTCCTTTAATTGAAACAATTTAGCAATGGCAATTCCGACTAAACCAGTGCCGCTGCCCAGCTCCAAAATGGACCGATCGATGAATAATTGTCCCAGTGCAGGTATCAGAATATCCAAAAAGAACCTAGCACCAGTCCAAATACAATGTCCCGTTGCATCGTTTCGTCCCCAACTCAAATCTACCATGTCCATTGGGGTGAGAGATGGCGCAGAGGCAATATGTACAATTGAACCATTGGAAAGTTGAAACTCCTCCTTTTTGTGCTGGGCAAATCCACCAGACAAGTGGGATATCATGATTTCTGACCAATCTTCTTCCACTAGTTCCACTCTGTTTTCCCCTGCTGACGATGATTTTCCTGCCTCTTTCGTCCCGACTAGCTCTAGAGTCCGCTTGGGGGGGAGATTGGAATATGCTTCTGGCGATGGAGGTTGTATCATTTTGCTGTTGTAGTGTTTGTTGCAGAAACAACGCGGACAAAACAGAAAATCACAATTGTTGTCTGGTACCAAATGTAGGGCTAGGTAACCAAGGTCTCCACAAATATTATGCAGGGCGACTTCTAAAATTTGTTTTCAAAATTGACGAAAAGTTGAATTACCACAACACGCAAGCAAGGATAAAACACAAGTGGGTGAATTATCAATATCAGTCGAAAAACTGGGCAGCTCATCGAAAACAACTTTTGACGGTCGAAGGCCGTGCGGTCTGTAACACAGTGTAGTCAAAGAGATCGAACAGTGTGCCTGCGGTCTACGTTGGACGAAGAATTTGCTCACAAGATATGTTGATATCACGATTGATGAATTTGGCGAGAGGCAAGAACTCAACGTTTGACTTCCAACTGCCATACGCAAACACGGTATTTAATTGGAAGGTTTCTACTAGCATAGATGCCACATATGTTCAAGGCGTATATGGGAACTTGGAAGACCGGCAGAAGCCAAGTGTAATCTGCCAGAGCCAACAGATCATGACTCTTGTGGCATGCCAAACTACAGCTACAAAAAAGACAAGCGCAGGACTCTACCAACGGACTCTACCAACGGACTCTACCAACGGACTCTACCAACAGACTCTACCAAAGGGCGATGTTGACTGTTAGAAATAAGCAGACTGTGCTCTATTGTGAGTGCCTTTAGCGCTCAGAACAAACTCTCTGCAATTTAAATTTGTAATCGACTGTACAACACTTCCACAATAATATTTCCCCTGTATTAGGTATACTTTGAGTGAAAATGTTCCTACTATGTGGTTAATGTTTGGCTTGAACTGATGATTCAATCACAAAAGTGAGTTCAACAAATTTCCTTTTGGGAAATCCCTTATTTACAGAACTGAATCCAACTTCTTCTCTGTCAACTACAGTACTTTGGGACATCTTGTAATATTCCCTACTGCATTGTACACAACATCAATATTCCACTTGTATAGGGTCATTGATGTGCGTGTGGATATTGCTTGTTTGGCAATCTCGCGTCAAATGCTGACATGGCGATCAAAATCCGATCGTGCTTGTCAAAACTTTGTACTTGAATACTAGTTTTTCAAGGAACTTAAAAACTCATATTTTGTCATATCCCAACACACTTCTGCCATTGTGACAATTGCCATTGGCAGCAATGGGACATGCTCCCATTCATTTTTATTTTGTTTTGTATTTTCATTTTGAACACATACATACTTGTCTGACCTAGTCCTGTGGACCAAGAATCAGATCTCTGAACTTGCAAAATTTCTCACCTTGCAATGGCTTGGTCATGAAATCCGCAATCATATTGTCAGTTGGACACTGTTCAATCTTAACATTTCCTTTCTCCAATTGGTCTGTGATAAAGAAATAAGGAATATTGATAGCTTGGCTGTTTTGCCCGCGCTCTTGTTACAACCGTTCTCTTCCAATAGAATCGCGGTTTTGTTATCCTGATACAAGATGTTCTTCTTGATTCAATACCCTTGCCACTCCATGAACAACTTGGTCCATGGTATCATTGTGACAACATCGTCAACAGCAATCAGTTCTGCTTCCATACTGCTTCCTCTGCTGTTTAGTTTAGTTCTTCGACATCACTTGAGCTGCACCTCCTCCAAAGGACAGAGTGCCGCCAGTATGGCTCTTGAAATCTGGATGCACCGCAAAATATGCGTCAATCATCCATTTCATGACTCGTAGTGATTCAGCAGAAAGTGTCAGGTGATACAACAATGTACAATACAAATATCCCATCATGCAAACACACTTCTTCCAATCAGACTCTGTGGGTTCTCAAACTCTCCAGGCAAGAATAGTGATCGTTGGATGGATATCCAAACGAGCTCTCTTAGAGACATAAAGTCCCCTTGCAACAGTAGTATGAAAGATTTGACGGTACTCAGCATTGAGTAACTTTCCTTTAACCAGCCTCCAGTAAATCGTTACCAGCTGGTGTTTCCTGTTTTGAATCCTTGTTGAACTTGATCGGAAAATCTTCCAACATGTTCTTGACATAGTCGTCCATGCGGATCTTGAGTTTTTCTTTCACCGAGAAATCCAAAGTCATTCCAAGATATCTGTGTATCTTTCCTCTGATGATTGTGCACTCCTTGATTGAACCATATCCTCTCATGTTCAGCCATTTAGCAAACTCGTCATTCACCTTTGGATCCATGTGACTTGACATAAGATCGTCAACATGGAACCTGATAGTTTGTTGTTTTTCATCAATAACTTTGTTAGCAACACAAGGGTCATATGGATTGAAAACAAATCCCTTTGCCTCCAAATCACTTCGAAACTGATTATAGAATCGGAGGCTCGATTGCAACATCACATATATAGCACGTAGTACCCGCACATAGATTACTCGCTTTCCGTTCTCTAATACAATGTATTCGCGATACTCTGGGGCCATGTCAATCAATATCTGGACCATCATGCCAGTGATTTTCATGTAGATACGATCTTCTCCTTCCTTAGCTTCAGGCATATAAGTTTGAATGGAAGCGTTAGGCACGATCTCTAGCCTTGCGCGATGTCCATTGTTTCTTTGTCGATTTCTTCACCTGAACAGTCAAGAACTCCTTGCGCCATGTCATTATATCTCTACCTTTGTGTGCATTAATAACACAAGTAGTGGTGATTGCTTCTTGCAAAGCAGTTGGACTTGCAGTGTCCTCTCGTGATAACAATTCACAAGTTCCATTGCCTCGGTATACTAGGCGACCTATAATTGTCTTTTTGAATTGCTTTTTCGCAAGTAACATCATCGCTGATTGGGCCTTCTTTCGCTCAGACGCAGTCACGTCTTTCACAAATTCGGGAGTAAAACAATCTCTCAGGAGCATTTGTCTCAATTCCTTATCCACAGCATCTTTTCCATCGTCACCGAACTTCTTCAGTCCTTGATTGATGTAATACTGTTGAATGAAGTTCAGACCTTCATCAGTATCAAACTTTGCTTTGATCTGCATCATACATCAGCTTTCATCTCATTCCCAATCTGTTGGAGACATAGATTGTGCTGTGCTTCAAGGATAGCTTTACTGTCTTTAGTACTGCAACTTCCCTCTTACGAATACCAGACTTCAATTTTTCCTTTAACGGTTTCATTTCCCTCTCTCGATGCTTGCGTCTTGTCGCAACTCGATTTTTGTTCTTATTGGCAGAACTGCCACTCCTGCTCAAAGGCGATCCTCTTGGTTTCTTTGGAACTTGAGAAAGGTTCAGCCCTGACATCGCAGCTTGCACATACGTTTGCCCAGATTGAGTTACTTTTGCTACTTGAGGCTCTTCAGGCTCAAGTACAATCTCTTCTTCTGGCGGTTCTTGTAGATCCTCCAGATCAGTAACGAGGCTTCCAATATCATTGGTTCCTCTATTGACATTTTCTTGATGGTGATCCAAATCGGCCACAATAGGTTCTTCCTCTTCATCGCCTTCATCACCCAAATTGTTGTCATCTGATTCATAGTCATCAGCTCCTTGGAATCTGACAGTGAGTTCTGGCATATCATCGACATCATTGTCTGCATCTGCCAAGAGCTCATTTCTTTTGGAGTCATCGATATCATCAAATTGTCCATGTAGGTTAAAATCACGCTCATCTTCATCTTCAGGTTCATAGTCCTGATCAAAGGCTTCCTCTAAGTAACCTTGTTCCGTGTCATCCACTCCTGCAATTTGATTGCCATCTTGAAATGTCTCCAAATCTCTCTTCTTATTGAAGAACTTCATGGAGGTAACACCTTTGGCAGCAGCCCCAAGCTTCAACACGCTGGATTACTTGATCGGTAACGGGTAGTACGACAACCTTGGGTTGAGAAATCATCTTCTTAGTATTGAGGTTGAGCACTCGGTGCCCAGTACGTTGTCCCTTCGTAGGTTCAATGTAGATCGCTTCAATACTTTGCGGTTCCATTGAATTGTTGGAATCCGTCCCAATTGCATGAACATACTGTCCAAGCTCAGCAACCATGTCACTCTTGTAGTTGATATTGACATTATCAATGAGTTGCTGTGGACTGAAATGTGAGGAAATACTGTCTTTCTGGGGAAAGACATTCAATAGCTCGACGGCTCGACGTCCAAGACATTCAACCATCACCTTTGGGACCACTTTGTAGGGTAATCGTGCAAGAGCTACTCTAACTCTTTCTTTCAGGGTTCGATTGTTTCGCTCAGCTGTAGGCTTGTGGTCTCCAGCTGCAGTCGGGTCAATAGTAACACCCATATCATCTAGCATATCATCCGTCAGAGGGATGAAAGCCCAATCACACTTGATCGTCTTGACATGAAAGCCTGCCTTATTGTAGCGGCGGAATATCTTATACAATGCATCAAATACAGGGTCAGTAATAATAATAACTGAGACATTAATTGTTAATATGCTACTCTGTGGGCATTCGATTGCCGGTGAAATATTCGGCTGTAAAGGTCAAGTACTGTGAAGCGGTGAGTCAACAACAAGTTTGAACCATGTGAGGCATCTGTAAGAACAGAAGTTGCTCAAGTCTCCCAAAGGGGTAACGACTTCTCCCGCGACGTGGCGGGGTGAATTCGGGGTATGTAAGGCCCCGCGAAAAGTTGGTCAGGGTCCGGGGGAAAAAATAGTCCGCAGACTGCGGCGTTGTGCTTTCATGGAGCGACGGAAATCTCTGCGTTCCTGACAAAGCAACTTAAGCCACTCTTCCTTGTCCACCAATGACTTGCGAAGGACTCATCAATGGCTTGTTAACATCGGTTGAATTTCCTTAGGCAAGTCATCGGGACCCATATCAAACTGTGAGTGAATCTCCTCATTGACAGTACTGTGACGTTCACGTAGTTGAACGTTATCATCCGAATGTTGAACGGAGTTCCGTTGCTCCCACATGTAGAAGCCGATCGAGATCAGCTGTTGTGAGAGGCGGGACGCCCAAAGAGAGACAGATCGTCATCTGATCTTGTCATAATGTTGTTGTTGGAGCGGAAGCCAAGACGAGGCTATGCGTCCCTCCAAAAGGCCTTGGGACCCAATCACCTGCTGAGCCAAGAAGGCCGGCCGAACCGAAGGAGTGATGGTCATTAGAGGGGACGAAGTAGGTGTGCGAACGCCGTGAAGAAGCTGTAGGATCGCTGTTTTGATGGAAGGGCCCGTCAATTGCAGGTCCAGCCACGTGGAGAAGGCTGCAGTGCGACGGTCCCATTCAGCTGTTGCCAAAGCAGCACGGCAACGGGGAACGTGAAGATGATCCTTGAAGTTGCCACAGCGTGGGCAAGCTGCCAATGTCTCCAAACCCCATAGAACTTTAAATTTACCTGTGCCACACATGCCCGCACAATGTTTAGTAGACCACCTTTGTAGTCCTGCAGGGAGGGATCGCATGGCTCGGCCAAGTGTGTCCCAGGCGATCTAAGACTCGGCTGCGGCCGAGATAGTACCTTTGTCCCTCCAGCGCGAGCGTAGGGCGGGAAGGGTCCCACACTCTTGGATGAACTGAGGAACAAGGCGTGACTGTTTGGTGTCCGCCATGTACAATGCCGCAAGTTCAGTGAAGAAACGAGGATTGGGGGCTATGAGATGATTGGCCATCTCAAGTTCCTTACGGTACTCCACCGCCATTCCATCCACCTCAAGGTTCCGTTTCTCCCACCAAGAAAGTTCGTCAAAGAGATTGGACTTGTCAAGATGGCCATACACGTGCTGAGGCGACCAATCCACCAAGGACCGAAGGATAGCTTCCCAAATGGATGACACCAAGTCGAACTGGGCATCAGTTGGAGACAGTGGGCGATCTTCGAAAGCCATCTCAATGGCAGAGAGACCATCGCAAGCAATCCGCACCTTGGGGCATGTCGAAAGGTTTGGGAACCATTGCTGAAGGAGCCAATCAACCGCCATTATACAGGCCAACAGACCAATGAGTTCGCTGCCGTACTGGCTCTGATCCTGGGGCAAACCGGGGGTCTGACACCGGATGATGATTCGATGGCACCCTCCATGCTTCACCAAGAGTTGAACCGCCGCTGTCCCTAACTCGTTCTTGAAGGATCCATCGCTGATCACGCGCAGGCGACCTTCCAACAGAGCATCAGCTAAGGTGGCTTCCTCACTGTGAACCTCAATCTCATCTGGAACCCACCCGTAATGGTCTGTGCAAAGCTCGGCAGCCGTCTACCACGCTTGAAGGATGGAGGGGCTATTGGGAGGGGACGGTTCAGAGGCACGGCCAGTACCTGTGAGAAGAACACTGTCAGATCCCGGGATGGGGCGAACCGTAGCGCGAAGAACATCAGAGGGAAGCGGTGCGGTCCACCATGGACAGGAAGGATGTGAAGGCGCTGGTGCGTAGCGACGTGACGTGGTGGAGGAGCCCTCAGGAGCAAATACAGGGTCAGTCTTGAGGTTCTGCATGGGAATACATGAGCGATAACGCACAGTGGTATCAATGCAGGTGAGAAACGTAGCATCTCCGATCTCCATGTGATTGTGTTGGTACAGTTCCTCTGGTGGACTGAAGAAGTCATAGTGTGTCTTCTTTGGAGTTGGTCTTGTTGACTTGCCTTTCAATGTAGATGCGTCAGGTCCAAAGATTGCTTCAACATGGTTGATTGCTTCTTCAGTGATAGGACAGCCCTTGATGAGACCAAATCGGATCGCACACTTCAGACTTTTGGTGCTTGGAGCATTGAGTATGTGCATCGCACTTCTCGCTTCCATCGTAGCCTTGACTTGTCTTCGAGTGAATCCTTCCTTGTTCTTTCGAACCGTTGCCATCTTCGCAGTCATCCCGAGTCCAGCATATCCATTCTGTTTTGAAGAAAGTTCGAAATGGGGCTGTTTATTTACGCTGCTTAACTGGCGACAATACATTGCATTTGTCTCTTTGGCACCTGCTTCGACATCCGCTCCAAGTTGCTCCAACACATATACACCCTTACGATTCACAAATCGCATCTGTCTGTCTCCATCGCAATGCACAACAAAGGCATTGTCAAAGTCAGTATCCATTGTAATGCGGTATCCCGCAGCAATCATCTCGCGCATAGCAAGTACATTGGCAATTCCGTCTTCATCATAAATGAGCCTGTGTGAACTCATTCATTCAGCCGAGAGTTGTATGCACTGAGTACCCAGCCAAGATATAAACGGATCTCCTGGCCAACTGTCAGATCCTCAACGAAGCCCCCGAAGTTGGATTGTTGTGTTGTCCTATGAAGCTCCTCCGCACAGCTGGCTTCCACTGCTTCCTCGTGCCATGATTCAGCTTTACTACAGTATGATAGCTCGTTAACGTATCTGTAAAATTCCTTGTCTGTACAGTAGCATTGGTGAGTTTCTCCGTGACAAACAATATTTTTGATTCGCCTTTTTTGAATTGCAGTAACCTGGATATGGCACCAGCTCCCGCCCGTCACGTACCGTATGTAGAAACTGGTAGACGCAAGCAAATGGTTTGACCAAGATTATGTGATACCTGCCATGGAGCCCCTTCATTGGCTTCTTGGAGGAAGCATTGGTCCAACTCTCAGAGGGAGACACCATGATCAATCCCCCCTCACCACTGTCTTACTTCTCAGAGGGAGGCACCATCATCTTCTTTGCTTTGCCTTCTCAGAGGAGGGAGACATCACAATCAATTCTGCATCATCTTCACATCATTGTCGTCTGAGAGGGAGGCACCACCATGTTTTTGCTTTGCCTTTGCAGAGGGAGACATCACCATCAATTCTGCATTGGCTTTGCATTGTCTTCTCAGAAGGATGTCTTCTTAGAGGGAGACAGCACCATTGTCTCTGCAGAGGAAGAATCGATCCACTACTCAAAGGCCATCATCTCCACATTGTCTTCTCAGAGGGAGCTGCCACCATTGTACCTGATCAATCTTGCCTCTGCCGCCATCGTATCCCCTGATAAATCTTGCCTCTGCCACCACCGTATCTGACCAATCTACTTCTCAGAGGGGGGCTCAAGAAGCCTTCTTACATCTAACACTGCAGGGAGAAACCATATCTAAGACCCAAGTGATCTAAGCCCCGGAGGCATATAAGTCTAGCCCAAAGAGATGAAAACAAAGAAGGAATTGCCACTTTCTTCAAGGCATGTTGAATTGGCCACGTAACAAGGCATACAAAAGGAATCTTGCAGACATCGGACGTCTTTGTGCCATTGAGGAAAGCGCTCATTGGATGCTGAGGAATACACCTGACTATTCGTCCTCCCAAGAAGGAGTGTGAGAATATTGAGGAAATTGGAGGTTTGTACGTCAACTCACAAAGATGGGATGGACAAACAGGACCTGTAATGTGGTGTCGACCAAGATGTTGTCGACACGATGCATATCTTTAAATACATATGTAATCTATAAATTGATCCTTACCTTAAAAGAGATCAGATTTTCAAATCTACAGTATCATAGTATATGATGCACCTTGCTTCTCAGTGAATTGAATCCCCTGTATCAAGTTGACTTAATGGACTAGAATGAATGGCTATCGCCAACTAAAAGCTTATAATTTTGATTATCTCCCTTTTGCAACACTCTGACTGTTCCAACCCTGTTATCTTTCAATAAAAGGCACTAATGGGCACATCAACTCATCAGTTGCGCGACAACTGATGAGCGAGCAAGACACCAAAGGCGTCTGTGCTTTACTGCTGACAGTCGTCTATACTACTACTAGAAGAGAGCTAGAAGTAAGGAAGGCGTATCCAACTAGTAACTTTACAAGGTAACTAGTTTCACCAAACCAGGAGTATGTGGTTTCGGTGATAATCTTCTTCAGTGGCTGTTTTTAAGAAAACTAGTGGGTGTGGTGAGGATAACATGGAGAAGTACCATTGGGCTAATTGCCACGAACTTTTTTTGAAAACAAAAAGTCTTGCTCTTTCAAATGCCTCACCCAACACCCAGAAAGTGCTGGCCAAATCAATACTGTAATCCTATTATATTTCTCAACTATGTGCAAACATGGCAAAAGGGACCTGGTGGATTCGAGTAGAGGTTTGGACCTGATCGCAATGGGCAGCTTGTTTGGGAAAACTCTGAGTTGTGATCATAAGGTGAAAGTAAGACATCGCTGGAAAGTCGCGGTCCCCATGCACAAAGATTCTGATTGAAGGAAAAGGCCCTGTGAAACATTCCAGATATACTTTTAGCAGAAGAAACATCCCATGCTGACAAGTCCTGATTAAAAGCTGATGCTCTTTCGAACATGGTTCCCATTTGTGTGGCCGAAGATACATTCCATGCAGATATGTCTCCATTGAAAGTAGATGCACTTTGGAACATATCTTGCATGTTTGTAACAGAAGAGACGTCCCACAGTGAAATGTCTCCATTGAACGATCTTGCTCTTTGGAACATATACCCCGTACGGGTCACAGAAGAAACATCCCATGATGATATGTCTCCATTGAAAGCAGATGCGTCTCTGAACATAGCATACATTCTTGTGACAGAAGAGACGTCCCATGATGGTATATTTCCATTGAAAGCTGATGCACCACTAAACATTGACCCCATTTGAGTTGCAGAAGAAACATCCCATAATGATATGTCTCCATTGAAAGCTGATGCAACACTAAACATTGACCCCATGTTCCAGACTGAAGAAACATCCCACAATGAGATGTCTCCATTGAACGATTTTGCTCTTCGGAACATTGACCCCATATTGGTCACAGAAGAAACATCCCATAATGAAATATCTCCATTGAAAGCTAATGCGGCATTGAACATTGACCCCATATTGGTCACAGAAGAAACATCCCACAATGACAAGTCTCCATTGAAAGCTAATGCGTCTGTGAACATCTGTCCCATGTTCTGGACTGAAGAAACGTCCCACAATTGTAAGTCTCCATTGAAGGATACCGCCTCAAGGAACATGTCCCTCATGGAAATGACAGAGGACACGTTCCACGATGATATGTTTCCATTGAACGATGACGCGCGGCGGAACATTGAACTCATATAGGTCACAGAAGAGACATCCCAAGAGGACAAGTCTTGGTTGAATGACGTTGCTGTGTAGAACATTTCCCACATTTTGGTCACAGAAGAAACGTCCCATGTTGATAAATTGTTATTGAAGGAAGATGCGCCAGTGAACATCATGCTCATGTCGGTGACAGAAGAAACATCCCAAGACGACAAATCTTGGTTGAAGGAAACTGCATTGGCAAACATCCGATGCATTGTTGTGACAGAGGACACATCCCACACAGACAAGTCTTGATTGAAGGACAATGCAGCAAAAAACATCCACTGCATATCTTTGACAAAAGATACATCCCAGTTTCCAATATCCTCGTTGAAAGTATTACGAGCACGGAAAAGTTCTCTCATACTAGTGACACCTGAACTGAAGCACCAATCTCCGATTTGCCCATACTGGGCCTCGACTGATGCCTTTAATTCAAAAGACTGGAACCAATCGTCAACTGTATTTTTAAGCTCAAAGTTGCTTTGAAAACATGGCTTTGTTGATGGCAGCGTGGGTCGAGGTGTAGGCCCAGGTGTGGGTTGCAAAGTAGGCCCGGGGGTTGGTGCAGGAGTAGGTTGGGCCGTCGGTAAGGGAGTAGGTGCAGGTGTTGGTGCTGGAGTGGGCCAACGAGTCGGTCCAGGAGTGGGTGCTGGAGTGGGCCAACGAGTCGGTCCAGGAGTGGGTGCTGGAGTGGGCCAACGAGTCGGTCCAGGAGTGGGTGCTCGAGTGGGCCAACGAGTCGGTCCAGGAGTGGGAGTTCGAGTTGGCGCTGGTGTTGGGCGAGGCGTGGGATTTGCAGTGGGTCGAGGTGTAGGTCGAGGCGTAGGTGGCAAAGTAGGCTCAGGCGTCGGACGTGAAGCGGGTGGAAGGGTAGGCCGAGCTGTAGGTGGCATTGGTTTTGGAGGATTGGTTGAGGTTTGACCTGGCGTGGGTCGTGGAGTAGGGGCTTCTGTTGGACGAGAACTGGGACTTGATGTCGGTCTGGGAGTAGGATTCTTGGTCGGAGCAGAAGTCAGCTTTGGTTTTGGAGGATTGGTTGGGCTCGGTACCGGACTTCCACCATATGGAAAGTATTGTGACACACCACCTACAACGCCGTTGAGATGTCTCGCACAGGTGTTTCGGGCGTCCCCAATCGGTTCTCCGTCATACAGGAATCCATAGTCGTTGGAAATCATTTGGACTCTTGGGCATGTACCGCCGCGGTTGTTATCACACTGACCGGTTTTGCATCGGTAGCCCATGACATCCCGAAAGTTGCCTCCAGGGTCTCGCCATCCATACTGAATTTTTCCAGATGAATCACATTCATTTTGGGTTCCACGGTCGTGGTAGCAACCCTGAAATAGAATATCATCAAACATGAAATCGTGAGCAATAGATAATACTTACAACCGGTCAAGCAGGGGATAACTTACCATATTGTGATTGACCTCATGCGCAAACGTATAGTAGCCAGTTGCACAGCGATATGATGTCACCGAGAACATCCACGAAGCTGAACGTCAAACAGAAGTCATTAGCTCAGCAATGAACCAGACCGCAAACACAGTCAAGATTTACAACTTACGACTTGGACCAACAAACGCCATGCCACAATAGTCAGAGCTTCCAACAATCAGTGCAACCATATCAGCGCCATACCGTGCTCGCAAATCATGGACTTCATCCATGAAGCCATCGTCCGTATTTTTCAATTGATACAAAGCTGCACGAAAGGGGTCAGTAGTTTCTTCGGTGTAACTACTGACACGATATGAATACACCAGTCGCAGCTGAGCGTTGACACCAGAGTTTTGGTACATGGTGTTTGTCTCCTCGATAGCAAGTTCGATGATTCCACGAACGGTCGCTTCAGTTCTGGCGGAAAAAGTGCATGGGTAAGCCAAACCAGAAGCCGCACACTCTGCCTCCGGAGTCCAAGGGACCATCATGTCGATAGTAGCCAGAGATTGAAGAGAGCGACGGTCATCATCGTCGTCGTCGGTGAAAGATAAGCTGAATGCTTCGCTCTCGGCCAGGTCAATCTCGACTGACTCTTGCTCTTCTGGAAAGTCTGCACCCGGAATGCAATCCATCTCAGTTTTCCCAGTTTCATCACCTGGGCGCAATTGACAAATTGTCCATTCTTTATTGTCGAGGATGACAAGAGATCCGACTTGGAAAGTCTCATCCCCAACAGCCTTTTCAATGAATGTCGCGGTGCTCTTGCCATTTGGCGCGACTCCCTTCCAAAGATTTCCATTGTCGGTTTGAATCTTGTTGAACCCAACTTTCTTGCCGTTCGACATGGGAAAAGTGAGACGGTCCTTTCCCTTGTCAAAGTCATCAAGCACGACACGGTAACCATTCTTCTTTCCAGGAAAGGCAAAAGGGCGATTGCTCTCATCCTCAGGAGGGCCCTCGTCCGGATTAGACATAGTCTGAAAGGGGCGACCGGCAGCTGACACAGTAGCAGTTGGAATGCTGTCCGATGGCGCGGAGGGGCCAGCAGGAACAGAAGCCGCAGCAACTTTGAGAGTATCCTCATCCTTTCCGGCAGAAGTACCAGCGACGATGCCTGCGGCAGTGCAAATGCCCCCAAATACTAATGTGTGAACGAAAGAATGACGACGAAATTGAAAATGCAGTGAGTAAATATATGAGCGACTGAAGTAGTCCTATGCTTGCTGATTCAAGATTCCGTTGCAAACTTACCGAGAAGGGAAAGAATCTTGCGGAAGGAGCACACTGTCGGGACAGGAGGAGCAGTAGCCCCTCTACTTTCAACGGTTGCAGGCATGGTGATGAAGGAAGAGTAGAAGATTGTTCGATGCAAAAAGATTCAGCAACCAGAAGATTGTGGCAACGTCAAGTTGTTTCAAGCATTTTTTCAAAGGATTCGGTCAATGCTATGACCAGCGTTGACTGTAGTATCCATTGTACAGTATATCACGCAAACGCGGAACAGTCGCGTCAACTGTTGTCATGATACTATAATATTAATATGCGGTGTGGGGAAATATATTTTTCATTTTTTTTTCATTTGTTCGCGTGCTGTCACTCCGTCGACCGAAGACAACTTGCGACTAATGCAGTGCCTTTTCACTACTTATCACTTCAGTGTTTCTTTCAGTATTGGTTACTATTTTATATTAGTAATACTATCCTCCAGCATTTTTCCTTTCTAGAATTGGAATTAATGAATGAGACATCCCTCGAATTGACCACAGCGGATGATTATCCTCGCACCTCTCTCTTCATTGTTTGCTCATCCACTTGGTCACTCGCTCTGTGGAAATGGGTTCTATTATGATTTGGTACAGTACTGTAAAAAAGCCTAAATCTATGTTTTCGAACGGTGAATGCGATAGGTGGGCCATGTAATGACCACAGCAGTGAGTCTTCTAGCGATGGAGGAGACGTTTCTGCCTTGCGGAAGCGAGGCATACTGACAAAAATCATTTAAGAGCTACATGGTTTAAAACCATTGTATTTTACTATTCATCTCAATCAGGCACCAGGCTGCTTTTTGAGCTCATTAACATTCATCGATGCAAGTCCCTTCCCTATGATATGCAGTCCTCCCAGAGCCGACACTTCCCCACCGTTATTTTCCTCAATGAAAAATGTTATAGATCCAACTCTTTGAAACTTGACAAATTTTGTGTTTATTGGATCGGATGTTGCTTCTAGATCCTTCGCTGTCAATTCGATAACTTGCGTCGGGTCGACATCCTCAATATCTTCAAATCCAAGATTATTTCTATTGACATACATCTTAATGACAGTCGGGTTCAATTCCGGATTGTTCCCCTCATTGAATGCTTTGAACTTGATGGACTTAACCCGGACAGTCTCACGAAAGGCAATGTGCAGAATCATCTGTTCGTCAGCGTCACTTTTGCATCCAAGAATCGAATCTCCGATGAAAAGGTTGGTGTATGGAAAGCTGGGATCTTCGTTGCGGCAAAAGCATTCGTTCTTTTCCATCAAGGTGGAAAGATCAATTAGCTTTCCATCCTCCTTAGAATCGATTGGAAGTACAGTTGGTGGGTCATTCAATCCAGCAATATTCGACATGATGCAGTTCAGTTGTTGTTTTGTTGTTATGATCTTGGGAAATGCAGATGCATGGGCGCTTCACGAACGTGTTCGAAACTGATTAGTCCGACTACGATTAATCCGACTGCTTCACATGTGTGGATCCGAACCCGTTCAAAAGATCCGAAGTTCGAAAGAACAGTTGTCACCTTGTAAGCACTTGCAGGGTTCTCGATTGCTGTGTATGTGTATCGAAGCTCATATCTTCAATCTATCTTTCTCTCTCCGATCGGAAGCATAAAAGAAAACCACAACACAAGCACATACTGTACTGTAACAGCTGACCAGAGTAGCAACAAGCAACAAGCATCAAACCAACCATGATCCTGACTCTTCTTAATTTCATTCTTTGGGGTAACGATGTACGTCATTTCGAATTTTGAAATAATATTTTTTTGCTCTCGAGTTCTTGGCAGCTGACCACTGCTCCTTTCTTCTCGTCTTTCTTTGATATCTAACTTGTAGGAAGCCCGCGGAGCATTCGTAAGTAATATCGCTAGCTAGCTAGCTCGAATCAATCCATCTTTGCCCATGTCGAAAGGAAAATCGTCTCACAAAAATATGTTTTCTTGCTTGCGATCCATCCATTTGACTATATCTTTCGCCCTTGCCAGATGTTCGCCGACTGCATTGTTCTCTCAGCACTAGTCTATGTCGACAAGAGCATGAAAGCTGAGCAAAAAGTTCTGGAAGAAGAAGCCGCCAATGAGGTGAAGCAAATGCACGAAATGGACAAGGCAGCAGCCCGTGCTCAAGATGGAGCCACTCGATCGAAAAAGAAGGCCAACAAGAAGGCCAATGGACCGTCCACTGGAAACAAGCATTTCAACATTCAACAGCCAGCAAAACGAGACTAGTGAGATTGAATCATTGATTTCCCATTACTTCCTTGGCTGGATGACGATGATTGGAAGTTGCCACATGCATTGATGAGAGTCTCCGTAGATCAATTTGGCTCTAGAGGAAGGACTACCGAAAACAGTATTGGTAGCCAAATCATCTATATACATACACACAGATATATAAAAATATAGAATCAGCAACTTTAGTTGAATGAATGAATAAGAGTGCTTCACGACAACCCACGAATGAAACCTTCTGATCGAAACGAAACTAGAGGCATGTACTAACTTCATTTTACAAAGAGCTTTATTTCTTCTTCTTTCGAGATTTCTTGTACGTTGGAATATACAACCCAGAGCCCGCTTTCGAGTTGGATTTAGATGCTGTCGTCGTTTTTCCGAAAAGGTTGATCGCTGCCTTCTTTTTGGCTGATTTCTTGCCACCTCCATGTTGGCTATCACTCTCCTCCATCCTTGGTTTCTTTGAAACTCTACCTCCATCGACACCATTATCATCGTCGACATCACTGCATGGCTTTGGTTTCTTTGCGACTCTACTTCCTCTGGCGGCGTCGTCGTCGTCGCTATGACTATCGCTTCTTCCTCTCGCATCTCGAGAGCGGAAGAAATCGCCCTTCGATGGATCTCGAGGTTCAGGTCTTAGTTGGATCGCAATTCTTGATTTTAGATCACTCTCGGCTGGGGCTCCTTCGCCATACGCTTCTCTTCTTCCTTGGGCTCTCTCATTCAAAGCACGGGGGTTGACAGGCATTGTCACTTGTCTTTGAGATGCCATGGCCTCCACATGATGCATAGCTTCTCGTATTTGGGCCGCGTTGGCTGGCACGCCAGGTATTGCTTGTATCTGTTGAATTACTTCTTGTTGCTGCGACACAGCAGCAGCCCGCCCCCCATGGCCAGCAGAACCTTGTGCCGCAGCCACGCCATCATCTTGTTCATTCAACAATCGAGCGAGAATTTGATCAGGGTTATGATTGCCACCATCATCATCATCATCATCATCGAGCGATCCATCCTGAGGATTCTCTGGCAATTGCATGGTGGCATAACTATCATATGCATTTTGAGTTAGACCACCCATTTCTTCATCGTAGCCATCGTCGCCCTCTTCATATAAGGCACCGCCTTGTTCCGCGTCGTACAAAGCATCTTGGTTTACGGCGTTGGCAATATAGCCGTCTTCTTCATCCGAAACTTCGATTTCTTCATCTCGCCGTGGTTCCGCAGATCGTCGACTCGGAGACTCTGCATCCCCCTGGCGCAACGCATGATGACGATTCTTTGCTTCAAGTTTTGCATGTGCAGTGGGCATCTCTTGATTCGAATCGTCTACGTCCGGATCATCAGAGGCGTCCTCGTCTCCCTCTGCTGGATTAGCGGCAACACCTCGGTCAGGATATAGGGAATCCTCTTCATTCGCAACTTTGCTGTTGTCTCTTTCGCCACTTTCGCTTCTTGATGGTCGTACATTGTCCCCGCCAATTGACCCCTGTCCATTTCTGGGTAAAGCAGGCATCTTCTTAACGCCATCTTGACCTTCGTCGCCACCTTTTCTGGGCTGAGCACACACTTTCTCGTCCTCATCTCCGTTTTGATCTTGTACATTATCTTCTTGTGATTCCATGTTGGCAACTGTTCCATTTGCGGCATCTAGGTCAAGGAGCTCATCGCATTGATTTGAGTTGAGACTGGAAGTGATATCTTCAATGTTGTGAACCTCTACTTCGTTGGAGCTATTTTTTTTTCTGTCGGTCTTTTTACTTTTCCAGACATCTGCAAGAAAGCTTCCGTCTTCCTTGAATTTCAGTAGATTTTCAGTGCCAAAGAGTTCTCCTTTGCGTTGCCTGTCACCCTGAATACCTCGAAAAACTCTCGCTGACCTGGATTTGGGTTCACTGGAATTGAGCGTCTCATTTTTTAGTTGCACTTTATATAACTGACGCAGATATTTCAACTTCAAAATGTCAAAGTGAGTGAAAAGTATAGTATACGTCTTCAGAAATTGTCTTTACATACCTCATCAACTGTGCCCTCTGTTACGAGTCTGATAACTTCAACGTCATTTTGCTGGCCAAGGCGATACGCACGATCTTGTGCCTGTTCATCCCACGACGGATTCCATTCCACATCGAATATGATAACCTTGTTGGCGGCTGTCAGATTCAAACCAAGTCCACAAGCTGAAGAACAAATATAAAATGAGGGATATACAAGAGGACCAGTGTCACGGATCAGACCCCGCTTGTCTCACCTTTGGTTGACAATAGGAACACAAAGATATCCCTCTCGTTATTAAATCTATTGCACAAGTCCTGACGAAGGGCGGGTTGTACCTGTCCATCAATGCGCAGAAACGAGTGATTTTGAGATCGAACGTATTGCTCGATGAAATCCAGTGTCTTCGTCGAGTATGAGAAAAGCAAGACTTTACACCCTTCCTTCCTGTATCGTTGCAACAGGTGGTGAAGTTTTTTCATTTTGCCAGAAAGTTCAAAGTGTTGATTCATGACTGCATCTTGGCGGATTAAGCCACCAGGAAGCTGCTCAACAACATCTGGTGGAAACGCAACCTTCGCAAACTCCAATTCTTTATTGAAGCGAACATAATCCTCGCTTCCCCGTCTAGCAGTAGCCTTCGATCGATCCGCTTGCAATGATCCTACATGGCTGCACAGCTTATTCAGCTTATCCAAGACTACAAATAAGACACAATACGGACATCGTATGCAACCGTTATCGTCAGTTTCGTCATGGCCATCCAACATTCTCCAGATAACGGCTACGCCAACAAATATGTGAGGTAGACAATTGTGCCATAACACGGTTTGAAGCACTGCTATCCTTACCGTCGGGATCGATCAGTGGCTGCCCTTCCTCGTTTCTCCTTGGATTGATTGGAACCTTGTAGCAACATTCCGAGCGTTTCATAATGTTTTTTTGGTTCTCGCGAATGAATCTGACCCTTTCTTTTGGCGATTGCAACTTGAAATATCGCTTGAAAATCGCTTTGTTGACCCCACAGTCACAGGGACTAGTAGCCATCTTGACATGCTGGACGTCAGGAAGTGTCAGGATGTGGGCGTATACTCTCTTTTGTAGCTCTGAAGGTGGGCACAAAACAACGTTGACTGTCTTCTTCGTTAGTTTGTCTGCGACGACATCTTGCTTCTTCCTCGCAATGAATAGTCTATTCAAAAGCTCCTCCAGAGCTGCGGATTTTCGTATACTTCTCGCAATTGTCTGCTCATCTGCACCTTTTTGTCTTTTGATAGGAATGTGACGCAGCAAATGAGCACAAAGTCAAGTTTTAAGCGTAGAACCATTTGCAATTTTCAGCCTACCTTCCAAGTTTGATCGCTCGTGCAGTATCTTGCTTGAACTCTTCCCATGACCCAAGATATCCTGTTTCGACAAGATCGATCAGATTCCAAAGCTCATGGTGGTCGTTTTGCATAAGCGTTCCAGTCATACCGAGAACCAATGGCCGATGATCTGCTTTCAACATTCGAAGATGTTTCGATAGTTTTCCTTCTTCGTTCTGTGTTTCAGGATTAGCATGGTTAGAACAATCGCAGACGATGGGGCAAATCTACAACGGGACTTTCACTTACTTTGAATGTATGGAACTCATCGATAATAACAAGTTTCCACGGAAATTCGTTGAGATCCCTGGCGCCACATGCATCTTGGAATTGAGACTTGGCAGCGATCAAGACTTCAGCGCGGCCATCACGCAGTTTCTCGAGTGCTTCAACTCTTCCTGCTTTTTTGCCTGAAAAAATTGCCGCAGCAAAGGTGGAGAACTTCTCGAATTCATTCTTCCAGCTACATAATAACAGGCGGGGAATGAGGGTTAGTTCACACAGCGGCAGTGTCGAGTTTCAGTCATAATTCTTACTTGTCGACAACTGAAGGCGGGACAATTATTAGAACAGGGTACCATGACGGCAAATCCAACGATTTAGCGTCTATTTTCTTCTGGACATAGAGTCTGCCCTCGAGATGCGCTCTCTCCTCCTCCCGTATTGCCATTTCTCTCTGTTGCATGATGATGTTGTTTCGTCTGTGAATCCTCAACATGTCCTTCCCATTTCCAGTTTTGCCAAAGAGTGCAGATAACAAACCAATGACCTGCACTGTTTTCCCAAGGCCCTGGATTCATAAGGTCAAACGGTAAGACTTTGATCACATTGTGTCACCAGTCATGCAATCGCAACGTACCATTTCATCTCCCATGATCGTACCAGTTTTTGCAGCGAGGCATTTGTGCATAAACCGGATACCTTCTTTCTGATAGGGTGCCAGATATCGGCTAAGAGACGCAGGAACCGAAGCCGCCGACTTTGTCCCCTTGCCTAGTTCTAGCGGCTCGAATTTAGATGGTCCAAAGAAAGGGTGCTCAATTTCGGGATGAACGAAATCTTCGAGAGCTTCCTCATCTTCCCTTTTCAAGAGCTTCGTGATTTCATATCGTTGGTCATTGTCTGGAAGAAACCAGAAGCTCGAGCCTCCACCTTTGATTGGCGATGGCGAGTGGTGCGATTCAATAGAATCTCTGATGGATTTATCAGATTTAGACCTACTTCTTTTCTTGCCCTTCTTTGTCATGGGTTTCTCTTCCTTTTTTTCGTCAACGTCCTGGTCCATGTCTGACCAAAGATCGTCATCGTCAGCTTTCTTGGCAGGACGGGCACAGTTGGCCGCTATTGACTCTATTGACTGTTGTTGTTGCTGTGCGACTGTGAATGGATTCAGCACTCGCTTTCTTTTCTTGCCTTGGACATCTTCTTCATCGGAAAATAGATTTCGCAATGCTGGTTTCGTGTGTCCGTCGGGTGACCTATCCGTGATACTTTGCCTGTTTTCGTGGCTCTTCTTCCTTCTCTCCCGACTTCTGCCCTGTTGACTTTCACTCTCATCTTCTGAAGAAAAATCAATGACTTCCTTCTTGCTAGACTTGTTCCCAGTTGATTTGCGATTGGATCCCTCGCTGAATTCTTCAATTTCATCTTCGGACGAGAATACAATACCCTCACCTGCTCGACCATCTGACCACAATGTAGAAGACTTGCGTCGATTCGGTCTTTGACTGAGTCCCTCACTTTCATCTTCTGATAACGATTCGCTATCCCCGCGACTAGTTTTCCGGCTTGACCTCTGCCAGCTTGATTTATGCGACATTTGACTGTGTCTTCTATCGTCCTCGTCGTCTTGGTCGGGACTTTGTCTTTTGCTTTCTTCGTCTGAAGCAGTTTCCTGACTCCTTTTTTTGGTGTCTTCACCATTGAAATATGCAAGGAGATCATCCTCAGAGTCATCATCAGAGTCTATCGCGGTGGCTGCTTTTTTTTGGTTCACAGTAGTCGCTGGAATATTCGATTGTTTCTCGGAAGATTCGTGAGTAATTTTTACCACAGTGCTGCGCCGTGCGGTACTCGTTTTAGCCGAAGGCTTGCTGCTAGAACTAATGATCCATTTTGATTCAATAGGAGAGGACGGCGCCACTTTCGTCTTGGAACTGGGACTCCTCGACCTTAGCATTTTCTGAAGTGGACTTTTGGACTTTGCATATTTACTGCTTGTCGATAGCTCAGGGCTAGAGGGAGGCGATTGCTCCGGTGGGTCTTTCCTTTTCAAGATCTCTCTCCAGGCATAGGGAGAAGCTTCCCTTTTCTTCGGCTGCATCTCTTCCTGCTGCTGCTCCTGTTGCAGCAGCTTCAATTTTGCCTCTTTTTCCCTCCGCTTCTTCTTTTCCCTTAATTTTTCTCTTCTCTCTCTGTCGAATCGGCCTGACATGGTACAGTATTGCTATAGATTGCTTTGAAAGCGTATCAATGATGTTGGAATAATGAAAATGACCATGCCAGGGCGAGTACGAGGCCTCTGATCATTGACAACTCGGTCCTGTTTGACTTCCGCAGTATTTGTTCGCGACCAGCAATTTTGAAGGCTTTTATACTATGCTGGTGCAACTATTTATACTAAATCCCCCGGGGAAAAAGAAGGGGGAGAAAAAGGAAAGAAAAGAAAACGAAGAGGAAAGAAAAGAAAAGAGGAGAAAGCAACAGGATTGCAATAAAGTGTCTTTACAACACAGCACTGGCCTCATGCATACCGTCGCAAGAATATATGCTCTATGATCCTGGCTCTAGCCAGGATTTTGACGGATTTTGAACAAGGTAACAATGATTATGTTGACCGATGCCTCTGAAACTTTTGAAATGACGTTCGAGCACCTCTAATAACATCATCTGTGCCTTCATATCGCAGATCCAATCAGAAATCGGAGATTTATCGCACTCTGAATTTGAGGTCACGAACATTTCCAGATATGCAGCGCAGAAGTTGATGTCACTGATGATGGTAGTCAGATTTTGCGTCGTCAATGGACTCAATATTTTGGGAATCAAGCAAGGTGAGGAAGGACCAAATCCAGGCACAAGCTCGCCGCCAAAGAGACTACATGTGTATTACATGATTGAAGAAATGCAATAATCAACCGTTTTTTGAGTAAGATGCAAAGGCGAAAACAGAGGCAAACTCTTGCTGGGTTCCTTGATGGCCAAGTTTCCACCATAAGGCCGCGCTACGACAGTTTACTACCGTATGGTCACAGGGGATGGGTTTATTCTGACGAGAAAACAATCAACAAGGCCTTGGTGCACGGAATTGAGACAATGATTAGATTCCAAAGGTGAAGTGACACCTACTACTAGCAACTATGGCAGTTGTTATCAGTTTCTTACAGGGGCATGCTACCATAAGTGACACTGAAACGATAGAAATTAATCTATAATATAAATAGAAGATTGAAAACGAAGTTTCTACAGATGGGCGTATCCGTCACCTCATGCTGTAGCGCTTGTCAATTCGGTTTGGTGGCTGCCACACCTGTTCTTCAGAGCAGCTAGAAGTGATCATAGGGTAACTGTATCGCTAGCTCGTAATCCAGTGGTAAGGTGAGTCATTAAAACAAGGTGCGACAGTGCTTTATAATACAATGGCAGAGTGGCAGGGCCGTATCTAGCCTGGGCCTACGGTACCAGGTACCATCCCCCTATTCATCATTTGCAAGTAATGACGAGTACTAACTTAGTGGAGATTGTCTATTTTTAGTGAATGGCCCGCTGTGATTGGTTCAGACCACTAAAAATGGGTTGATTTTTAGTGATTTGACTAACTCTCATTGGCTGAAAACCCACTAAAAATTGCACCTGCATAATGTAAGAGCCATTTTGAAAAATACACTTTCAACTTATTGGTCGAAGGAGTCAAAGCCCTGTATGTTTCTCAATTTTAATAAAATTTTAATTTTATCGCATTTTACAATTTCAAATTGGTGTATTTTTTAATAAAAATACGTGTACACGAGTACCGGTACAAGTACTCTGCAGTCAACATCGCATGCTATGATTTCTTATTTATGTCTATTGTGTGATCCTTCCGTCGAACCCACCAAATATTGTAAGTAACTCTCGTGAACAAGGCAATTTCTGGTTTGTCCAACAAACTCTCAGCACTACTAGTGGCAACTTTGGCAAACATCTCGTTGAGAGATTCAACCAGCTTGGGTCGGCAAGGTTTCCCTTCTGTGCTACTGAGCATTTTCATTTCATAGCCAGCTCTATAGAGCTGGATAAACATGTCGACAACATGCTGGGGATCATGGTCGGAATTCTCCAAAATAATGTTTTGAACTCGCCTTGATTGCAAGAGTTTGCGGGAGCCTTCCAACACATGATACTCGTATCCTTCTACATCAAGTTTCCAAAGGTATATAGGCGTGTTCACATCGGTAATCCAACCATGTTGGTCGGCGACGTCATCTAGTCGGACTACTGGAACCTCTGATTTCTTTCGGAAACGTTTCGCCATTCGATCTTCAAAGAAACTTGCCTTTCCCGGGTTCTTACCCGTTGTAAACTGCAGCATTGCTGGTTCTGCACCCAAACCATAGGCAAAACTTTGAACCGTATTATCCTCTAACCATCCATTCAATTTGAGGGACTCGCAGAGTCGCGTGTGCATAATGGGATTCGGATCGAACCCAGCTACCTTGTGTCCCATGGCTCGCGAGTAAACCGTAAACCATCCAATGTTCATGCCCACATCGATCACCAAACCCGGTTGGGTAGTATTTCGCAAGATGGATCGAAACTGTTCGGTAATTCCCGTTTCATAGTAGTTTCCCTTTTTGTAGATGTAGGCCCATCGCATATCATCAAACGTTTCGTCGTGTAATGAAATATACATGTTGGGATCCGTCAAGGTGATGTGCTTGTAAGCGGATTCTTTCAAATGTTGGTTGGGATCTGTGGAATCTGACTTTCGATTGGCAAGCTTCTGGGTACATAAAATAGGAGAAATTGTTTCCAATTGTGAATTCGACTCATTCGGTGGCTCTGAAGATGCTGGTTCTGAAGCTTTTTGTTCCAGCTGCTGCATGGCAGAATCCGTTGTAGATACTTTCATGTTTGTCATTCCATGGAGGTTCTTTGAAGAATGTAAATTGGACGTATCCGTGCTTGGAGGGGATTCCGATCTCAAATTTCTCGACACAACTTCCGGTTTTGACATGCTTTCCACCGCAACGTGAATATAAGACTCGCTATCCGATGCTGTGGCCCATAGCGCCACTCCCCAGAGCATCACATTGAAGCACATCGTCACGATGGACCGTGCCACACTGCTTTTCATTATAGAGCTCTCGGTTTTTCGCCTTCGCCTCCCTATTCCTGTCATGACACTTCTGGGACCATGTCGTTTTCGAGAAAGTACATCCATGATGCTGGCAGTTTATTGTAGGTACATTGTACAGAGTTGGATTTTTGTTTAGATGACGAAGAAAATTGAGATTTTCAATTTTTCAAATATATATGGCGGTTTCATATTTAACGGTGTTCGGGTAGGTACGATTCATCCGAGTGCTCTGTTCTCAAAGCGTCATGACACCTTTCTTCGCCATTTTGGTTTTATCAGAAAACGCTGAAAGTGCAAGCCAATCCGTATCAACAACACAACAGAAATACCAACAAAGAAGGACAAGATGAAAGTTCTAGTAGGAGTCAAACGCGTCGTCGACTATGCAGTCAAGGTCCGCGTCCAAAACAAGAGCGTCGATCTAAACAACGTCAAAATGAGCTTGAATCCCTTTTGTGAAATTGCCGTCGAAGAAGCTGTCCGTCTCAAGGAAGGAAAGCATGCTGATGAGGTGGTTGCAATGTCTATTGGACCCAAGCAGTGTACTGAGACTCTCCGAACTGCCTTGGCCATGGGCTGTGATCGTGCGATTCATGTCACTACTGATTTGAGGACCGATTACATGGATTTGCAGCCTTATGCAATTGCCAAGATCTTTGAAAAGGTGGCAGAACAAGAAGGCACCGATTTGGTCTTGCTGGGAAAGCAGGGGATTGATAGCGATTGTGGTCAAACTGGGCCCATGCTTGCCGGCTTCTTGGGATGGCCTCAAGTGACCTTTGCCGCCAACTTGGAAGCAAAGGATGGTGGCATTCAGGTGGAACGTGAAACAGATGCTGGTACGGAGACTATCAATATCCCATCACTCCCAGCAGTTGTCACATGTGACTTGCGGTTGAACGAGCCTCGTTATGCCACTCTCCCAAACATTATGAAGGCGAAGAAGAAAAAGGTGGATACCATTGCTGCTGACAGTTTTGGAATTGACCTGGAGGCCCACAACGAAGTCCTCGAGGTCTTTGAACCTCCGCAGAGACAAGAAGGAATAATGGTGGACGATATTGACCAGCTTGTCGACAAGCTTAAGAATGAAGCAGGTGTCCTTGCTTAAACAAAATTCAACACTTCGACGAAATTTAGATATACATAGTCATTGTACAAATGCAGCAATCCCAAGCAGTAAACTGATTTTTAGTCTTTGCAAGCAATTGATGGGGTATTCAGCCAAAAAGGTGGGTCCAGGATACCCCTTCGTAAGTCTCACACATCTCAGAATTTCTTTTTTCTTACTGCGAGGATATTTCTCGTTGTGCTTTCCATTGGCATCTTCATTGAGGCAGCACCCAATATTACGTCGACGATGCTCTTTCTGACTGGGATGACGATGATTTCTCCGATGACGAAAAATACCCATCGGTCGTTTTCGTTTCCTGTTCCAACTAAATCTCAATTCACAACTACTTGCCATCGGGGAACCGAACAATCAGAAGCGCGTTACAAGTATCGGAAATTGTGGATGCACACCTTTCCAAATCTGTGCATACCTTGTCGGATTGTAGCTCGTAGGAGCGCACATATCTAGCTTCGCCAAGACATTCAGGTTCTTCCTCGTCTGGATCCATCTCGTCCACCAAAGTGACTGTGTCACATGGTCTTTTGATGGTGTCCGGTCTATTGGCGAGAGTGTCTTCTTCGCTAGCTAAAATCGCTCGCAATACATCACCACAAGCTTTTCCCATCTTGAACTTTTTACTTAGAAGACCTGTACTTTGTAATTGACTGGATATCGTCCAGTATATTAGGAGCACTCCTTGATGTCCTGGTACAAACGGCAAGACTCGCAGGCACTGTTCGAGGACTCCACTTGCCTCGAGATTCAATATCTTATCAACAGACAAATCGTTATCATACGACGATATATTTGATGTCTCAACTGCAGTGACAACAATCGCATTTATGTAGCTGCGCATTAGTGTTAATTGCAGCGCACTACCCGCCGCTTTCACAAAGCCCGCAAATACCTTGAAGAAAGCGCCCTGAAAGGCAAATACCACAGGGGTGACATGATAAAAAATGGCAAAGACAATGTCGAGGGCCGTTTTGCCCCATTTGTTCAAGTCTCCTTCCTCGTTTTCACCGTGGCTGGGTCGATACTGTAGTTGTTGGAATTCTTCCATTGCGTCGTCCAGGCAGCACCGAATTTCTGATCCGCGTGGCGACTGAGAAATCAGTTTCATTGAGAAGTTTCCGCCTGTCGTTGGAGCTCTGCCTGTTCTTCTTTCGAATCACAGTGAGTTATTGAGCCTTGGAAGAAATTTTCTTGTTGTTTCTGGGGATTTCTCGAAGCAAAGCATTCACTCCTCGCTTCGTACCAGGTACTCATGTCCACAGAGGTTCCATCCGCTAATTTTATAATACTTTGGCTCTCGCGGAAAAACGGTGATTACAAGCTGAGCAAATCAGCCATGGTCAGGAATAGGCTTGGGGATTGTTCGTGTATGGGATATTCGCACGATTGGTATTGATGGCAGCTTTTATATCCCAATAGCGATCAGCACTTCAAACAATGAAATTGGATGGAAAATCATATTTCCAATTTACAATCCGGGTTTACTACCAACGTAACAGTCAGGTGCTTCCAAGAGATGTGATTAGTAGTGTCAGAAGCTTGAAAATCTCAATAAGTTCACTCATTGTGATGCATCAGCAGCTCTTCATCTGATCTTTCGGTCAGAAGAATAATGGAGAAAAAGAGTACCAAAGAATGGAAAAGGGATTGTTTAGTGCCTTTTCGGACAAACACATTACGACAACAATCAACGCGCCGCTGAAGATTAATCAATTGTTGCTTTGCTTGCCGTGTTTGCGACGTATTTCCGAATTGTCTCTTTCCTAGCACTTCAAACATGGCTAAACGACGAAAAGGAAAGCACAGTAGCGGCAGGAGTACCCCCAGTTCCATCACGCCACCTCCGTCGGCTCCAGGGTCCGACGAGGAGGATGACACTCACGAACAGGACGCAACGAAGAAGCCTGATACAAATGATGAAGAGATGAAAGAAGCATCAGAATCTCCCAGGAAAGACAAAGAAGAACCTCTTCAAAAAGTGGAAGGAAATGAAATCCCATTGGTATTGACCAGCAGCGAGAAACGTCGGGGAGTCTACGAATGCGACTATTGTCATTCGGACATTTCCCAACTTCCTCGTATTCGCTGTGCCATTTGTCCCGATTTTGACTTGTGTTTGGATTGCTTTTCTACCACTGATCACCAGGCGGCAATTGCCCGGCTAAAGGCAGCAGCTAATACGCATTCTGAACTAAGCAAGGATGGAATTCAGTCCACGATGGTAACGGGAATATCTGTATCCTCCCAAAATGGATATCCATTGTCGCAAGGATATAAGGTATGTGATAGTACAAGATATCCTATGTTCGGTCCATTCAAGCATTCTAGTATCAAGACTGCTGATGAAAAAGACCAAGATCAGGAAATGTCAGAGGGAGAAGGAAAATCATCCGAAGACAAGTCAGCTGCCTCAGCACCTTCACCTTTGGACATTTTGACCATAGTGGACGATCCCAAGGTGATTTGGACGATCGAAGAGGATCTCCGACTGTTGGATGGTATCAAAACGCATGGGCTAGGAAACTGGACCGAAATTTCAGAAGCCGTCAGTGGAAATGGATCCACTGGAAAGACCCCCAAGCGATGCATGGAAAGGTATCTGGATGATTTTTTGGGTCGTTATGGTCATATCCTTCCTGCCTACACTATCATTGATGATGCTGTTGAGGATGAAGTAGAGGCACCTAAAGAAACGACCAATGATGGGGAAGAATCCTCCAAGCCTGAAGAAGAGGAGGCTGTACGGAGCTCCAAACGACGAATGTCCTCATTGTCTCGAATGCCCAGCAATCTGAGCACTACCTCCAAGGCACGCAAACGATACCGAGTTACAAGAACCGAGACCTTACCCGAATACAAGAAACTCAAACTCAAGCCATTTCTTCCAGAGGTGGAAGGCGTAGAAATTGGACAAGAAGTTTGCCGAGAGCAATCGAAAAGAGCCGAACTCGAATTTGTCAAGGCAACGGCTGATGCTTCCACACAAGAAGAGGTTGACAAAATTAAGGAGGAATGGATTGAAACAAGAATGAATCGCCCCGGGGCTCCTACTGTCTTGCCTCCGAGACCATCGGATACAGCCTTGTTGCCAGGTGCCGATTTGCTGGGCTTTATGCCTCGTCGCGGAGATTTCGACATTGAATGGGAAAACGATGCGGAAGAGTCCATTGCGGACATGGAATTCACACAGAATGATACTCCCCAAGAAAGAAAACTCAAGGTACAAGTATTGGAGATCTACTTCCAAAAGCAAGAGGAACGGGAACGGCGCAAAAATTTCATCATGACCCGCAAGTTGTATGACTACAAGAAATTTTTGGAAGATGAAGAAAAGATTCCTGTGGACGAACGGGATTTGGTCCAACGGTTGCGACTGTTTGAAAGGTTCCACACACCAGACGAGCATAAGCAATTCATTGCGGGTATTATCAAGGCCAAGAAATTGCGCAAGGAAATTGCCAAATTGCAAATGTACCGTCGGATTGGCATTCGCACCTTGTTGGAAGCGGAAAAATACGAACTAGATAAGGAGCGACGCCAATTCCACAAGGCTGCTCAATGTCAAAAGGAAGCGGAAGCCACGACCAAGGCAACTGGGGCGCAAGATCCTATTGCTACTTCAATCGCTTCCACTATACAAGCAACGGATACCAAGCCTGCGGATACTGCACTGTGGAAGCAATACAAGCACAATGACCGGAGAGGCCGACGAAGCATCAATCGGACTATTAGTTCTTTATCAGATGGGGGCGTAACAGACGTTTCCGAAGCTAGGGGGATGGAAGAAAATAACGGTGAGGAGAAGAAGGCCGAGGAAAGCAGAAAGGAAAAGAAGGATGATGGGAAGAAAGAGGAGGAAAAGAAGGATGACAAGACGGAAAATGAGAAGGATAGCAAGTCGATGGAGGTAGATGAAAAGGATACAGATGTCGAAATGAAGGACACAGAGGTAGAGATCAAAGCTCCAGAACAGGATGCATCATCCAAGAAGGAGAAAAGCAAGAACAAGGAGCAGGCAGAATTTGATATTTCTGCATCGAAGGGTTACGATTTGCTTTCCAAACGAGAGATTGAATTGTGCCTGAGACTGAAGATTTTCCCCGTCCAATACCTCGAAATAAAAAAAGCGCTAATATTCGAGTCTATGAGGAAAGGGCTCTTGGACAACGAAGCTGCAGGATCCGCACGGAGGACAATCGTTAAGGTCGATGTGGAGAAGCGGGGCAACATTATCGATTTTCTGGTTCGAGCAGGATGGATTTCGACATCCTTGGGGAAAGCAGCAGTATCGGTCAATAATTAATAAAATCAACCGAAATTATCATTGAATGAAATCTAGTGACCTCAACGAATAGTAGCTAGCATGTTGTGACTAATAATCATGCTTTGGTTTTGTTATAAAGCTTCACTTCGTCTTGGCAGCACTGTAGGACGCTCCTTGGTCAAGAGCCTCGCGATTTGGCATATCTGAAGAGTAGGAGCGCCAATAAGGAAATGCTCCAGGCGCCGTTATTTCCCAGCATTCATCAAAGACTCCAAGTAGTTCTGGTGATAGATCGTCTGACTCGGAGGCTGCTTTGCAAGCTTGAAGATTTTGATCCAACTGTTCCATGGAGCTTGCACCAATCAATAGTCCATCCTTTTCACCAAGAGCGGAATGGCGGAGGATCCATCGGTAGGTTGCCTCCACCATTGACAAACTATCTTTTTCACATTGCGCTTTAATGAGTTCAACGGCTTGAAAATTGGCTTCCGTGTAGAATCTTGGAATGTAGTTTTGATTGTTCAGGAAACGACCAGCCACAAAATCGGTAGTCCCCTTGTGCTTCCCGCTAAGCAATCCCGCTGCCAATGGATTGTACGCCACAAACGAGCAACCGTTTTCTTTCAGAAGCGGTAACAATTCTTCTTCGACGAGTCGATTCAAGGGGTTGTACAACCCTTGATAAACTGAGGGTGGAGTCAAGTTGTGCTCTTGACATAGCTGAAAGGCACGGGCGACTTCTGTGGCGTGGTAGTTGCTCATACCAATCTTTTCTATTTTCCCTTCCTTGATCAAGTCATTTGCACACTTCAAGCTATCCAGCAACGAGTTCTCGGTGTCTGGTTGGTGCAGGTAGTATTCACATACACTCGGAACTTTCATCTCCTCCAACGACGTTTCAAGCTGCGATCGCACACCTTTAGGTGACAAACCAGGAGTGACACTGGGGTGGGCCTTGGTTCCCAATACAATCTTTCCAGACTCCGATTTTGCTCCACTAATGGCACGGCCAACCATTGGCTCCGTATTGCCTCCTGCATAAACTCTGGCGGTATCAATTAGATGTGAATTGATGCCCATCTGCTCGTTGGAGGTGATGAACCGATTTACCATTTCCAATGCAATGGAATCATCGACAATCTTGGAAGTCTGTGACGACCAACCAAATGTCATGGTCCCCAGATAGACCTGTGGTAACGCAAGCTTCATGTTTGGATATTGAATCGTAATAACTACAGTATTATGATGACAGCAGGTTCAGCATCCGCCCTTCGTTTTTGAAAGATTTTACTGCTGACTCAAGTCAGTCCCGCACGGACAAAAATGTTAACCCGGAAGTAGAGAAGCATCAACCAAAGTACAAGTAACATCACAACAACAATCAATTACCATTTTCCAATCACACAAATCTTTTAAAGTCATGACCAGGCTGCTTCACACTTGCCGATGCATCAAATTCAACAACAGAAATGACATCGCCAGACAACTTTCATCATCTTCTTCTTCCGAGATTACAAGATCTGACATTGTGGATGAAGCTTCTGCGTTGACCAGATCCCTTTATCGCCTTTGCCTCCGTTCAGTCAAAGTCATCCGACATGGAAACGAGTTTGATGAAAAGGATTTTCAACGACGAGACGAAGAATTCTCCAACCCAACACCAGGAGGGGTAATGTCAATGGCACCGCCGCCAAATCGAGAAGATGAACTGCGTTCGCGTGCCGAGTACTATCAATCGTACGCCCGAGAATACTTTATTCAAGAATCAGATTGCTTGGACAACGATCCACTTCAGGAAAGAGACATCAGGAGGTTTCTTTATTACTTGCGAAAAGGAGAGAAAGACAGAAAATGGTTGCTTGGAGATATGCTATTCCCAGATCCATACAAGACTGCATTTGATGTGGAACGGATCGAAAAATTCGAGTCCATGACCAAAACTTATTTGGGTGAAGACGAGGAAGAAGAGATCGCCGAAGGTACTAATACAGGATCATCAGAAGCTACGACCAGTAACGGGGATGACTATTTTGCAGATGCAGAAGATGACTTACCAGATTGGGTGAAGAAACATATGAAGTGAACGATCACAAGAAGATGGGTTACGATTGATGGTACAAACCAACTGGTGACTCGCAAGTGATTGTGACCATGATTGTTGTTGTGATTATGAATCAGTTGCTATAATCTTTCAAATGTCCCTATGATACAGTTAGCCCTGAACTACTCCTGCCAAACTATCTAATCTGACCGAAGCTGACATGATTCTCCCTCTGACAAGAACCATCCCTATTGAATTAGTCAGATGGTGTTCTGACCCACAAGTTTCTTCAGAGTCTGGAGCTCGTTATTGGTGTCGACGAGACGCTTGCAAAGGTTGTCATTCGTCTGATTGTACCATTGAAGAATGTTCTTGGTTGCCTCTCCCTTTGTATTGATTTCCTCAAGGAGATCCTTTTGGGAGAGGATGGTCTTGTTGAGTTCGGAGATTTCCTTAGCTTGATCTGAAACCGTTTTTGTGAGCTTTGCAATCACTTTGGTTTGATCAGAAACCTTGTAATGGAGGCTGCGCTTGTCAGATTCAAGCATGTTGATTTGACCTTCCAGCTTTGAGATTTTCTTCTCTCCTCGCTTAAGGCTTGCTTCGACTGCTCGAATTTCAGCGGGCTGGTGACAAGGATGTCTGTAATCTGGAGGTTTTTGTTTTCGAAACAGACTAGTAACGGCTGCTTTGTCGAACCCATCAAAAGGGTTCAAAGAATGATTACTAGAACAAGCCGGCGGTTCTTTTGATGCAAGGTTTACGACACCTGGATCATTTCCTTTAGAGGAAACAGTATGATTTCCAAAAAGATGATCTAAGTAACAAAATTTCATGATATGATAAAGTTTCAATTCGATGCAATGTAATGCAAGAGATTGTGTAATGGTGGGAAGAAATGCTCATTTTCAATTTCGGTTTTGGGTGAAAAAATGTAACGACTTTCTGACCAACTCGACTGATTCATTCCCTTGTTGTTCCCATTGACCCGTTCGACTGCAATTAGCGCCACCAAAATTGACGTCATTCCACACAAAACGTGCCGTAGGCACACGTACAAAAGGAATGACTCATTCATTTCAAAAACCATTATTCTTACATCACCACGTCCGACCACAAATTACATCTCTTCGAAAGTCTTATCAAAATGAAGTTCACTATTGCCGCATCGCTCATGGGAATGGCCGCCGCCTTTGCCCCTCTTGACACTACCGTTACCAGAACCGAGACCTCGCTCAACTTGTGGGGAGAACCAACAGAAAAGGATGGCGAAGGAGGCGAAAAGTCCAAGGCACTTCCATTTGCCCCACGACCCAAGCTTCTTGACGGAACACTTGCAGGAGATGTCGGATTCGAGTGAGTAGCGCTCGCGCTGAGAACTGACAATTTACCATCGTGTATAGTCTCTGACCTTTTTTTTCGTTTTCAGTCCCTTTGGATTCGCAGGTGCCGACAAGGAAAGTCTTATTTACATGCGTGAAGCCGAGGTTAAGCACTGTCGTCTTGCTATGCTTGCTGCTGCCGGATGGCCTATTGCCGAAATTTTTGACAAGCCCATCGCCGATGCCGCTGGTCTTCCGTCGCTTCTCACAAAGACTGGAGAATCCCCATCCCTTTTGAACGGTGGTTTGGACAAGATCGACGTTGCCTACTGGGCCGCCGTCGTCTCTCTTGCCGGAATTGTCGAAATTGAGAGCGCCAAGATGAAGGAAGAGAAGGGCAAGGCTTACATTATTGGAGACTGCAACTTCGACCCTCTTAATCTCTTGCCAGAAGACAAGGCCGGACAAATGACCATGATGACGAAAGAAATCAAGCATGGACGAATTGCCATGATGGCCCTCCTTGGATACGTCATTCAAGAGGCAATCTACGGAACCCCAGTTGTTCAACAAACTCCATTCTTCTTCACCCCAGCTTTGTAAATTATAATAGACTAAAATGAATTATCAAATACCAAAAGCTGCTACTCCAAAAACGGGGGACGTGAGCCTAGATGACGACGACGACGGAATGCAAGCAACTTTTACTGTCACAAACACATTTTGGGAACCAACACAATCACTGCTGATGACATCATTATATCATGCGACAAGCGTAGAGGTTGTAGGGGTGCAAGCGACACAAATGCAGCGTTTCCGATGTGTACTGAATGAGTCAAGTATTGTCATCCATCATCACGACGACAATCGTCAGTTTCACTAAGTCATCATCATCGATCTCATTTTGGCGCGCAACGTCTGTCATCAGTCAGACATGCCTACTACTAGATGCAGAAAATCGAAACACAACAAATCCGTTTGCAACAATGATCACCTCCTTCTTCAAAGCAAAGTCAGGGAAGGTCAAGCCAATCACGTCCGATGGCCCTTCGAGATCCTCACCTGTAGAAAAGCGAGAACGAGACGTGGATGGTGAAGCAACAAGATCCGTGAAGCGTTCCAAGCCCTCCGAACAACAAGATCCAGCCGTCCAAGAAATGCTGGCCTCTCTGAATAAGCAAAATTCTGACGAGACCACCTGGTACGATGTAATGGAAAAGCATTCGACTCAATTTTCGTTCAAAGGCCTTGCCAAGTTTGTCCAGAAGGAGCGGAAAACGAAAACCATCTTTCCTCCACCACAAGATGTCTTTTCGGCTCTGAACTTGACGCCACTCGACAAGGTTAGGGTGGTCATTGTTGGCCAGGACCCCTACCATGGTCCAGGTCAAGCACACGGACTCTGCTTCAGTGTTCGAAAGGGTATTCAAGTGCCACCGTCACTCCGGAACATGTATAAGGAGTTGGTGGAAGACAAGGCCGTCAGCAACTTTACGCAGAAGCCAACGCATGGCTTTTTGGAACGATGGGCCAGGCAAGGTGTCCTAATGATAAACACTGTCATGACGGTGCAAAAAGCGAATGCCAATAGCCACAAGAAAAAGGGATGGGAGGAAGTATCGGATGAAATCATTCGAGCAGTGGATCGTCGGTGCAAGAAGGAAGGCAGGGGAGTTGTCTTTCTCTTGTGGGGAAAGCCTGCCACCACCAAGGCTACCACTGTTCTAGGAGGTTCGGCCTCTTCTCGTCATCGAATCATCTGCACATCCCACCCTAGTCCTTTGGGTGCCACCAAGACAAAGGTTAGTCTACAGTAATATGAAGCTCGAAGTATGATTGAGTTTGCTGTTGGCAAACACCGTATCTCACCTTTTTGCATATTCTCTTCTACAGTCACCCTTTACTGGAAGCAAATGCTTTAGCCGTGCCAATGAATACTTGAAAGAACTCGGCTATGATGAAACCATTGATTGGAGGGTGGATGGAGACTTGCAAGAGATCTAGCAACAACCATGATTTAATGTTTATTTCCTACGTGCTTCCACAGCTCGGCTGCCATTGTAAAAAACCAGATACAGATGCGTACAGAACATATCTTAAATACACATATCCGTCACCTCCAAAAGCATAGCACTGTTTGCATCTATCATCTACCGGTACTGCAGCTTAAGAATGAATCCAAGATCATTGGATTGATTCCTTCGATCCCAATGTCTCGTACATTTTTTACGTCCGAAATACGTAAAATCGAACCGTTGCGACGAAGTCGAATGAATGATGAAAACAGCATTGTAGTGTATCTTTCTCTATCCGTCCTCCTGGCTTGTAATAATAGTCTTCGTTGTGCGTCGTTGCAATGGCCGACACGGAGACCGACTCTACAGCGCCAGCGCCCAAAACGGTGCCCTATTTTGCTGATGACTTTGATACCATCAGTTCCCAAGCCACTGAGGAACACAGTTCATTTCACAAGGCTCTTTCGGATTGTTTTCATGCTCTGAGAGAATCACGAGAAGAAGCCAAGCCTTTGTTCGCCAATGATCCAACAGAGGAACCCAAGTCTTCCGCTGAAACTGAAAGCGGAATCTTGAATCGAGTCCCAGCAGCTGTCGCAGTCAACTTCATCGATCCAACCACCAAGCTGTCTCCAGGACCAAAGTCGAACACGCTTGCCAAATCCAGCAGTGGAGCCGGCATTGAGAATGTCTACGAGAAACTGACGTATGTATTTGAACGAGATTATGGCTCCACTTTACGAAGTATCCAATACAAGAATCCGAGAACTGGAGACAATAGTGTCATTTCGAGCCTTCCCGTTACTTCCAGTTTGTTTGGGACTGTATCCGACAATGCCATCTCGGCACCTCTGAGTGAACCTTCCGAATGGCATACGGGACCTTTCTGTCATGTATATATCGCTGCCTGTCAAGGATTGGAGCACTATCGAGCCAAAATTCGACCCTCCTTGCAAGCTTTTGTGAGTCAGATTGAATCTGCAGCAACACAACCACAACTAGCTACAACGGGTGGACAAGGTGGCCATAGTGCCCATTTCCTAGTGGTATATATTCCCACAGGTGCCAAAGAAAAGAACGAGGACAACAAACCAGAGAATGTGCGAAGTGCGGTCGCCAATCGATTGTCCATGGTGCGAAGGCGATTTGCCAACAAAGATGAGTTGGATGGCTCGCAACACAGCAGAGACTCGCTGGACAGCAACGGAGTGTTGGATGAGAAAGAAGAAGAGGAGGTAGGCTCATTGAGTCTCCTATCGAAAACTGAGCGTAATATTTACAAGAAAATTGCTGCTGATTTTCCAAATGGCAAGGTTTGTGCTCTTTCGAGAGCGTCCTTGAGCAGTAAAATCGAGACAGAGGAGGTATCTTCTTCTGGGTTTGGTATCAAGACCCAAGAGTGGAATTCTTTCAACCGATGTCTTGGGCAAGTCATTGTTAGTGGGTTCAAAGACCGCTGTCGAAGGTATAAAGATGAGCTAAGAAGGCTGGATACCCAACGAGCCAGCGAGGCTTCGGCAAGGAAGAATGGAAGCCACGTCCCTCCAGAATTCAATGAGTTCAATCTTGCCAACTTCTTTCTTGTCAAAGAAAGTCTTGCATTTACATATGAACAAATGCAACTGTTTTCGGAAGCTTTGCTGCAGTATGATGAATTCCGTGGATTCCTTCCCCAACTCACAACCAGAGGTTATATGGAAGCGAAAAGAGACAGAGAACATTGCGAGGCTTTAAAGCCGGATCCTGATTCACCAACCCTGTTGGAACTTGCGGATTCTGGTGACTTTACCGGCTTTCGCAAGAAGATTCAGCAGGTATCGGATTTGAAGCCTATTCTTGATACAATGAATCGGTATCTATTTGCAAGAGAGCTATGCCTTTTGACAAAAATGGAGCAACCCGCAGAACTGGTAGCGCGGTGCAGAAGGTTCATCAAGATGATGTATGGAATTATGATGAGGGGGATTTCAGAATGTAGTCCAGAGGAGCAAAAGCTTCGAAAGATTAAAGCAGCAGAATGGGTGATCCAGTGCTCGTGGGATGTCAAGTGTGCAAGTGAGCAATATCTCCTCTCCATGGCCGAGGCAATGCGATCATCATTTCGGGATGATGCGTCTCAAGGTACATCACTCAGTCTCACGAGCGATTCATCGGATGCAACTCGCTTGGAACAAGTGTTGGCGCGGCAACTCAGTGAACTCCTAGAAGTTGCTCGTCTACTCTACAAGGAGCTTGGTAGCTTGAAATTCCTCGATGGGAATCCTCTCAAGGCCTACGAGAGTGTGCTCCCGGCAGATATGTTTGAATTGTGGAAACCATGGGAAGCACAAGCACTAAAGCCAAAGGACGAGACGCTGGTTGTTGAAAAGAAGAACAAAGAGCCTCCACGACGAGTGTCGATTATACAACGTGCTTCTGTTCCAATGATTAATGATCCCCATGACAAGCGGGAGTTCATCTTGAAAACCGCGTTCGACTCGAAAGAATCTTATGAGGATATCTACCTTGAAATGGCGAGTTCTTTGGTTACATTGAATAAGTTTGCTGGTCGCAAACGGTTTGCTGCGAGACACCAAGGTGATATTGCAGAGTCGTTTGTGAGGAGTGGGCTGTTGGTAGAAGCTGCCAAGATCTTCAAAAAGACAGTAAGAATTTGTAGGTGGGATCACTGGGATCGTTGTCACTTTTATCGGCTGTTTCGATTAGCATATTGTCAGCGGACGACGGCAAAGCCATCCGATTACTTGAAGACACTGGTCAGTGCTTTCAGCCCACGGACAACGGCTGTGGCTCCTCCACTGGCACTTCTTTACTTGCAAGACGACTTGGAGGCTGTCATTGGGCATCCATCCGTGGGAGAGGCTCGATATGGAAAGCTTGCATTCTTGGAAGCACAAATGAAAATTGAAAATACTTCCGATGACCCGAAAAGCCTGGGAGCTGCGTTTGACCGAAAGCAATTGGCCAAAAAGTATTGTTCTGTCGGTGAAACAGTACGGATACAAGTTACATTGAACAGCAACTTGCCCCGAGCAATCGAGCTAAATTCCCTGCAACTGTTTATCGTTCCGTTTGATAGCTTCTCTTCCATTGTTGAGAATCACGAGTCCGTAGAGGAGGAAGATGCGTTCAAGATCTTGACGATAGGTGCACCAATCAAGCTTGCAACTGGTGCAAATACGTACTTCTTTGAATGGTCTCCTTCCACTGCTGGACAGTACATTCTTTCAACAGCAGAAATTGTATGGAAGCAAGGGTACTTCTATTACGATGGCATGGATCTTCCAGAGAATTTGTATGGAGTTGATGTTCTACCGAGTGAACCGACTCATTCACTGTCAATTGAGCCTGCTGTTCTCCTTCCTGGTCATGATCAAGAAGTCCACTTAACATTTAATGCTGCAGACGATTTTATTGTAGCTGGCAAGCTGCAATTGGACTGTTCAGAAGGGCTTACTATAATCCCGCCCGGCGAAGATCCTTCTTCTGGAAATTGGCAAAGCAGCTGCGAGGTTGATTTGGGGTCGTACAAAGCGGGAGAAACCAAATTGTTCATAGCTCATGTGAGGTGTGGGCTCATCGACAAATTTTCGCGGCAGTCAATTTTGCAGCAATCTTCTATTGACAAGGTTCATGGCTTCAGTGTCAAAGGTGTTACAACTTATTTGCACGAAGAATCAGTGGACGCGGATCATCCGATGCGAAATACAATGGAATTGTTCGCACCCATTCTTGAAAAAACTGCTTTGTCGGTTGAAGGAATTGACCTCGTATGGGTTGCAGAAAGGCAAAGGGCGATCGTTAGCATTCAGCTCATATCAAATACCCCAAGATATTTCTCCCTCGAAAACTGGAAGTTGGTTTTGCCTCCACCCTTTTCTGTAACTAATGGTGTAGATCTCAACGGCGATTTGCTAAAATGCAAGGTCTTCAACGGAGACGAACTTTCTTTGGCGTTTGATTGCTCGGTGGTTGATGGCGCAGATGGTTCGGGTGACGAAGAACCAATACTACAAGTGGAACTTAGCGACGACGTTGGCAAAAAGTTCTCATTGGATCTGCCTATTGACATGAACGAGCATTATCTTCAAGTACTTGAATCATCTGCCACTCCGAAATCACGAGGCACTGCTGCAGCAACAGTAGCTTTGGGCGCCCCAGAAGGCCAGGTTGGTGAACCAGTCATTATGAGTTTCAAGATCGATCAAGAGTCATTGGGATCAGCTGGTACAATTGCGTACTCCATTTCATCAGATGGAAGCAACTGGTTGATTGGTGGTCAGGTAAATGGCATAATTGACACGGCTTCGTTATCATGCAATGTGATTGCCATTCCAACAGTAGCTGGGCAGCTATCTTCTTTTCCATCAATAAGGCTGCGGAGCTCGCTTGGCAACGGAGAATACTCGCCACTGATCACCAAAATGCAGTATCCACCAACCTTTCAGTCACTGGCAAGAACCAGCGAGGTGGCGGTTGCATTTTCAAACAGTAAATGAGGAAATTAACTTCTGTAGAATAATATTTAAATTCGTCAGCAATTTTTAAGCACAGCTTAAAAGAGAAAAAATCTATAGCGTTTAATAGGCTTCTGCACTGATCCTTGAAATAGCTCCGCTGTGGTTAATCCGAGACGACATACCATGCCTCGTTGAACGTGTATTGAGCGACTCCGCCTCTTCGCCTTTCCATACTAATGGAACGAACACCCAGAGTAACAGAGACATGGAAGAAAAGAACACCAGGCAGATCTTGATGAAGTAGACGATGATCGTATTCGTTTTATCCAGCAACAGAATCACAGGAAAACCGATCAATCCAATCTGCATCCAGCTGAAAATTGCCATTCCAATCCTCGAAGCTTCACTCAGTTCCTTCGAAACATTGCGTGCCTTGTAGGCCTCCCAACAAGCAGTTGCAAGTGCAATTGCATTGATTGCGAATAGCAGCCACATTAAGACTTCGCCATCCGTGCCACTGTTGCGGCAAGAACCGTACGTGTTCCATGGTTGCCCCGCAATAGAGTCTCGTTCATATCGCAAGGGGTCCACAAAGCTCGAAGTCAAAAGCACAATGAAGTTGGCCAAAAACAAGAGAGCCATTGGAGCAAGTACATCTCGCTCCTTGACTTGTATCCGACGGAAGTTTGCAGCATTGGAAACAATCGTATTCACACGCTTTAGCTTCGCATACAGAGCTGCGAATGCAATAGAGAAACCAAGGCTTATCAACCATACAAACGCCATACAGGCTATATCTGCGCTTTCTTCTGAGGCAATCTCATCGTCGATACTCATGGGTATCAAGGAAAGTCCACCCGCCAAAATGCCAACACATAGTGTCACCAAGAACAAGGGTTGCATCAGCTTTACCGATTGGTTCTGACGATGGATCAGGCACCAACAAGCGAATCCCATGGCACTAAACGAGATCAAAGCTGCCAAACAAAATCCAACAATCCGAATATTTCCCAATTGGTTGAGCTCTTCGGTAGGTAGCACTTGTAGTTCGATATCCAGGTTCACACCATTTCCACGGCATCCTGGAAAGTTGCCACTATCGGCCACTCCAATAACAACTACCGCTTGTACAATACCTGCTTGCAGATCTTCAAAACTCGCGGCAAAGTCTAGATTCAGCTGCCCGCCAGCTTGAAGTCGGAAAGCGTCAATACCCTGGCAGAATCTCGACACTTCATCGTTCTGTCCTGAGCACGAGAGAAACGATGGCATGGATTCAACAGACAGAGCTACTCCAAAATCTTCCTCGTTAATAATGGAAGCACGCAAAATAAGATCATCCATCTGCCCACTCGCCCCGGTCAATGGTTCGTTGCGTTCCCAGACGGATACAATGTTGTCAATATTGGGACAATTGAAACAGGTTTGATATGCGGATGACCAATATTGTAAACCCTCCAAACAATCTTCTTGACTCTGTGAGAGATCCAAGTTCGCCAAGGCAGTAGTGTCGTTTGTCAATCGCCCCTGCAATTCTCCGGAATACGTTCCATTCAGTTGAGACAGGAAATCAGCGACAGCTTCTTGTTCCAAATAAGGAAGGGCTGTAGAAAAATGATTTGACGGTGAGGCAATGAATGCAAACTGGGCCTATCTGCTGCATATTCGGTCAGTCAGTCACTTACTTCTACCTGGGACTTCCCCAGGAATATTCAAATTTGAAGTTGCCATTGCGTTGAAAGGAGCATTGCAGCAACAGTTGTAGCTATTCGTGGCAAACTTATAAACTTGCAATCGCTCGACTGGAACATAGGCATTCTGGGTAGCATTCCAAACTTCCAACTTTACAAGCTTTCCGGTAGAGGCATCCAGTTCGGTGTTGTAGGTCACTTTCAAGCCTGAAACCTGTTGCAAATTTCCACCTTCGACAGTGTTTGCATAGGAGAATGAAGAAGAGGACACAGAGTAATTCGTCATTTTCCAAAGATTTAGACCAGTCATGTATCCTTCGCAAATGTTATTTGCAAAGGGAATGGTCTCCCATAAATTGGAAACCGTCACGTCTCCTTCTCGCCATCCCAATCCATGGTATGCCGCTCCATTTTCAAACGCAAAATCAGCGTCGGCGGCCTGTTAGGGTGGAATTCTGCTGATATATTCCTCCCGTTTTGGCTTCCTCATAGGACGTTGATCTTCGCTTGAGATTCCGTGTTCCATTCGGGCACGCGCACTTCAACATACATATTGTCCAATCTCACGTCACCACGTCAGTGTCACGTGAGACGGACCTACTGTCTGAATTCTCTCTCTTTGAGTGAATTCCATCTCTCACTCTTTTGTGGAGATCGTAAAATCACATCACATCATTAAAAGGATAGAATCTCTGTTTTATCTTACTGTCTGGCTATATCGGTCTCGGATCTATAGCATCGTTAACAGTATTCTACCTTGTCAGGTTATGAGCCCAAGCTTTTACGCTTCTTACTGTGATTGTCAACAAGGAAATTGAAAGTTTGTTTCAATATCGTCCACAAATAAGTCAAAAACGCTTTTACTAATTTGAAGGTCTATCGACACCTATCAGTGATTCAGTGATCAGCAGCATGAATCCTAGTGATATGGTAACAGAAGACGGTCGGGGAAGTCCAGTTCCAAGGAATGTTCAGTTCAACATACCTCCGAATACTCCTGCAGCGAGTGTTTCTCAGAAATCGCAACAGAGCGGAACTCCTCCACCACCACCGAAGGATATTATTGGCGGTGTGACCTTCTCAGCCAAGCCAAAGCTTCAGATCAATCTAATCAAGTCAACTGTGATCTGTCCAAAGGAGGAACGAGAACTGTTGAGAACAGCAAATCCGAAAGCGTATCATCAGTTGGAAAAAGACGCTAGCGGAACATCAGCCGATAGTCGCAACCAGCAAATCGAGGACATACCTTATGCCAAGACAGCAAGTGAAGTCCACGATGTAATAAAAGTTGAGAACCACATCACGGAGCATCTCACGAAGTTTGGGATCGATTGGTTCTTTGTCAACACAGTATTTCCCATCAAGAACAGGAACGGGGAATTTGAACAAAGCAAGCTTGAGAATCGAGCGGCAAATCTTTTGTCAGGTTATGCAACTCTTACCTTGGAAGAAGTCTTCGACTCAGTCGTATACCTCTATGGATATGGTTATGACGAAAGTCAGGGTGAGAATTCTTGGATGCCAACAGATCTTCAATGGTCTGGAACATATCTCAAGAATCAATGCACGAGCGATATGATCGATCGTATCGAGGAAGACTTGAAGAGCGCAGGGATCTCGAAAGAATTCTGGGGGTGGGGACCACTCATCTACAAGGTTCTTATGGATCGTATCTCTGCTAGCAGCTATCACGCACTCAAGGCACTTCGGGACTCTCTCGAAGAAGGTGATGGCATCAATTTGTACTCCAAGGTATATGATGGCAATATCCGCAAGTTCTGCACGGAAATTGAGTCTACCATCCTTATGTTGCGAAAGAATGAGAAGCACAATGCCAAAGGGGAAATTGTTGGCGAGCGCCACATGCCCAAGGGCTTGTCAGAGCGTCTTTTGAGGGTATTCAGCAACACAGGAAACGGTGACTTCGACGATTTGTTCCAAGGCGAACTTAAGCTTGGGAACCAGAGGTGTCTTCTCGAGAACGTCGAAGGCGAAGCAGCATACGGCACGCCTGAAACCATCTTAATCCAAGCCCGCAAGTTCTATGACAGGCTCAATCTTTTAAATCAATGGGAGACGGAGGGAACACGAGCGGCTGCCTTCACCGCCGACATCAGTCCACCCAAAGGGAAATCAGGATCCAAGTGCTTCGGGTGTGGACGCGATAGCTGTCGCCAGAGCAATGCCACTTGTCCTCGTCACAATCTGGAAGCAAATCCCGAAGGGAAGAAGGCCAAAGCTGCTTTCGATGCAGCCAAGGCAGCGAAGAAAGCCTCGAAGGAATCTGGGAAGAAGGGCGATCAAGTTTCCAAGGGCTCAGAGAAGGGAGACAAGACCAACAAGACCGGAAAGAGCAAATGGCCTCCAGCTCCAAAGGGAGATGATCCAAAGGAACAAGAAATCAATGGAACCTTGCATTTCTATCACTTCAAAGACAAAAAGTGGTACAAGTGCAGAAAGCAGAAAACAACTGGAGAAGACGAACCGTCGCCAAATACCGGCCCCAGTGCGCACCTCGCGCAATCAAACGGTGTTTGGAACGGGAACGGTCTATTCGCGGGAATGAGTGGATATTTCTCTGAAGAGTTCTCCAAGGTCAAGGTCGGAGATGCTACCAACGAAGAAGTCATGTTGCAAGAGCGTCTACTCAAGAATGCCGTTGACAGGGCAATCCGTAACTTTAACAAGAACCTGGGCCAAGAGTGACGGTCCTGGTGGCGTGAGGAAGACGTGATCAAACGATATTTTTGGTCCCTCATGCCACCCTTTGCAATGCTCGGAGTTGTGTTACTCTTTTGTACTATGTTTAACGAGCTACTATCAGTTGGATACAAGACAGCGATGTCTGGCTTGTGTCATCTGCACTACGTCCCTGAGAGTCAAGGCCTGACTCTCGATATTTGGTCCGCCTACAAGTCTGTCGCGGAGACGACTTTGTGTGAGTGGGCATGCATACTGCAGCTTGGCCTTTATGCTGCAGTGATCTGGTACCTGTACTCAAGTCTGAAGTATCGGAACGATTCTGTTCTGTTCCGAGGCCTCGACGATGAATACATCCAACCTGATCAACATTTGAAACGGAAATGTCAGTCATGGAAACAGTCTATACCCAGATGGGGTTTGCGCCCCTCTGGAGTACTTTATGCCCTCGTGGCACCACCGTCCATGCCCAGAGTAGGGTGTCGCCCATCTGGAGTACTTTTTGCCCATGGAGAGGCATATGTCAATGTACATCAACCAAGAAGAATGTATGTGGAGTTGCCATCAGTTGAAAAGCCGCGTAGGAAGATCACTGTGGAACTGCCGTCAGCGTACCCGTGGTGGTGCGGCATTCGTCGATATCGTTACCCGCGTCAGTACCATCTGAGACTTCGTATCGCGCGCGTCAAAGGAGATCCTAGGAAAATACTCCGGCGACAACGGAAGGAAGGGGTTCGAGAGCAGAAGCAGGAAAGGAAGCGCCAAGAGAGGCGCCGCAAGGAAGATTATGAGAGCCGACGTCCTGAACGGCGCCGAAAGGGTGCTGCACAGGGTCGAAAGAAAACAAGGTTTCGTTTACTGAAGAAGTTAGTTCGCGCCAAGAGCCCTAAGGAGCAAGATGTTCTCCAGAGGGAGCTGAAGAGTCTCAAGGAAGAGGATTTCTGGGGAGATTACGACGTCAAGCAACCTAGTCACTGGGAAAGTCCAAGCGATGAGGAGTTGTTAGAAGACTACGAGCGGACCAAGAACCGATATTTGCACCACTCTTACCTCCAGTACGAATCGCAGTATGGGGTTGTTCTCGACGAGCTTCTTGCGGATTTTCGTCCTAATACCAAGCATCACGCAATGAAGGATGTCCTCAGTTCGACATTCCTTCAACCCGTTTCATCCCTGCCAAGAGTCACTCAAGCACTTATTGCAGCAGACGACCTCGTGTCCGATGTGTCCTGTGCTGATCGACTTCGCAGCGTCTACATCAATGTTGATTCCAAGGGCGAACTACCAATCGTCATCGATACCGGAGCATCTTTCTCTCTGACTCCGAATCTAGAAGATTTTGTCACCAAGCCGATTGCTTGTGGGACAAAAAGTCTGAATGGTTTGTCCTCCATAACTCCTGTGCTGGGTATTGGAGAGGTGGAATGGAAGATCAGAGATATGCATGGGACCATCAAGTCGATTCGCGTCAGTGCTTACTACGTTCCAGACACCAACATCAGATTGCTCTCGCCGCAGTCCTACTTTCAAGAGCACGGCAAGGGTGAGGTCTGTTTCGATAGTTTTCAAGTCAAGATGACGTTGCCTGATGGCGACACCCTGTTCTTTCCGTACCAAGCGGGCAACAACCTGCCCATGATGCTTACGGCGAATCGTCTTGTAGACGAGGCTGCACATATTATCACCGACGAAGAAGAAGAATTTTTGCCGGAAGACATGAGCGTTTTTCTGAACGTTGCTCATGAAAACAATGCGAATCTTACCAAGGCTGAGAAGAAGTTGCTTCTCTGGCATGCGAAGACAGGTCACGCGAATATGAACTGGCTTCTGAAACTCTGCAAGTGGACCAAGACGGAGGGACATCCAGTGATGGGACCTTTACCTGCCAAGAAAGACGAGTTCAAGTCTTGCAAAAGTCCCAAGTGTGCTGTCTGTCAACTTGCGAAACAGCGTCGCCGCAGTCCACGATCCGATGCTGCTCAACAACAACCTGGCTCGAAGACGGGCAAACAACGAAAAGAAAAGGAAATGATGGTCGATAACCTCAAGCCAGGCGACAAGGTCTCGATTGACCAATATCTCTCGGCTGTCCCTGGTCGACTTGCGCATACTTTTGGCGAGGAGAAGACTTCCAAGCAATATGTTGGCGGGACCCTGTTCGTGGACCATGCCACCGGTTTCGTCCACGCGAAACACCAGACTTCGACTGGCACGAGAGAGACAGTCAAGAGCAAACATTCGTTTGAGAGTGAAGTTGGTGAATACGGACACAAGGTCAAGTCTTACCGTGCTGACAACCACCCTTTCAGCTCGAAAGGATTCTTGGATGATATCGAGTCGCACAAGCAGACTATTGATTACTCTGCAGTCGGAGCTAAACATCAGAATGGAGTTGCCGAAAGAGCAATCCAAACTATCACCACCTGGGCTCGTGCCATGCTTCTTCATCAAATGTTGCATTGGCCAGACGAAGCCGATCACAAGTTGTGGCCTTTTGCTATGGATCATGCAGTCTATTTGTGGAACCATCTACCACGCGAAGATACCAAGCAAGCGCCAATCGAGCTCATGGGAGGGGCTAAGATCGACCATCACCAATGGTTCAAACGTCTCCATGTCTGGGGATCACCGGTGTATGTGTTGGATCCGAGATTGCAGGACGGGAAGAAGATTCCAAAATGGGATGTTCGGGCGCGGCGTGGCATGTATGTCGGCGTTTCCCCAACTCATTCTTCACTTGTGAGCCGTGTCTTGAATCTCCAGACAGGCTATGTCAGTCCGCAGTATCATGTTGTGATTGATGACCTTTTCACGACAGTTCCAAATGCCGATCAAGGAGGTCTGTTTGATGTTGCCGAGTTTGATGCAACGACTTGGCAGAGTCTCGTGGAAACTGGTTACGAAAAGCATTTGGACGAGGAGGGATTGGCGAGTGGAAGTCGCCATGATCGCAGAAAACGTCCTACTTTGGCGAACGAATGGCTCAATCCCGTTGAGAAACGTGCTCGCAAGTCGCGCCGGGCGGCTCGCGAGGCGCGTTTACGTCAGCGAATCGCCGAAGAGCGTCGTCATCGCGCTGCACGCAACCGACATGTCACTTTTGAAGTTCCAGAGGGAGGAAATATTGACGCTGAAGACAAACCCGCATCTGCGCCGCCCAATCCTCCAAGTCACGATGATTTGAACGACGACGATTCCGATGGAGAACCAGCGATTCATTCAGACGACGAGCAGTCTGTGGTTGAAGGTCATGAGGCCGAAGATGAAGATCCAGGAGAGGAGTCGGAATCAGAGGGAGCTGCTGCTCCATCACTACCGACATCACGTGTTCGCAAGAAAAACCCCAAGTACTTCGGGGATGACTTTGCAAATGTTGCCGAGCTAGGCAAGAAGAAGATCCGACATTCTGCCTTGGATCGACAATTCTTTGCTAATTTGAAGTGGGCGGAGGCCATCAACACTATCAAGGGCGACAACTTTGGTCGAATGTGGCGAGCCGCATGTGAGCCGTACCACGACCACGACACGGGGCTCCAGGACGACCTGCATCCCATGATTCTCGCTGCGAAAGCAAACAGTGAAGACAACCCAAACTGGAATGAAGCAATGAATGGACCTCTACGACAAGGGTATTGGAAGGCAGCGGAAGACGAAATTGAGGCTCTCAAGAAGAAGGAGTCCTGGGATGTCGTTGATCGCACTGAAGGCATGAATGTTCTACCTTCCACGTGGGCGTTCAAGTGCAAAAGGTACCCGGACGGAAGTGTCCGAAAACTCAAGGCAAGATTTTGTGTTCGTGGCGATCGACAAATCCAAGACGTCGACTTCCACGAAACATGGGCACCTGTGGTCAACTGGAACACAGTGCGCCTCATGCTGATTCTTTCTCAAGTCCTTGGCCTCTCTACGAAGCAAGTTGATTACACTACGGCGTTCCTACATGCGCCAATCGAGGAAGAAGTCTATGTCGCGATGCCTCGCGGGTTCTCGGAACCCAACAAGGTATTGAAACTCAAACGATGTCTCTATGGATTAAAACAAAGCCCCAGAAATTTCTTTCAATTCCTGCAGTCTAATTTGGAGGACATTGGATTCGAGCCTCAAACCGAAGTCGATCCATGTCTTTTCATCTCGAAAAACTGCATCTGTCTTGTCTATGTTGATGACACTTTGTTCTTCTCACCTGAACAGAAGTATATCGATGAAGCCATCGCCAAGCTGAGAGAAAAAGGAATGGAGCTAGAAGAAGAGGCGTCTGTTGCTGGTTTTCTGGGCGTACACATCGAACGCAATGAAGAAACTGGAGCTATCACCTTGACTCAGAAAGGTCTGATCAAGCGTATTGTCGATGCTCTTGGTGTCCAGAAGACATCACCTACACCAGCTCACGTTGATCCATTGGCGATCGATGCGGAGGGAGATCTACCTGATGGTTTGTACAACTACGCCTCAGTTGTTGGAATGCTCCTGTATCTGTCTGGACACAGTCGTCCAGATATTTGTTTTGCAGTTTCTCAAGTCGCACGATTCATCCACGGGAATCGACGCAGTCACGAAGTAGCGATCGAACGAATCGGACAGTATTTGAAGGGCACGATGGACATAGGTTTGATCCTTACTCCAAGAGAGGACTTTGATATTGACTGCTACGTCGATGCTGACTTCGCGGGTCTATGGAACGTCGAGGAACATACGAATCCCGAGTCTGTACGAAGCAGAGCAGGATATGCAATCTGTATCTGTGGCTGTCCAATCATTTGGAAGAGTCAATTGATGCGACCTATTGCAGCTTCTACTATGGAAGCGGAGTATAATGCTCTCGCTTTATCTATGAGGGACGTGCTACCCTTGCAGGAACTATTCAAGACGATTGGCCACGCTGTTGGAATCGGCAAGGAGTTCTGCACTCAATTCAGCACAACTATTCATGAAGACAACCAAGGTGCCCAGAAGTTGGCATGTATGGAACCAGGCCATCATACTCCAAGGTCGAAGAGTTTTTGGGTCCGGTCCCATTGGTTTCGGCAGTACTTGAAGCCGACACGCACTAAAGTGGTCTACATCAAAACCAACCTACAGAAGGCTGATATACTTACCAAAGGTCTTACCAAGGACAAGTTTCTTCGATGCAGAAAGCTACTCTGCGGCTGGTAACAACCTTCTTATCTGTCAAGCACATCATACGACTCAAGTCAAGTCCAATGTTCGGAAGAGAGGGAGTGTTAGGGTGGAATTCTGCTGATATATTCCTCCCGTTTTGGCTTCCTCATAGGACGTTGATCTTCGCTTGAGATTCCGTGTTCCATTCGGGCACGCGCACTTCAACATACATATTGTCCAATCTCACGTCACCACGTCAGTGTCACGTGAGACGGACCTACTGTCTGAATTCTCTCTCTTTGAGTGAATTCCATCTCTCACTCTTTTGTGGAGATCGTAAAATCACATCACATCATTAAAAGGATAGAATCTCTGTTTTATCTTACTGTCTGGCTATATCGGTCTCGGATCTATAGCATCGTTAACAGTATTCTACCTTGTCATGACAGCGCAGAATCTGGTCACTCGGCCAAAAGGCGATCCTTAACAGATGATGATATCTGTCTGTCCTCAATCTACCTCAACACTCCCTCTCGTGCGAACATCACCGCGTTATGGAGTACGCATATTAGATTTAGATTAGGCAAGTGTGAGCGGACGAAGACCAGACATCCCTTTCCCCCAAACTGTTTCGAATAAGTTGGAGTGGGATCCCTCCCCCAGACCAAGTGGAGGTCTTGGCACGAGCAATCCGATTGCGCAGAAGAATGTCGCACTGAGTCCGAGACTCGAGGTGGCGACCGCATGGTTGGGCTCATAACCTGACAGCGCAGAATCTGGTCACTCGGCCAAAAGGCGATCCTTAACAGATGATGATATCTGTCTGTCCTCAATCTACCTCAACACGGCCCATCTCATGGCGTCCGTGAATAAATTCCCATGTTCGCATTCTCCAGCTTCGCATTTGACAAATTGGTTATCCAGAGTCTTGGCTACACCAAACTCTGTCGATTGGCCAATGACAGGGTCGTTGGCAATGGTTTCATCGGCCCAGATGCGAAGCTGTGAAATATCACTGGCATATTTATCATCCTTTGCACTCGCCGGAAAATCACTCAGCTCTTGCAAATCAAACACGACACTACTCAACATTGGCTTGTTTTGTTCTTTGATCAGACGGATCAGGGGAAACTGACTGGGGCTCGACCGATAGCTGAGTGCCCACATACTCGAGTCTCCATTGACAAGTTTCAGTGGCTCTCCACTAGTCAGAGTAGGATCGATTCCGTTGTAGTCCACAAAGAGAGCTGGTGGATGATCATGGGACAGGAGCTCGTCGAGTAGAGTTTCCCGATAGACGGTCAAGTCGGACAAAATCACAGGAATCCAACATTTTGTCTCTGATGATGAGGAGTCACTGTTGGTTCGATTGACATAGGAATCATACAGACTATCGTTTGGTAGACAGCCTGACTGTTCGTTTACTCGAAGGACATAGTCCAATAATGACAGTGCAGTCCTTATACCGTCCGTGTACAGAGCCGCATTGTCGAGATTTTCGGAAAGGTGCATCAGCGCAACGGAGCTCTCCTCGTCAAAATAAATGTGCTCCACAAACTCAGTCCATGCGTCCAAGGGACTTAGCACAGAATTGGATATCAGCAGTGGAAGCTCTTTGGACTGCAAATCCTCCACACTGCGTCCCGTACTTCCACTTTCCAACAGCCACAGTCTTGCCAAAAAGACTTTCCATCCCAACAGTTCTGAAAACACGAGTCGGTTGACACCCCATCCCAATGGATGTTGTTGCGTAAATGGATGCTGATAATCAAATCTGGGCGCAATGATCGTAGCGGTTGCATTGTATTCGGATGCATATTGTCGTGACCAGGCAGCCACCGCAGCAACACCACCGGAACACGAAGGATCTTGAGCATTCTGACAATCGGTAAAGCTTCGACCACTGAGTAGGCTGGCGAAGGAGACAAGGAGGTGGACTTCCTCTTGGCTGCCTTCCTCACCCCCAACAGCTGGAATGTCTGGAGTGTCTGGATCAAAAAGATCGAGGTCAAGATCCAGATCCAGATCCATTATTCTTGCCAAAATTCGAAAATCTGATTGGAAACTGCAGGAAAGTTAGTTCCAAATCGTATGTGAACCGATCTGAGGTTGAGCAAGTTTTGGCCTTTTGCGTCCTCTCCTTTTCAATGAAAGCTTTATGGATCGTCTAATACGAACTGCTGTCTTGGATCCTTGATTGAAAATATTCGGATACCGGTATCGGTACACACCTCTTCTCGCAGCAGTTTGTAAAACATGGCGTACCCATGCATTCATTCGACATTATGGAATATATCCGCGCGGGCAGTTCGATCAGTAGTTTCTCTGTTTATTGTACAAGCGAATAGCGCGAATGTATTTATTGGGGGTACTTATGTGTCATTTTCTCGGAATTTGTCATTGTGATCAATCTGGTCCGTCCGCTCTCCGCGTGAATCCATCTTCCGCTAATTTGCTGCGCGCGCGTCTGTTCCGACGTCTCCATCTGTTTCATGAGGTGGGGGGCCATGTGACACGCGCGTAATAAGTGTGGGATCGATAAAAAAGACCCCCCTGTTCTTCATGTTGAAGCTTCTCGGGGAACTCTCCCAGAAATTGACCAATGACCGTTCTTTTACGCGCTGTGACACGATTAGCCCCGCAGCTAAATTCGTATCAAGGTGTCCCGTTTCCGGCATTGTAGTCATTACCGTGCAACTACATGTTCATTCATTCTTCTTGACAAGAAGAAAAGTATTGATTGCAACTCTGTTTTATTATTGAAAGACATCGACAACAACAACAGCTGTGTCATCAAAGCAAGGTACCCGCAGTAGCAGTCCAGAACGGCAATAGTACAAAAACTTTACAACAACAACGTTACAACGACAACCACAACGACAACCACAACATCAATCAATCGATCATGTCTTCTAGAGATATTCTCATCGAGCAGCTCGGGAACGAAAACTCCTACAGAGTGCTCGTGACAAAATACTGCAACCATATTCGAGACAATGACGACTTGACTCCGTTCTTTGGAGACATTGACACAGAAAGTTTGGTCAAACTGGAAGAAGAGTTCCTCAAGGCAGCCTTTACAACGGCTGATGGTGGGTCCGGCCGTATGCACCGCCGTGTGAGCAGGCTTCATCGCAAGCTCTTTGATCTTGGATTGGACGAAACCCACTTCGACGTGCTCAAAGAACATTTCTTGGATGCACTCAATGACTTTTGCTTGGAAGATGACGCCTACGAGGCCTGTAGCAAAGATCTCGACTCGATGCGATACATATTTGAAGAAAATGCCAGAAAGAATGCAAAACGAAGGGGTCGACGGTCATCCTTGGGGCATCGGGTAGAGCCGAGTAGTGCCCCAGTCGACGAGACGACGATTGCAGGAATAATCCCACCAAGAAGTAACTCTTTGCCTCCAAAAAGAAACTCGGAGGACAATAATAGCACCAGAGGTGTCAAGAGAGGAATGCTTGCCGTGACAAAGTCTGGGGACAAACTCAAGGCTATGTTTCAAGCAGGAATAAAACAAAAATTAAATCAATAAAGAGACAGCATTGGGAGAGAGGTTCAACGGTTTAGCAAGAGAGAAGAATGAAAAAATGAACCAATCAATCAATCGATCAATATCCTTTTACGACTCGTTTGCAACATGCGAGAGATTTAATAGCACAACAGTACGTATACTATTGAGATAGAAAATAAAATGCAGAGGATTTAATAGTAATAATAATAATAGCAATAAAGTTTTGAAATCAATCCTGACTCTGCTGTGCTACCGGGCTTCTGTCTCTTTACAACTTCAACTTTGTTTGCTTGTGACGAAGGCTCCCGAGAAGAAGTTGTACCTGTTCATCACTCTTTGAAACACTCACGGTTGGAACAATGCGCTGGGGCTTAAGACACTCAAGGCAGTCCAGTAGTTCGGGGAAACTCGAATGTTCACTGTACGGGACCGAGTGCACAGTCATGTTATCCTTTTGGCGAGTACTAATGATACCCGAGGAAGGTTTGCCTCCCATGCTCCAGCCAGTTGGTCGATACCCCACTACTCGTTTGTAGGGAAAGCTAAAAGGCTTGGAATTTGCGAGGGGTATATAGTCGAGCATCTTTTTGAAGTTGATATCCCCAAGGGGCACCACCCATATGGATGCTTCTTCTTTGCGAGTTGTCAAAAGCTCCAGTTGTTCTCTGGACCATTGAAGGGCAGACAAGATCTTGTATCGCCGAGTGTCGACGTATACTTTCATTCCGAATCTCGAAGCCACTCTCATGTATATTCTCTCCTTGCCGATTGTGTAGGACCCAAACAAAAACAATGTTTTCCCCTTGTTCTTGGTTTCAGCTTCAAACACTTTTATGGTTGCCTGGATTGCTTCTTCTTGTGTTGGAAGACTATACTTTGGATCGCAATAAGTAGTGTCGAGAAAGAGTTCGTCCAATGTTTCCCTGTGCAAGGCCCTCAATGGGGCTTGTTGCATCATGAATTCCCGATTCCAACGAAAGTCTCCCACATGCAGAATTTTCTTCTTGCCCACTTCAAATAAGAACATGACTGCTCCTGGACAATGATTGGCATCCAACAAGGTCACTGTTACTGGTTTGTTATTCCTACTACTTTGAATAACTGTAGGAGTTAGCATTGGCAAAGGATGGATGAATTTCTTGTCCACTCCCAACTGTTGAGCAACGAGTGCAGCGGTGGGTACAGAACAGTAAATAATGCCGTGGCTCCAGCCGGAAGTGATACCCCCATAATGATCAGCATGGAAATGGGTGAGAAAGTGATTGTTTGTCTGAGCACTACAGGAGGAGTTGGCAATGGAACAAGATGAGTGAGTGAGTGATTGAGTCCTTGGTTGATGATTAACGTGTGCCCTCCTTCCCATGGCGCGTACCTCTTGGCATACTGGAAACCATCGCAAACAAAATCGGTTCCAGTGATACGTTTGTAGAGTGGACACGACCTCGTCTGCAACGATGATTCGTTGATCCACAATGATATTAGTTTCTACTCAAATCAATATAATATAAACAAGTCTCCTAGGCTTCTTACCGATGACGAGAAGTTGCTGTTGCCCGATCGTCTTCGTTTGCGGGAGTTCGAAGGTGTCACATTATCCTTTCGAGTCGCTGCCCTTTGGTTGGTGATCTCACCTAGTTTGGAGATCCTTCTGGCCCCATTCAAAAGAACGTTGTTCAGGTTTCGAATAGGCATCTTGACAAATGAAGCAAGCGTTGTCTGTTTGGTAGCACGTTTGTCGTCGCCAGCAATCGCTGCTACCGCCGCTACTGGTTGTGCTGATACTGCCACAGAGGACCATGCAGCATCGTTGTTTGCTTCCTCCTGAAGCATCTTGGTTGCATTTCCATGCCAATCACTCTCTCGAAATTTTGAGTAAGGATTGTTCGTCGGTTTTGCGGTCTCCTTTTGTTGGAGATGCTCGATATCGACAAATTCTTCATGATCGTTGTTAATTTTTACATCTCGTCCTGTAATTCCGTGTTTCTTGCTGCATCGCTTGATGTGGTCCACTCGTCTCTTGAGTTTGGTCAAATCGGCGCCACAGATGAAGCATATGTCATTATTCTTGGAACTCTGTAGAAAGTCACTCGTATTTGTTTCCTGGTGCGATGATTCTGCGCCTAAATCATTTATGCTACCAGCGATGTTACCATTGGCCACGTTGGATTCCTCCTGCTGATCTTGTCCACGATGATTGCTACTGTTGTCGACTTCCACGACTTGCACTTCTTCTTCACCATCTCCTTCGTCATCGCTATCGTTCGGTAGCTGCGTACAATGTACTTCATCTTCACCTTCACTAACGCCAGCGCCACCATAGTCGTTATTGCCGTTATCAATGTCGTCATCAAGAATCTGAAGTTTAGATTCATTTTCATCGTCGGCGCTTCTGTTTTCGTTTACTTTCACTTCTGGGCTGCAAAAATCGATTGCTTCGCACTCTTGTGGCGAATTGGATGGCCTTAATTCTTCTTCTGTGATCTTAGCATCTTGCCTCGCAACAACTGACTCTGGACTACTCAAGCTGCTGCTGCTTTCGTTCGAAAAAGCCAATCGCTTTGGTGCTGAGGTCGAACATTTGAAAGCAACTTCTACATCGCTGTTTTCAGCTGTCCTACATTCTGTGCATAGTTTCTTATTGGCGAAAGAGATAAAGCGACTTTGACAAGCGTCACAAGTCCGTATTGTCCGAACCATTTCTCATGAGCTGCATTCAGATATACAGGTATGAAGGTTGATGGCACTGTGATCCACTGAAACTTCCTTCTAATCGAAGTGTTTGTCATTGTGCATTGAATCCGTTGACTGATGCGACTACATGGGAAAATTGATCCTCAAGAAAGAAACCTCATCTTCAATGAATCTCAATATCCTTGTCTCAATTACATGCGTTTGCCCGAATCCAAGCAGAAAGTTTGGAAGACAAGTGAAAACAGAAATAATAATCTATAAGGTGCTATCTATTGCTGGTGTTGGGGAAAATGGAGGAATTCAACCTCGAAGACTCCTCTTTCTCTTCTAAATCGCCGTCCACGTTCCGCATTCCAGTCATGGTATAGGCCTTGTGGTTTGTTCTGCCGCTATTGCTCAAAGACATGATCGTCGAATCGTTCCGTCTTTGACTTTGAGCTATCGCTGGTGTTCTCGTCGAGGCAGACATTCCTCCCGCATTTTCATTCTTCCATACCAATGGAACAAAAATCCAGAGTAGCAACGACATGGAAGAAAAGAAAACAATGCATAGTCTCATGAAGTAGTTGATGACTGTGTTCGTAGGATCCAGCAAAAAAAGGACTGGGAAGCCGATCAACGCGATTTGCGCCCAACTGAAGATTGCCATGCCAATCCTTGATGCTTCGCTCAGTTCCTTCGAAACATTGCGGGCCTTGTAGGCCTCCCAAGAGGCAGTCGCTAGTGCAATGAAGTTGATGAAAAGCAGCAGTGACATGAGGACGACGCCTTCTGTATCATTAGTGCGGCACAGACCGTAAGTATTCCATGGTTGCCCGATGACAGAGTCACGCTCAAATCGCAAGGGATCCACAAAGCTCCAGGTCATGAGCACAATAAAGTTGGAAACAACCAAGAGAGCCATTGGGCCAAGCACATCGCGCTCCCGGACCTTGATCCGACGGAAGTTGACAGCGTTGGTCACAATTGTATTCACACGCTTTAGCTTGGCATATAAGGCTGCGAAGGAGATAGAGAAACCGAGACTCAAGAGCCACGTGCCCGCCATGCAAGCTGTACTTGCACTCTCCTTTGATACGATTTCATCGTCCAAACTCATGGGGATCAAAGCGGACCCCATCACAAAGATACCACAACAAAGTGTAACCAAAAAAAGCGGTTGCATCAGCTTCACTGAATGCTTTTGGCGATTGATCAGACACCACAAACCAAATCCAACGGCACCGCACAAGATAAAACCTGCCAAACAGAAACCAACGATGCGAATATTTCCCAACTGGTTCAGCGCTTCGGTGGGCAGCACTTGCAATTCTACATCAACATGCATACCGCTTCCACGGCACCCTGGAAAGTCCCCGCCATCAGAAACATCAACGATGACTACAGCTTTTACAACACCAGGTTGTAGGGCACCAAAGTTTGCAGCCAATTCAAGGTTCAATTGTCCGCCTGCTGGTACTATGTACGGGTCGGTACCGCCGCAGAATCGTACCAGCTCCGGAGTTAGTCCGTTTTGAGACGAGCACGATAGGAACGCAGGTATGGACTCGATGTTGAGGGATAATCCAAAATCTTCTTCATTGATGAAGGTAGTGCGGAAAAGTACCTCGTCCATTTGTCCACTCACACCGACAAGAGCATCGCTACTTTCCCGGATCATAACGATGTTATCAATGTTAGGGCAATCAAAGCAAGTTTGGTACGATGGAGACCAATACTGAACTCCCTGTGAACAATCGTCTTCACTTTGCGAAAGATCCAGATTCGAGAAATTAGCCGTGTCATTGAACAGCCGTCCTTCCAACCTTGCCACATAGGTTTCATTCAAATTTGACAGGTAATCGGCAGTAGCTTGTTGTTCCAAGTAGGGAAGGTCTAGTGAAAGAATGAGCGTGAGATAACGCACAGAAAAACATGCAGAAAACACAAGCAACTTACCGTAGCCCGGAACTTCTCCAGGAATGTTTAAATTCGTGGTAAGCATCTCATTGAAAGGGTCATTGCAACAGCAGTTGTAACTGTTCGTTGCGAACTTGTAGATCTTCAATCGTTCGATTGGGACGAAAGCGTCTTGAGTAGCATTCCAGATTTTCAGATCCACCAACCTTCCGATGGCTGGATCCAATAGTGTATTGTAGGTTACTCGTAAGCCAGATACTTGTATCACGTTTCCTCCTTCCGCAGTGTTTGCAAAGGAGAATGTTCCGGCAGACACAGAGTGGTTTGTCAACTTCCAGAGATTGAGGCCAGACATGTAGCCTTCGCAAACATTATTCGCAAAAGGAATTGTCTCCCATAGAAGGGATACTCTTACATCACCAGCTGGCCATCCAGGTCCATTGTAGGCACCGCCGTTTTCAAAGGCAAAGTCAGCATCTGTTGCCCATCGCATGGCATCTGTAAAGAGATTACCATGTTCACATTCTCCCGCTTCGCATCGCACAAAGAGACGATCGCTAGTCTTTGCTTCGGGAAACTCTGTCGATTGACCTACGACTGGATCGTTAGCTGACGCTGCGTCGGCCCAAACACGAAGTTGTCCAATGTCACTAGCATAGCTTGCGTCCTTTGCACTTTCAGGGAAGTCTCTCAAGTCCTGGGGTTCATACATAACATTGTTAAATGCTGGCTTTCCATTTTCTTTCGTCAGTCGGATCAGGGGGAACAATCTAGAGCCAGAGCGATAACTCAATGCCCACATGCTCGAGTCTCCATTGGTGAGTTTCACTGGCTCTCCACTATTCAGAGTAACTTCAATCCCATTGTAGTCCACAAAGAGAGCTGGTGGATGTTCATGCGTCAAGAGCTCGTCGAGTAGCGTTTCGCGGTACACAGTCAAGTCAGACAAAATCACAGGGATCCAACATCTTGAGTCCGTCGAAGTATTGTAGGTTCGGTTGACATAGCTGTCATAGGGGCTTGTGTTTGAAATACAGCCAGACTGTTGGTTGACTCGGTGAATGTAATCCAGTAGGTTTTTGCACGTGCTCAAAATCCCAGCGCTAAGTTCCACAGTGCTAGCATCTTCAGAAATATGCATCAATGCCACTGAACTCTCTTCGTCAAAGTGAATCTGTTGTACATAACGTGACCAGGGATCGGCAGGACTGGCAATTGCGTTGGAAATCAATAATGGAAGTTCTTTTGATTGCAGTCCTTCGACGTTTCTTCCAGAGTCGTCGCTCTCCAAAAACCACAATCGTGCCAAAAACAGTTTCCAACCTAAAAGTTCTTGAAAGACAAGGCGGTTGACATCCCACCCTAGAGGATGCTGTTGTGTAAAGGGATGAGAGTAGTCGAATCTGGGAGCAATTATCGTAGCTGAGGCATTGTATTCGTATGCATATTGTCGTGACCATGCAGCCAAAGTGGCAACTCCACTCGTACACGAAGGGTCTTCAGCATTCTGGCAGTCGGATAATCCTCGGCCACTCAACAGGCTCGCGAAGGATACAATCAGATGAATTTCCTCTTGGCTGCCTTCCCCAACGGCTGTGTTGTTTGGTTCAAAAAGATCGAGATCCATCCGTCCAGTAGAGTACAGTATTGATTTGATCTAATTTGATATGAGACGGAACGTGAAGTGAAGCGAGTTCTGTAGGGAAGATGCTCTTGTACTCGACCAGTGCCAGGTACGAGTACCCCGGTACACGTACCAGTACAAGGTACTTCCTTGATACGACGTGTGCGAATCTTCCTTGGGCCTAATAAAACTGAGCGTGGGCGAAATTTGGTCTTTGGCGTCTGTGTTTTTAATCTTATGGAGAGTCTTTCAAAACTGAGACACAATTGTCTCTTACATTCGCTTTTGATGATTCGCCAGATAACTGACTCGGCAGTTGCGGATGGGAATACCCTGCGGCGATCTCTCAGTACCAGCACTTTGATTGTTGCCCAACTTCGATCACATCGATTGGAAATCTGGCAGAGGTACTTTACAATGGTACAGTACAGCCCGTGTAGTATTGTATTTTTAGCAGTAGCCCTCCCTATCTGCTACTATCATATCATGTTTAGATCTTTAAGAATAGTATATGCTCGTTCTCCAACATCCTCGATACTAGCATACTTGTCAGCCAACTCCTTCTCTGTACTCTTAGACAGTGATTGTTGCTGTTGTTGTTTAGAGGGTGGTGGTGATGGCGTTGTTTTCACGCCTTCCTCCGTTGCAACTGGCGACTTGGCTTGCTTTTGTTCGATGCTTAATTTTGTGGCCAGCAAAGATCGGTGTAGTGCTTCCTCCTTTTGAGCGTGGCGTCTCTTGCTCGCCAGCTGATCTACTTGGATTCGAGCTCGTAGAAGCTGCTCTTGGAAAACGTATGCCTTCTTGCTCGAAACTCCTTGTACTATTGTTGCAGACGCTGTCTCCACCAATAGCAGTTCCTCTTCTTCCCCTCGTGCCACAACTTGCTCTGCTGCATTTTCGATCATTTTCAATATACTCAATCGAAGGTCATCCCGCGAAGATGTCTTCTCCGGAAAGGGGACTGAGAGTTTGGCGACAAAGTATTTGTCATCCACTTCCTCTTGCCGCTCGACATAGGAGCGAAGGTAGACTCCCGACGGGCCAATCGAGGTGACGCAAGTCTTGATGGGTTGAATAGTAGGACTGTCACTGTCATGATGATAGTTGGTTTGAAAGAGTACGTTCAGGTCTGTGGCAAAATCGTCTTCGTTCAACAATTCTTTCATGTTATCAGCCTCTTCTTCCAGTCCCTTGTTCAATTCGCAGAAGGTCCACCAATCGGGCAAGAGCTCCTCGGTCAAGGTTGCTTCATTCTGCAGTTCAAAGAGTATCTTTTCTTGGGCGGCGAACTGATCGGCGTTATCATCTTCCCATTCTTTCTTGGCGATGGTTTTAATGGAATCACTTTCCAAGTGTTGAAACTGTTGCACAATGTAGTCTAGCGTGAGAGATGCTTCAGTTGATGGTGGTGGTGAAAGTTCCGATTTAGTAGCCGAAAATTGAATCGGAATCAATAGTTGAACACAGTGGCCATCTCCTTCTCCACCAGCGGATGCCAAGGTCGAAACAGCAATCTGAGCTCCTCGCGTATTGACCGCTACCAATTCGGCCGAAAGACAATCTTTGGGCATTAAATGATTGTGGGGAGGTGCAGCCTGAGCGCAAGCGATATTGATCAAGACTGCTGGAGGAAATTCGGAATATATACGATCGGATACGGATTGCTTGAGATCTTGCTCCGCAAGCAACTCACTTGCATCAAATTCTTCTTCAGTCTGATATTCACCATCGTCTCCATATATTATGGCATGCCGTATTAGATTTTTCCTGTTTCGACCACATTGGGGGGGCAGGGGTGATTTTACGCTTGGCGTAAAGTATGAAGTTGACATCGTTGTTGTTGGTGATCTGCATGTTCTCGTCGCATCATAGAACAGTCGTTGTGTCTGCAAACTCGAAACATGAGTATCCAAGAGCAGGGTTACCATTAAAATCCACGACTTTGGCATTGCTGTTTGACGACTTCTGGTAGTAGATGAAGACATATGGGTATCGTATCTAAAGTGAGAATGATGGGAAGAGAAGATCAATTGATGTAACACAAAGATATCTGACGTCACAGGTTCGACCACTTCGACTACAGAATTTTTGAAATGTGACAACCATGATTCAAAAAACAACGGAGTCTCGAAAAAGAGCGTCACAATGATGATTACCGGTACATTCATCAACTGTGTGCAATAGGTAGATTGAAAGACAATTAAAACGAAAACGACATAGCAAAAAAGAAAGCACATTATATCCGTCGCCAGAACCGCAATCGAAACTAGTCCCTCAAACGTAATCTCAAACAACAATGCCACGACACAGCAACAGTGACGATGGCACGGATCAACAAGTCCCGACCGGATCGTCCCCTCAAGACCAAGGCTTGATAACACCACTTTTATCACATGCCCAATCGATCCGTCAAACTTCTAGTCTTCGTCAACGACGTGAGCTTTCTTCCAATCAAAGGCTCTTGGACCGAGATGCCACTTTCTCCCAATCCCATGGGCGTTGGGGGGTTCAACGTTTGTCGAGATTACAACGACGTTGGTGTCTATCACGAATATGGAACGACGGGATCTTTGGAGATTGGTTTCATCGGTTAGCCTATCAGAAGACTTGGATTCTGATGGGGATCTTATTTGTGACGTACGCTTCGATGGTAGTCTTCTTTGCCTTTGTGTACCTGGGCGTTTCGATATTGGGCAGCAAAACCGAAGTTGGCCCGGATGGTTCCAAAAAAGTGATTGCCTTTTGCCATATGGAGTAAGATTATTGCTATTGTGATACTTTTTTTTGCTATTAGACTGCATCCATATATCTCACTTACTCTTCCGCTTCTTGTTATTATGCCACAGTATCAACAACCACATGGAAGCACTCTACTTCAGTCTATCGACCATGACGACTATTGGATATGGAGTCTCCGACTACTACTTTGGAGGTTGCTGGACTCCTCTCTTACTGGTTTTGTGGCAGGTATGTTGTGCCATTACTTTTGATGCTGTCGCGGTTGGGCTCCTGTTTCACAGGATATCGAGGGGAACAAAACGGGGCAAAAACATTATCTTTTCCGACAAAGCGGCAATTCAACAAGTCAATGGAGTATGGCACTTTATGTTTCGTATGGGGGAATTGCGACAGTACCATTTGATCGAGGCCACAGTTCGGTGTTATTGTGTCAAGCACGAACGATGGCCATTGTCAGCTACCAACAATACAATCGAATTAAACCCTGACGCTGCTACCAATGACAATCCAAACTCTAGTACAGAAATCAACACAACATACTTTGTCAGCCGTCAAATGAAACTGAAACATCCCGATGAAGAGTACGGGTCCCATTTGTGGATGGGGCTCCCTCAAGTTATTGTCCATCGGATGGACTCTCAATCCCCATTAGTTCCGTCATCACAAACTTGGTACGACGAACAAGGAATGGAACATTCCACTCCATCAATGTCACCGCAGGAAGATGAAGAACAGGGGAGTAATACTACCATTGCCAATTCCTTGGAAGACTTTTGGTGGGACCGAAATGTCGAAGTTGTGGTTTTGGTACAAGGAGTTGACGAAGCCACGGGTGCCACTACCCAAGCGCGGCACTCCTACAAGGCGTCGGACCTGAGATGGAACCATACCTTTGTTTCCTGCATTCGACCGGCCCCTCGGACAACGAGACGGTCGTCCACGCGGCAATCCATGGCGGCGGAAGTGGACTTTTCCAGCTTTCATGGGATGTTGCCAGCTCCCATCCATTGCCAACAGTCTCCGTTCATACCGCCAAACTAGATAGTGTTAATTCTGGCTAAATGAGACAAAAATAGTAGAGTAGAAAGACGAGCTCTTTGCTGGAAGGGAAATTGCAGGAAAATTAAATTATGTGAATGCATACTTGTGACTTGTGGCATTTTCCACACAGTCTCCAGGCTTCAATGGGAAGATCTGAAGAGTGGGTGCTTCATTCATGCCAACAACAAGGCACTAGTCGATGGTTTCTTTCGCGTCTGTCACTTCTTTGCGTTTGCTTCTTCAATTCGGCTATATACGACCCTTGGTGCCGATGCTATCTTTCACATCCTCCTTCTTTACTTCTTCTTCAACTTTGTCTTCTATCTGTTCAGAATCTGCCTCCTCCTTAGCATCCCAAAAGATATTCAAGTCAACTTCCCCATCCCGAAAGACTTCGTTGTCTTTGGAAAGTCGTTTAGCTCTCGCCTTGTCATGAAAGGAACATGCATACATTCTTTGTCCATTTACGATGGGAATATATCCACGTTTACAGGGTGTAAACGGAAGTGTTTGACCATTACCAAAATCAACGGCTGCCTGTTGAATGGACATTCCCTGAAGCGTCATTTTGGCTGCAGAAGAGTCCATGTAGTGCCCGCCTCCGTACAAGTCTCCCCTTGAAGAGGTTGGATACCCACACACGTATCCCCAAGGAACTTGTGGTGTGATACTTGCAGCAATTCGATATCATTCACTAGGAAGAATCCCACAATCTTGTTCCATGGCAGACGCTGTGGCTTTGGGACGATAGGTCTTGCCCCGTTTGTTGCTGGAGATGCAAAATCGCTCTTCCAAAGCCGCGGCCTCGTCTTCTTCACGACGACGCTTCGTGGCCAATCTACCAGAGGCACGTCGCAACGGTACACCGGTTTGCGCCATGGTGAATGGGATGCACAGCGATTGTTGTTGTTGTTGTTTTTTGACTTGGATGATCCCTCCGATTAGATTGGATGTGGGACTTTCCAAGCTCCATGTTTACGTGGTGATGACGTCACAAACAAATCAAAAAACAAAAGCAAACCAATGTCACAAAAAAGGACTCCAGCAATCACGATGACACGGATATTACTTCCTTTCCTCTTGACAATTAGTCTATCATTACGATGGGCTTCGGCCTTTCAGCAATATGGCGGGAAACCAAGATCAAGCCAGAATCCAGGCGTGGATTTTCATCAGAATACACCCACCTTCAAAGCGTCATTGCCATCAACATCATCGTTGGATGCATCACAACCAGAATCAAATGAGTTTGAAACCTCGCGGCGTCAAGTCATGGTTCAAGTTGCCTCAAATGTAATGCTACTGTCGTCTGCAAATGCAGCCGTCACGGACGAAACGGACAACTTTGCCGATAACTGGTGGACTACTCCAAACGCCAACAACGGCAACTCCATTGCTCCATCGCCGGTGCCAGCCAAGAGTGGCCCTTCCGATGAAGTTACAATCGCCATTCCCAAAGCCTCGTTGAATCAAAAGAAAGGCGGAGGTGGCCTTGGAGTAGAATTGGGAGAAGTCGCGTTTCGAAACAACGTCAGGGTATTTGTCAAGTCTGTCAATCCTGGATCTATCGCTGAGACATTGGGCGTCAAAAAGAACTGGATCGTGGTCGGCATCAATGGTCAAAGTGCCGAACGTACTGATGTCGCAGGAGTGGCCCTGATGGTTTATAAAGCTGTCAATGATGACGCAAATGACGATCGAGTGGTCTTTCGATTCCGAGATCCTGTCGTTTTCAAAAAGTCACTCAACGACATGGAGAACGCAGGAGGGGAAGTGACGACCCAGGTGGCTCCAGCAGGAGACACGACGCAACGCAAAGCAGTTGGAAACAAACAAACCGAGCAAGATGATCAACGACTTTCTGTTTCCCAATTGATTCCTCCCAAGATGTGTAATCGTCAGGCAGGAGTCGATGATTTGTTGGAGATTTCGTATATTGGTACAGTGTTGGATACAGGAGATGTATTTGACGGTTCTGCCATCAAAATTAATGGCAAGGGCATTCCCGGAAGAGCAGATGATGTTAGTATCTTTTTCGTCTTGGGCAAGCAACCTTTTGGTCAGTTTCCTTCAGGTTGGGATGTCGGTCTGGAAGGCATGTGTGTTGGAGAACGTCGTCGATTGATTGTCCCTCCAGTGCTGGCCTATGGAGAAGCAGGATTGCCTCGTCGAGGGATCCCACCCAACGCAACTTTACAGTACGACGTCACTGTAGTCTCAATAAATGGACTTTCGACACCTTAAAAATATAAAGAAAAAGTTTGAAATTGCAATTGGTAGTATCGTGAATGGATCAACAACACTGGACCAGGCCTAGAAATAAATGAAACCTCTCGTATCTTTTTCTCCTTTGTCGCAGGGAGTACATCGTCATAGCATTGAAAATATTCTCATAATCTTCGTTCCTGCTAGGGGTTACGGAAGTCGGCAAAGTCAAGAGGAGAACCCAAACCGATTTAAACCAGCGACAACACACAGTTGCTGATGCTAGAATAACAAGAGACAGGCTTGTTACAAGGGGAACATATCCTTGAAACAATACGAGGTAAATTGCTCGAAAAATGCAGCTCTCGGTTTTCGGACGATTTTCATCAGAAGTTCAGTCATTATCACGTAGAACACGTAGAATTAGTACCAATCTGAAGCCGACAGCCAGCAGATCTTGATTTATCCCATCATCGTTATTACAGAGGTCTTCATCAATGAAGAACTGAGTCAATTCAACACCCGACGTGCTTTGACAATATGGCCTTGTCAAGTGTCCAATGCCTATTACAATGGTAACACTCTCATACCGACATTGTCACTGCAGGATATGATATTAGTATCGGAGTGACACGTGCCCATTTACCAAAACAAGCAATGAAAAAAGCGGCGCGGTCGTTGCTGTTTCTGTGAAATTACGGCGCGGGCAACAGAAATCGTGACCGTCGTATGTTCATAATTTAGTCATCAGCATTTCTTTCAACCACGATGACGACAACCGCAGCACCAGCAGCATCGACAACAACAACAACATCAGTGATGGCAATAATACCAACGCAAGCACAAACAACAATCACACTGGCTGAAGAAGAGCGGGAGGTGAAAAAGCAAGCGCAGGCAAAGGCAAGACGAGCAAAGAGGCAAACCAGAGACGAGGCTCATCATGTGCTCGTGCGTGCTGCAAATATTCAAATGATCCGCAACATGCCAGAGACTGACGCCGCCCTCACCAAACGCCCAGAACGCAAGGGTGGAATTGTTGTTGAGGATCATATGATGGCTCCTTTCACATTACAGGATTATGTGAAAGTTGGAGCAGCACTGCTAAAACACCAAGCAAGGCGAGATGCGTGATTGATGACTACGAGCTGGCAGAAAAGTTGTTCACAACTAGCTACCTTTATGCTGTGAGTGAATGCCGCAGACAGGGGCGAGCCAATCTGGATGCTGTTGACCAGAAATTGTACCACCAGCGTTTCAAAGCTGCAAAAGAGAAGTTCAAAACTCTTGATGATGACACAAGGGTAGTCTGGGAATTCCAAAGACGTGCTCACTTGTCGCGGCATGCCACTATCAAGGATCAAATCATTTGTGCTATTAAGACAAATCCAAAGTGTTCGTGGCGATCAATTGAACAGGAAATTGACCATTGGTGTTGTGACGCAACCATTCGTAGATGGGTTATTTCAAGGGAAGGATACCGGACGTATGCTGAAAGGATCATTCCTGCTTTGAGCCCCGAACAAAAAAGGAAACACTTGGAGTTTGCAAAACGGTTCCAAAACAACTGGGGGCTTGGAGGTGGCAAGTTTCTCCTTGTACATTATGACGAGAAATGGTTTTGGGGGCTTGTCATGAGGAGGGATGCAAAGATGTGCGAGGAGTTGGGAATCGATGCAGTCTCCTATAAAGCATATCACCGATCACATGTTTCCAAGGTCATGGGAATTGCTGTGACTGCTTTTGCGTTCAAAGACTCTATTGAAAACGGTGGAGACGGCCTCAAGATTGGCTTCTATCGTGCCCAAACAAACAAGGTTGCAAAGAAGCTAGTAAGGCAGGCAGTACGACAGGACGATGGTTCTATCAAGCGAACTGGAGCGGTGATAAGAGAAAAAGGGGACTTGTACTTGGTGGATTGTAATGTCACTGGATCGTCAGAAGGGACCCCTGATGATCCAAAGTTTGCATTGAAGAAGTTGTTTGAGCATCACATCTTTCAAAAGTTGGATGGTCTTGTGGCGGCAGGAGGACAATACGAAGGATACATTCCTGTTATTCAAGGTGACAATGCAGGGCCGCATGCTGAAAAAGAATACTTTAATTGGTGCAAGGCTCAATGTGAACAACGTGGCTGGCACTGGGAACCGCAAGCTCCACAAATGCCGCATATGAACAACTTAGACTTGTCAGTATTCCCCTGCATGTCGAGACGTCATTGTGCAGCCGCAAGAGAGAGGGGAGGGCTCCATGTTTTGAAACAGGACGAAATTTGGGATGCAGCAGAGGACGTTTGGAGCACACTTCCTAGCTCAAAGATTGCATCAGGTTTTGTACAATGCAGCCGGATAGCATCAAAAGTAATTGCATTGGAAGGGGGCAACGATTTTGTTGGAAACAAGATAGAGAATGGCATTCATTGTGATATCCGAAAAGATTACAATGAAACTCCCACTGGGCTTTCTAGGAAAGACGGAGAGATGATCAACCCTCCAGCACCGGCAACAGCAGTATAGCTTACCTCTTACTTAGTAACAATGTCTTGATTGTATCTCAGAATCAGAATGAATTCAACTTGTAGTTATTGATCTCCAGTCCTTCCCTACAGTATAGCTATTGTAATGTTGTCAATCCTTTTTCGATTGGCACTTGTTTGCGTACGTGTTTCACGTGAAAATAAAAATTCGTGCAAAAACCGAGAGCTGCATTTTTCGAGAATTGGAGCTCGTAGAAGAAATAATCGGGCCCCACTGTGACTCTGAACTCTCAGTCGAAAAGAAGCGGCGTGCAACAATCCAAACCGATCCACATTCACTTGCTGTGCATCAATCATCATTTATAGATTCAAAATGGACTCAGAATCAATTAGTAGCGAAGTAAGCAAGCCGAAACCTCCATCAATTCACAAGACACTGACTTCACTGTTAGCAATCAAAACGAATCGAACATGTGCTGATTGTCGGGTGGCGTTGGTGGATCCGCTTCAAGTCCATGCGTCCTTTTGTCCGGGTCAAGATGAAATTCGGAGGAATCCCAAAGTCGGCATGGCCCTTCACGACTTTAGCATTACGCATCAAAATTTTGCTCCACCAGCCATGAAGAAAGGTCTCACTCAATTACCAATGGATCCTTCGATGTATGTCAATCAAAAATTTGGAGGACATGGGGTATTTTTGTGCTCTCGGTGTGCTGAAGCCCACCAGTGTTTGGGAACGGCAATTACCCGAGTGGTATCCGTGTTGGGCGATGATGGCATTCATTGGACGCAGGCACGAGTAGACTTCATGGAGCAGTGCGGAGGTAATGAACGGTCGTGGGAAGTTTATGAGGCTTACATACCCGAACGATGGAAAGAACGAATGCTCAAACCATCCAGTACCCCAACAGAACGAGTATTCTTTGTTCGAGCTAAATATGAAGGTACGCCACTTGCCTTGTGTCCTAACCAGTTGAAACTGACTGAAAACGACATTAAATCAGCAAACATGTAGGTTGTCATTCTCTAACGTTGTTTTTTTCTCTTTTCAGCTCTTGCTTTCGCATTGCCTCCACCGGGTCGGTTAGCGGAATCTGCTTGGTTGTCCATCTTGGAACGAAACGAAGTCGCTAGGCGGTTTGTGTCTCCTGAGTTGAAAAATATCCACAGTCTTACTCCATCTTCTCCGCCACCTGTCAAACCGAATCAACAAACGAATGCGGCAAAGGACAATGTTGGCGCGTTGAGGGAGCCAAACGCATTGCCTAATCGGCTGATAGACTTCTTTTGTGTGGTGGAGTGCTCCATGAAAATTCATCCCAACGATGCCAAAAAAGATCTTTCCCAGCTATATTCTCCAGAGGAACTATCGTTTTGGCCAGAAATTTGTGATTGTTACCCGCCACAGGATACACACAAACAAGACACCGCGTTTCCAGTCCATCTACCGAGCTTTGTTCTTCCAGAAGGATGCAAACCGAGTTTAAGGCAAAGGACTCCTTCTTTCTTTACCTTTGTGTTGACCACAGGAGAAGGAGATCGGTTGTACGGAGGCTGTCTGCAAATCTATGACGAAATGAAGGGGATCGAAAAGGTCCGGAACGGCATAATAGGGTCTGGTTACGAAGGAAAGCTGCCCCATTTCCTAGAAGAAAATAGCGATGATGCGCCCGATTTCCTGTTCTTTTCCAAATCTTTGGTGTTGCTATCCCATTACCCATTCTTCGACCTATTTCGATCATCATTGAAACAGCTGAACATGCTGACTCTCCTTCAATCACCAATGCCTATCGAACGATATATTGTCAACCTATGCCAGGAAGTGCCACTGCCACCACAAGGGAAAATAAAAGTTCAATTCTGTTTGACGCCCGGAAAGATTATTCCTATTGAGAGACCGCCCTGTAACAAGCTACCACTTGTTAATTTTTCATATCGACCATTGTTCTCAACACTCAGTGTGAGTAATATCATGGTGGTTTTGGGCTGTCTCATGGAAGAATGCAAGGTTGTGTTGCTTTCGCAGTACTACAGTATACTGTGTCCAGTGGCAGAGGCCTTGTTGAGTGCACTGTTCCCACTGGAGTGGCAAGGAATATATATCGTAAGTCATCGCAGGAGTGCCTTTGTACTGATTTCTCAACAGTAATCTCATATATATTTTTCAGCCATTAATGCCGTATGCAATGCTAGATCTATTAGATGCCCCAGTTCCTTTCTTGGTTGGCATGAGCTCCAGGTATCTGACGGAGATCGACCCAAAAACGCGGCCAAGAGATTTAGTGTTTGTCGATCTCGATCGTGATGTTGTACAACTTGGTATTGATGAAGAGACTGGAGATCGAAGGAAAATCCCAAACTTGCCCAACCGTGATGCAGTGAAGTTAAGGGCTGCATTGGAAGAGTGCGGAGGTTCGGCGTACATGTTACCAAATAGTGGGATCAAGGGATGCGTCATGTCGGGGATTACAGAGACTGTTCTGGTGACAAATGAGGAGCGTCCACGGTATGCACGGATGGAAAATGTACGAATCGACGAAGACTCGCTAGGACGAAAGGCAGTGTTTGAGCGGACAGATTCTGCCTACGACGGCGAGAAGGATTCTACTGATATACAAACTACAGGGCACTGGAAGGAAGATGATGATGTCAGCATCTTGTCGGGAGATCATTCAGTTGTTATGAGCAAAATACGGACTGCTAGTTTGATGAAAATGAAGAATCCCTTATTTACATCAACGAGAAAGAAAAAGGAAAAGATTCTCACACAGAGCAATCGCGCTGGTGGGCAAGGGCATCTTCTAGAATTGATGGAAATCGACGGGTTTAATGCAAATGGTATACGAGCAGCATTTCTTCGATTCTTTGTAACGGTATTTATGAATTACCAGGAATTTTTGCTACCGGAGGGTCAGAACGATCTATTTGATGATGTCCAGTTCATAAAGGGTGTCGATTATGAACAGTCAGCCCGAGAGTATTTGGTAAGAGTTATTCAGACTCAAATGTTTCAGATTTTTTTGGAAACAAGAAGTCAGGATCCAAATAATCCAAGGATTCGATTCTTTGACGAAAGTATTCTTGAAAAGCTGAACAGATCCAAGAAGACAACTCTCGTGAATGGCGGGAAAAAGCTGGCTACTCCCTTCCTGGACGACGAGAGCGATAAAATCACAAAGACTTTCACTCCACCCCCGCCAAATAGGCTTGGGCTTCCCGACGATGGCAAGGCCTACCAATATGGTTCTTTTCCATCTCTGAATGAATCTCTCTTTAGTAGGGTTCGACCACCAACCAATTTTCACAATGGGCAACGTCTCGATAGACGCCAAGCAATGCGTTCTACCAAATCTTTCAAGTTGAGCAAAGCTCAGAAGACACAACGTGATCTCTTGAAAACTATGGTAACAAAACCGGATATGACGGAGGGGCTTCCAATGGGCGTGACCTCAGATATTAAGCAGCGGATATCAGATGCCACAAAGAGGTCAGTGAAAGACTTGGAGACCGCACTTACGTCCATAGCCCCAAGCCTTGGATTCTACTCAAAATCACACTCGCGGTTACGGGTCAAAGGAGGTAGCAAAGGGGACAGTAGGGGAAGTAGCTTAAAGAGCGGTAAACAAGAATCAAAGAGTGCGAAGAGTGCTGAACAGCGAGACGATTCGACCAGCGGGGAAAGCATCAGCTCACATGTTCCAGATAGCATTGTCATCCCGTTATCCCGCTCGGAAACAATAATTATCAACGCAAGAAGAAAACAAGCAATTCTGTTGGATGTTATCATAAAAATTCAGGCAATATGTCGAATGTATCTCATAAAGAAACAATGCAAAACCGGCAAACCGTGGAAAGAAGGACTGATGTCAAGGTCAGCTATTCAGATACAGAGTCACTTTCGGCGTTATGTTGCCCGTTGCCAGTTCGAGAAGGTCAGAATAGCTACCATTCTGATTCAATCATTTTTGAGAGGAAGAAAAGCCTGTACAATTTACTTCTTGGTCATCGAACTTGTTGCCAAAGGCCAAGCTGGTATTCGCGGATTCCTTGTACGAAGGCGCATGTCGCAAGTCTGTGCTGGCCGAATGGCGGAATACCGACGTAGGATATTTTCCCTGTGGAAGATAGCCTATGTCCCACTCTCATTCCGAACAAAGTTCTGGCCCACAATTTTGTCTGATAAGAGCTTTGCTCAACTTCGACATTGCGAGTCGGAAATTCTTCGTCTCATTAATCTGGCTGGATTGATTGTGGATAGGACTGCTTCATTTGCTGACGCGATTACTAGCACAGCGGAGACGCTTGGTTTGGATAATTCTATCTATGTCATGAGCAAGCATATCACCGAATTGTTGTCCGTACCGCCAGAAAATGCCCCCACGGTAGACCTTTCCATGGCTGAGGGTTTCGAAGGTGCAGAACGACTGCAACTGCACGAGCGCCTTGACTCCAGTGCCGTTGCAAGTTATCTTGAAGCCTTTTATACTGCGTTTGGGATCGCAATGAAGGAGAAGAAGAAAAAAGAGACCCTCGCCAACTTAATATGGACTTCTTATGATCAAGTTGATATATCAGTGTCATGGATGATGAAGGTTTTCCCCGAACTGGAAGGTGCACTAAATATTGCTTTCCACGACACGTCTTCAAAGAGTCGTCGGCGATTCAGCAAGGCAACTAAAGTGGTAACAGCACCTGTAGATCGAAAGCTTTGGGATGAAATATCTCTGGAAGGCAAAACGCGAAAGCATATGAACGAGGTGGCAACCATCTATATTACCAAAGTGCCAACACTGATGGCCAAGCTTGACGAATTAGATAAGCGGGAGAAGCTGAAGTGGGAAGCTTACAGGATGGCCATGATGAAAGCGTATGGCTCGTCAAATTGGGCGAGTTGTCGCCGTGAAATGATCCAGGATTATCTGTCTATGAAACCAAGACTCATAGAAATCTGATCAAAGACTATCTCAAAAAGATTCAGTAATGCTTGTAAACTCCAATTTTGTTAATCGCTTAGACGGATCCTCCGAAGATGTAGTATTCAAATGTAGTATTCCTACACTTTCTAGCCTGCATCGCAGAATATGGGCTTCAGACGTGAAATGTGCCCAGGGAGTAGAGAAGGTAGGGTGTACCCGTACCACTGTGGCAAGAGTATACTCTTGTCTGTAGATTCACTTTGCTTACTTCTGACTTCGGTCGAAGAGGTCGTTTCTTCAAGGTCTGTCTGCAATCAAAACAAAACAAACAACTCGAATCCAAGTCACAACAGAATAAGAGCAGCATCTTGCAATCCTAGAGCTGCTACAGTGTAGTACTGTAACACCAGACTGAAAAGATGGCGAATCGTCAAGGCAATTCCAACTATGCCCAACAAGTGGAAGTGATGGAGCTGACAGAAGCGTCGCAACTAGATCGGCAAAAGCACCAACATGTCCTACTCGAAATCGAAGCCAAGAAACGTGCGTTCCAAGTGGATGTTCCAACCTTGCCGAATGACGTTCGAATGGCCTTGCGTACCTTGGGACTGCCAGTTAGATTGTTTGGTGAAAACTTGGCAAATGTGAGAGATCGTCTTCGTATGGAGTTGGCGAAACGGGAGGTTTTGAAAGAACAGGGAGGCACCATTGATGATTCGTTAGATGATGGTCAACAAGAGCAAAAAGCAGAAGCAGAGGAGGAACAAGTCACAAAGTACAGTCGAGCGACACCACAGCTCATCAAAGCTCGCGAGTTAATTACAAAATATTCCATGAAAAGGGCCAAAGAACGGCTGGACATGGAACGAAAGTTCCGATTACAAGTCCAACGCAAAAAGTCCAAATTGGCATCCCTGCCAGGGCCGGAGGGATCCGAGGTCAAGGAAGAAGACTACGCAGAAATGGAACGGTTAGATGAAGCTTGTGTAGCAAAATACAAGACTCTCCGCACCTATGGTTTGGGAGGTTCCCAATATGGTGATGCCCGCCCAATATCTTCCATTTGCACATCCCTTCAACCACATTATGGTGTCCCATTGGTGGCAACGGGTAGTTGGAGTGGAACCATCAAATTATGGAATGGATCCAGTCTGGAGCTCAACCAAGTTGGGGAGAAAACCATGGCCCACGAAGATCGAATCATGGGTGTGGCAATACATCAACAATCCAATACGTCGTCGGCAATTCTGGCGACAGCTTCCATTGATTTGACGGCAAAATTGTGGAAGATCCACCAATCGTCGTCATCAGACGACTCCATGGCAGTAGATGGTGGCGAAGATGCGGCCTCCAAATTTACGTTGGAAGAAGCTGTTGTTTTGAAAGGACACGCCACTCGTCTTAGCAAGGTTGCCTTTCATCCAATGGGCCAGCATGTGGGGACTACCAGTTTTGATCACACGTGGCGCTTGTGGGACGTCGAGACGGGTTCAGAAGTCTTGTTACAAGATGGTCATTGGAAAGAGGTCTATGGTATTGGCTTTCACAAGGATGGTTCCTTATGTTCGACGACGGACTTTGGAGGCGTCGTGCAAGTTTGGGACATAAGAACGGGAAAATCGATTTGTCACTTTTTGGGACACGCCAACCGAGTGCTCTGTTCGGAATTCAGCTCGAATGGTTTTCAATTGGCGACTGCTGGAGATGATGGCACACTCAAAGTCTGGGATCTGCGGCGGCGCAAACAGTTTGCTTCTGTACCTGCACATTCTGGTTTGATTACTCAAATTCAATTTGATCGACACGACAATGGGGAGTATTTGGCATCGAGTTCCTTTGATGGAACCGTCAAGATGTGGTCCACGCGGGATTGGAAAATGCTTTCGACGCTGAGAGGTCACGAAGGAAAGGTAATGGGACTGGGATTGTTCCATGATAGCATCGTGTCGTGCGGTTTTGACAAGACGCTCAAGCTGTGGCAATAGTAGTTGATGGTAACATGTACCATACGGTATGAACGACGATAAGGCCAATCTACATTCCCTTTTTTTTTAACTTGCTGATTATCTTGTAGATGATGATGATGATGATGATGATGATGATGATTCTATTGCTTCTTGTATCCATTGAAAGAATCCGTCTTGACCATTCAGCGGGAAATCCGTGACGAAACGGAGCCCAGCAGATTGATAATTGTCTTCCACTAGTGCACCCGAAGTAGAATCGACCCGTATTTGCAGTTGCTCCATGGCCACTTGATCCTCTCGGTAGTAGGCAAAGGCACAAATGGCATCGTATTTGAGAGAGCTGAAATCTGGAGTGGATTGAAAGACCCTTTGCAAAAGGCTCATCGAACGGTCCTTAGAACTCTCACTGGCCTCCTCCTCGGAGGTTGCTAGATTTACCAACCGATCCCAGGTAGCTTCTACTGTTGGCACAGTACTATTACTACTAGTAGTAGTTGTAGTAGTAGTATTTTCAAGATTGTTTTGTAGCTCGCACGTCTGCGCTGGCACAATGTGGATTCGATCCTTGAGCGCAGCAGAGCATCCTTCCAAAACTTGCGCGGTAGCCAAGGCATCCGTGGCAAAATTGAACTCTGGTTCATTTGACACGGAAGGATTGTTGCCGCCCATGATCCACACTTGTCGCAACTTGGAGTCCATCAATTCTTGCATCATCATAGTAGTATCGTCTTCATTGTTGTTGCGGTTACCATCAAGCAGGCAATAGGCAATGTTGGCCAATGGGCCAAGGCAGAGCAAATCAACGCTACGGTCCTCTTGGGATGTCAAGAACTGAGCCAGCTGGTTCCAGCCTTTTTGGGTGTCCAAAGTACTGCTGCTGCTGCTGCTGCTGCCAAAAGGCGGGTGATTCTTCGCTTGCAAAGCAATTACTTCCAAGTGCAAACTCTTCAGCTTTTTTCGTGTATTCTGTAACCAGCTGGGTGTTGAATCAATGTCCTCATCGTTTTGGATTGCCAGTGGTACCAAACCAGAAATCACGGTTGTCGTTGTTGGCACTAACCATGTATCCATTAACAACTTGGCGGAATCAACAGGATTGGACTGAATTCCACCCACTGTTGTCACTAGACCAATGTCAATATCTTGTCTACAGTCCAACGAAGAAATGGCAACAAGATCGTCAAATCCCACATCCGTGTCAATCCAAACTGTTCTTCTTTTTCTTCTTCTGCTGTTGTTGTCGGTGGAGGATGATGTTTCTTCCCGTTTCTTGGTGGTGGTGGACATGGCAAATTGCGTGGTGCTGCAGCGCGAAGTGGACAAGGCTGCTTCAAATAAGAGTGGATGTAATGCAAGATGATGATTCCGAATAAGGTAGGCCATTGTCGGAAGCCACATGAACAATGATGACTGATTGTCTGGTTGATGATGTTTGATTATGTGTGACGATGGTGATGTACAGTACCAGTACAAGTATGTGACGGCGTGTTGGCGGCAAGATTTTTGTTCTGATGTAAAAGGACTAAGTCATTCCTTTGATGGACGGCTATTTTAAAAAATATATTCGTTGGCGCGAAGTTTTTCATGTCATTTTGCCCATCAAGAAAAGTCTTGACAGTCGCATCCATCCATTGTCTCTCCTATCCTCAGTAGCCCTGAGTAGCAAACACAAAATGAGGCGAATTCGAAGAGCACAATCTTCTGTCAGTCGAACGAGCAAGAAAAGTCGTTCCAGCACAGTGGTTGCTCAAAGGAGCGTGGCTAGTACCACCACTAGAAGCAGGAGGAGTCTGCGCCATGACGATGATCCCGGTGGCGAGCACCAAATAGATTACGACGACGACGACGACGACGGCGACAACTATTTCCAAGGCTATCACACCAATGCATCCGCATCTTACCAACCAATACACCCGCCTCCTCATGCATTGACACAGAGTACCATGGGTGTTGGTAATGTCATTCCACACCACGCACCACCACATATGCACGAAGCCATGGTATTTGTCACAGTGGTCCAAGATGGATCCACCCTAGCGTTTGCTGGCTACGACGAAGAACGAAACGAAATCATTTTGGAGTGTGCCAACAACGTCACCACTCAAAATGGTGACCAAGAGTCATTGATTGAACGATTTTGGGATTTGACCAAGCCTACATTGTTGCTGTTGGGAACCAAGATTTTGAGCAATGCGACACTCTTGGAAACTCTCACCAAGAAACCAAACTCGATTGCATTGTTGAACGATGATAATGATGATGATGATGATCTACTGGGCCATGCCCCGTCCCAAACAGCAGCTCCCAACAACGAACCAGCAGCAGGAGGAGACGTTACTGATACTACTACTACGATTCCTCCATCCATTCCATATCGACTCATGAAATCCAAAAGCCTCGAATTGCAATCTTGCAAAACACGAATTCTACAAAAGCTACGGGTTCTATCCTTGCTCCGAGGAGACGACGATGATGATCATGATCATGGTCAGATCCTTGCTCGCGAACATGCTCCAGCCTACAGTCAACGCCAACAACGGTCCTTTCCAGCCTCCTCGAATGGTCATAATGTCTTTCGGCCTTCCGCCTATCATTCATTGGCGGCACTGATTGACTTTGATTCCAGAGCCCAAGTCCAAGCACTCGGTTGCTTGATTTCGTATCTACAAGAGTCCGTCTTTCGATTGGCCATGGATCAAGGAGTGGTGACCATTGATCGAATCGTCTTGGCCAAGTCATATCAATACATGAGGGTGGATGCTTCCACCTTGCATTCCTTGCACATTTTTTCCACGGAACATCATCCACTCCAACTCCAGCAACAGGGGAATAATTCCAAAGAGGGATGGTCCTTGTTTTCGCTATTGGACCGCACCAAGAGCAAGGGTGGTCGCAAACTACTCAAGGAATGGATGTTACGGCCTTTGATCAGTCTCGACAAGATTCAACAACGTCAAGATGCCGTCCAACTATTTGTCATGGAACAACAAAATCAAGCGGGGACACTCTTGCAATTTTTGGCCAAGATTGGACCTATGGATTCGATACTCCTCAAATTGCAAAAGTGTTCCACCCAACCCAATGATTTTCTGATTTTGATCAAGACGCTCTCGGCGGCCTTGAGCATTGCTTCTACTCTTCACGACGATCTTTTACCGCGATTGGATCGTCAACGACGACCAGAGGAGTGGCAATATTGGAACCAATTGCTAGAGAGGTGCCATGGAAATCTCTTGTATCACATTCAAAAGCGCATCATGGATGTATTGGACGAAGAGCTAATGTTGGAACAAGGTGGTGGCGACTTTGTTATTCGACGAGGATTTCATCCACAACTGGACGAATGGAAGGATCAATACGAAGATTTGGAAGGTAAAATTTGGTATTATTTGTGTGTCTTCTGTTTTGGGGTGCTGTTGTTATGCTGTTGTTATGCTTACTTTGATCATTGGCATTTTAATCTTGCTTTGTTTGTGTATTATATCTTCGCTTCTCGACTGTATAATAGTAACTTTGGAAGGAATGGCGGAAGATCTCACTCATCAGTTTCCGCACCTCAAGGATCTTTCGGTCGTCTTTGTGCCACAGGTACGATGGTTGTTTACAAAAGTCTCTTGTATGCAATCCCTTTTCCTCATTCGATTTGGCTCGAGTGTAGGTTGGATTTCTTGTTTGCTTGCTCAAGGCTATTCTATTGCAAGATAAGGTGGAATTGCCCCAAGACTTTGCCCTTATCTTTAGTCAAGACGATGAAGCGTTCTTCAAGTGCGACGAGATGGCAGAGCTCGACAAGAATATAGGAGATTTGGATGGTTTCATCAAGGACACTGAGGGAATCATTGTGGGCGAGTTGGAGGAGGCCATCTTGGAACACGACAGCGAACTTCGAGAGAGCTTTCTGGCCCTTGCGGAACTGGACTGCCTGTTGGCATTTGCCAGTTGTTCTGTTGATCTCAAGTTCACTCGACCCCAAATGGAGCCAGCCAGTCACAATCGGATCGTCATCAAGGATGGAAGGCACCCATTGCAAGAGATCATTACGGAAACCGAATTCATTCCCAATCATGTTCAGATTGACAACACCGAACGGCTTGTTGTCCTTTCCGGGCCCAATTACAGTGGCAAGAGTTGCTATCTCCGCCAGGTATGTGCTCTACCATAAGCAGCGGCCCAACAGCAAAAAGTGATGTTAAGCTTACTACTCGTTTCATCAATCATCCGCAGGTTGGATTGCTGGTGTACATGGCACATCTCGGATGCTTCATTCCTTGCTCCGAAGCAGTCATTTCGGTCACTGATCAAATCTGTGCACGTATCTCCACCGTTGAAACATGTGCCGTCCCCCAGAGTAGCTTCCAGCTCGACCTTACCAACATGGCTTCGATTCTTCTTCGTGCGACATCGCAATCTTTGGTTCTTATTGACGAATTTGGAAAGGGTACCAGCCCAGCATCAGGAATTGCTATTCTGGGAGCGGCACTGAAGCGGCTGTCTCAAATCGGTTGCCGGACGCTTTGTACCACTCATTTTCTAGAGATTTTCTCTCTTGGAGTGATTGAAGACAATACCAATGGATTCAAGGCTCGTCAAATGGCAATCCACTTGCCCAATGACAACGATGATACTGTGGTACCCCTGTTCCAGCTTCAAGATGGAGTAGCCAAGTCCTCTGCTGGACTAATTTGTGCGAAACGAGCTGGATTGAACCCAACAATTGTCGGTCGAGCCAAAGAAATCATCCAGACCCTGAGGAACGGAAGACAACTCACTCCATTCCAGGATGCAACTGCATCTGAATTTGAACTCTCGACGGAGGAACGAGACATGCTCAAGCATTTGTTCAATGTGGAGTCGTGGGAGGCCGCCGGTGAAGGTGAAATTCGCAGTCTCATCCAGAAGGTTTCTTTAGTTTCTAGTGGATAATCTTAGAGATGCGATGCCAACTTGTCCAAATCCGTCATCCAGAGCTCTCGTGCTTCCGATTGCTGGATCTCCTTCAGATTCGTTTCTGCCTTGGCAACATCTCGATTTAGCTCAGCGATCTTCTCTGTTGTAAGACTGGATAGCGGCATTTTATAGAGATAGTCAAACTCCGAACCAGGAGTTGCCACATCTTCATCGAATGTTTTATCATCCGCAGGACGCTTCTTTCGTAGAGAATTATTGGTACGAATTTCTTCAAGCTCGTTGGAAGTTTGAAAGTTGAGCTCCTTTAACTTGGCATAACTTTCCTCTTTGGATGTCTTTCCTCCCAAAAGTTCGATTCGTCCTTTCGCCACAAGCTCAATGAAACGGCCTTTGTTCTTCAACAATGCAGACGTGTGATTCAATTGTGATTGAAGGACTGATTTGCGATCCTCGTACAGCGAAAGCCTCGTTGGAAAGTAGGAGTCTGCAATATCTTCCGGTGAGAAAAATCGTCGCATGGATCCATCTGCGTCAAACGCATTCATATTTGTTAGCGGTAGGTTTGTAGTTAGCTTCAGCGCTTTTTCAAAGCCTGTCTGCTTCATCCGCTCCAGCTGACTGGGTTTCAGACTAATCTTGAACGACACCTTTGTCGTTGTATGGTCCTCCAGAAGCCCCATAATGAGTCCCTTAGATTGCTGATTGGAGAAAAGTTAGAAGTGTTCTCTCGATACTGCTATTTTCGGAGTCATGCCAAGCTCTTACCATCTTCACTAGATGACTCTTGTAGCTATCTGTCCAAACTCCTATCGGAAGTTCCTTCACCAGTATTGTCTTTTTGTTCAATTGCTCGACTATTCCATAGCTTACGTAGCCACTGCCATCTTCTCGACGTTCGATTTTTCCTTTGAATCCATTGGCATATGGTTCAATCAATGGAAGCTTTGCTTGGTTATCAAGCTTTGCTCTAATATAGTCTACGACACTCATCGGGTTGTGGGGCGGAATAAATGTACTCCATCCAGTCCCAATGCCTTGAGTTCCGTTTACAAGTAGCAGGGGAATGATTGGACAGTAAAATTTTGGTTCAATCATTTGTCCATCATCCTCAAGATAGTCCAAGAGAACGTCATCGTCATCGGGGAAAAGGGATCTGGTAACTGGGGCGAGATGGGTGAAGATGTACCTTGGTGACGCAGCATCTTTACCACCAACCAGACGAGTTCCGAATTGACCGCTTGGTACCATCAAGTTCAAGTTATTCGAGCCCACAAAGTCTTGCGCCATTCCGATGACTGTTTGGAGGTAGATTTAATAACACAAGGTGCTATGATGTTAGATTCCAAAAATGTGATAAATATCAAGTCGAGCGATGCTTACTAGTTCCTTGGAGAGATGCTTCTCCATGGTGATAGGCCGTGTGCTCGGCACAATATCCACTTAATTGAGCAACCTTCATCTCAGATCGCAATTTTCGCTTAAAACATGAATACAAGACTTTCCGCTGAGATGGTTTGAGCCCATCAATTGAACTCGGGATGCTTCTGATGTTGTCAGCATGGCTGAAGTGAATCATTTCCTTATTCACAAAGTCTTCGTAAGTGATCGATGTATCTAGTTCGTCAAAATCGATAGAAGCTGTTGCATCATACTCTTCTGATATCCACTCTCGGCGATCAGCAGCCCTATCTTTATCGAACACCTTGTCAAGAAGTTCACCGTCCAACTCAGAATTCCAATGAAAAGGTCGGTGGTGTCTGTCAAAATCAGAGAAGTAGGCCTTAGCCTCCGAGGGTGTGCTTGTTCCAAGCCCTTTGTAGTACTTGATTTTCCATTTTTTCACATCTTCAGGACTATCAAAAGTGGAACGCCAAGCATCATATTCCGCCATTGAATAGAAGGAAAGGACCTCTTTCTTGCCCTTCATTGTGGCCTTGAGCAAAGGGGTGACGAATGAGGACATAAATGGCTGTGATGACGGATCATCCATCGCAGGCTTCAGTAAATTAGGCCAAAAATGTCGAAAGAAATTGATAACAAGACCCTTGATGTGGCTACCGTCTGTATCTTGATCTGTCATCAGCATGACCTTTCCGTATCGCAGACTTTGTCGCTCCTCAATTGTCGCATACTCCATATCGAAATCTAGACCGAGAATCGCGACTAACGCCTTCACCTCTGCATTTTTGGAGAGTTGGTCGAAAGATGCATGTCGGACGTTGAGAAATTTACCACGCAATGGAAAGACACCATAATGCTCTCTTCCAATGACTTCAAGACCAGCAACGGCGAGAGCCTTGGCGGAATCTCCTTCAGTCAGAATAAGAGTACAATCTAGGCTCGATTCAGACCCTGCACTGTGTGCATCATCCAACTTTTGTATCGAAAGAAGTTGTCGCCTACTTTTCTTCGCCCCTACATGCTTCAAAAGATTTGCTTGTTGCCGACCTTGTGCAGCCCGCGTCACTTCTTCGACAATCCCTGGACCTCCTTCTTCTTGTGGCTTTACAAGCCGATTAAGAAAGGCTTCACTCAGAGTCCATGAACTCCCAAAGGTACTCGGATTCGAAGTCAGATGCTCTTTCATTTGAGAGTCAAAGGTTGGATTTTCGATCAGAGTGTTACAGCCTACAAATAGGCTCCTTCTGATTAAACCAGGAATAAGAATACTAGACAATTCTGCGTCGTTCTTTGTCACTTTGTCTTGTATTTTCTTGACTACCTGGGTCACGATTGCGTTGACATGCGTTCCCCCTCGGGGAGTTGCCATACCATTTACAAAGGATATAGAGTCGAATGAATTACTTTCTGAAAGGCCAATCCCAACTTCCCAACGGCCATTCAGCTTGTTGAAGAGTACATGAGGTGCATTCTCGCTCCGATACATTTGACAATACTCACCGAAAGAAGCCATGGATACATCTTGACCGTTCAAGGTAACCTGTAGATTCCCTGCAGCACAGCCAGCAACATCTAGAACTCTTCGACACATCACAACGTAATCCTGATCGTCGATTGAAAGCGCACTTGGATCACCAGTCAGCCGGGGCATATCTGGAGAAAATTCAATGCAAGTGAAATCTTCTGCAGGTGCTTCCAGGCTCGTAATCTCTGGATCCGACGCCCGAGTCATGTTGTCGTACCAGGATTGCTTGTAAGATTTCTTCCTTCTAGCGTCCAGAGTTTCGATGGAAAAAGACTTGGAGAAGATATTCGTCAATTTTGCACCGTAGCCATGTCGTCCGCCTTGGTTGAAGATGAATCGTAAGACTCGGAATTGGTAATTCGACTTTTGCATGGTTTTTACGGACTTACCTGTTAGCCGTTTCTCATTATCATCGAAGTTGGATCCAGTAAGCAAGTGCCCAAACAACATCTCCGGTACTGCAAGTGGCACATGAGCAATTGTTAGAGGGAGATCGATAGAAGGATTCTTGAAAATTGACAAACTCACCATAGATACCCTCATGTTTATGAACATGAATCGGAATTCCCTTGCCATTATTCCAAATTCGTATCCGAGGCTCCCGAGTTGTTGACCCCGGATCAATTTTGACATCTAATCGGTTGCAAGTTTTCGGATGTCGCAATCGATTGTCTGATGCATTGACGAGAATTTCATCGAAGATCTTGACCAATGCTGGAATCAATCCATATTCTCTACTTTTCATTCTATAGTGTCCACCATTTTCTTGAATAGAGGTTCTCCGGAAATCCGCCGAAAAATCATATTTTTCTGGTACAGGACTTGGAACCCAACATGAGCTCGGTGGCGATCGTTCCACTGGACCAACGTACATTCCAGGCCTCAAGAGAACATGTTCCAAGGGAGTTTTTCTGCTATATTGCTCCTCAACAGATTTGTGTAGTGATGGCTCCGTATCTTCGTTCTCGACGACGAGCTGTGACGAAAATGATCTGAAGCCAGAAAAATGCCAATCGGTTTTTCGATTCACCCGTTTGCATCCATCACTCCGAAGGCGTATCTGAGAAGTGGTGACATTGGAATGTTGTGCAAGCCTTGCAATCGAATAGTATATAGATCGTCGAGAGGAATTCCTTGCATGTGAAAGCATGTAAGGGCAGTGGATAAGTGTTGATAGCATTGTTGCCACGAGATTTTCGTGGTTATGGTTGAGGATGTCTGTTTTGGCCAAAAAACAAAACTATAAAAGCTCCATCCAATCTTTAATTTGGCGCGCTCCAATCTATCCTAGCTTTTTTTTTTAAATAAAAAAGAGTTGCTACGGTATAAGAAGCCAGATACGATGGAGTAAACCAAGAGTACCTGGTATCAGTATCCCGTTATTTCATCACAGGTCATATTGCAAAAAAAATCTTTTTAGAATCTGCTGCAGGTCCTACATTTCCCTGCCTCCTACCTACTAGTATGGTACTGGCTGCGACAATCTGGACGACAGTGATTCCTGTCTCCTAGTAAAGGCTATTGGTTGCGCGTGTAGGTCGATCCACACTACGGTTTCATTCGCAATCCCACTTATTTTCCACTTCGCTCCACCCCACTGGTATTGACGAGGAAGGGATAAAGCAGCTCCTCAAGATTCCATGAGAGACTCCCAAGACTGAAAGGCAAGAGCGAAAATCATGATGACCTTTACACCGTCTCTCAAGACAGAAGAAAAATATTATTTGAGTTCGTACTTATCTTTTTAGTTGATTTGGGCGGCGGGTCGTGGCAGATTTTTTGGGTCGGTCAAGACCTTCGATCCCGCGCCAATAGATGAAACACATGAAAAATAGTGTTAAAACCAAATTATCACGAATAGCTCACAAGAATCTGGTGATATTCGGTGAAACTTGGGTAATAAGTGTAAAAGATCAATGGATTGGAGATGTGCCGAAATAACGAAAGAACTTCCAGCCACAATCTAATGTTCGACCTGGCACAAACGGAAGTTTCTTTACAAGGCAGACTATCGTAAAGATTTCTAAAACCAAACCAAACCGCTTCTCGCTATCCAAAGACAACATTATTTCACAAGATGAGAGGAATAAGCCCCATCCTGTTGCTCCTGTGCCTGGTTGGTGGTCTAGCGAAGAAATATTTTGCAGAAGCAACAAGTGCTTCTTTCTCCGTGGAAACAATCAATCTCCATGGCATCGAACCTGACCTGTATCAAGCCCTGCCAGAGATCGATGAAGACCCCTCCCCTATCGATTTGGTTGGCCTTACAACTAACAGAAATGTGAAAGTGCTATTCCCTGCGGCTGATAGTGATGTCTTGGTTGTTTTGGCCAGACGAAATTCGGATACTGACTACATCCCCGTCGGTCGGTCCTATGATGGATTTGACTGGGAAGCGGCCCCAGGTCTACATCAACGACTTCCCATCACTTGCGTACACTTTGACAACGTCCGAAAGTGTCAATTAGTGCTGGACAACTCGGATAAAGATGATATTTACTTTCTTACAAGGTACACCGGAACAGTCTCTGATGACGTGCGGATTGCTCGGTTCTTGGAGATGGCAACCTTTGGTCCAACGCTTCCATTGATCAACAGTTTTAACCACGATAATGTCGACTACAGTATGGCCAATTTCGTGAAGGACCAGATCGAGAACCAACAAGTGAGCAGCCACCGTGAGTTCTACCGCAGACACCTGAATGTTCGAGCCGTTGAAACCTACAAACACGGAGTGACAGGTCCAAGAGCGTGCGACCAGAACTCTAGATGGAGGAGCTTTGCCTTTACGACAATAGATCTAGCAATGAGCAAGAGAGACGAATCGTTTGCTGTCAAAGTGGAGACAAAGATGACTACATCACCTGCTTATATCCTATCCTTTGCAGGATTTCCTCGGACTGTCCTATATGAGCAACCGCAATATTATAAGAACGAACGATCCCAAACGGTCCTTGGTGTTTTATCAGACGGAGCGTACCCAATTTGCTTTATCGAGGATATTCACGGAGAAAAGAGAATTGATGTAAGTTGACTTTGGAATCATTACCTGAGACAATCGAAGATACACGTTCTCAACTTCACAATTTGTAGATGCCTAAATTAAACCCTCCTAGTTTCAAAGTGATGGTCAGTGGGGAGTGTCGACCAGTTGTTGGCGGCAACCCAACCGTTCACCTTGATTCCACAGTTGTAGATCGACGTGACTATCACGAGCTTGATCTTACTACCAAATCATTGATCCCATTGGGGCATGTGTATTCACACACAGGTACACTACTTTTGGAAGATGACGTCGAGTCTCCTACTTGCGCCGATATTGCTGATCCTCAGGACTCAACACACAAATCGTTTACGTATGATTGTAACGATGTGAGGTACCCAGGTGATTGTGATCATTACAAGCGAAATGGTTGGAGAAACCCCTCAAAGCCAGTCTTTGGTAAGCTCAGTGATGCAAGCTTTGTCTTGTATGATATCAGACTTGAGCTGGACGAAAACACAGTCGAGAACCCCCTGATTGATGGTGGAGGAAACAAGGTTGTCGACTCCTTGTTCAAAGCGTCAACTTCGGTCTACGATGACTCTCCTCGACCTTCATATTACTGTGCTAACGCTCCACAAGATATCTTCAATGAGGCACATTGCAAACTTTCCTTCGATCCGAATGTATGCGTAACGTATGATATTGCTGTGATGAAGGCAATTCCTTTCAATGCAGATACCTTGAAGCAAATATTCAGTCTCACAGGTCGATACGTGTACGCTGTGAAAGGTGCGAAAAAACGCCAGTGTATATCTTGGTGTCTGTGTCCTTTTGATATTCGATGCTGCTCATTCTCCTTTCCATCCACAGGGCTCATCTTCGACGCAACGATTCATCCGGAAACTGCTACTAACCAAAACTTTGTTGTAGATTTGCCGTGCACCCAACTCACGCGTAGCCGATGGCTAAGATTGGACAGCGCGGGAGATGATACGTGGTTCTATCGAGATGGTACCACTGGTGCATGTGCAAGTCTACTAGAACCGGAAACAAAATCTGAATTTGCAACTGCGATTCATTCTTCCACAGACCAAAATCCCAATCTGAAAGACATCTACTTCCGTGGATCGTGTGCAGAAAGCGATATAATGGAGCATGATATGCTAGTCTTCGTTGATGAGGAGAATCAATGCTATCAAAATGTTCATCCCGACTACTTGTAAGTGAAACATTTTAAAGCTATTATTTGTCGATGAAGTATTCGTGGCGCGACTACAACAATACTGTTTTTACTTTTCTCCTATCTCCATTTCTGTCATCGCGACTTTACATCACCACAGATCCATCTACGACCTGACAAACTGGGCACCCCTACCTAACGACACTGTGAACCACCATCCAGGAGGAAGCGAAGTGATTCGAAAATGGACAGATACTGGTATTCTGAACTTCCCAGCCGAGCGATATAGCTGGCATACGATGGATCGCTGGCACAGATTTAAGAATGAAGAACAACGATTTGGTAAATTTATTGGACGAGTGGGTGACTCTGTGAGCTTTGAAGATCTGCCACCCGAGCTTCAGACAGAGAATATTGCTGCTTCTCTTGGCGTCAACAAGCTGGAGAATGTCATTGGCAATAAGTATGGGACTCTTGTGTGTGGTTCTCAAGGGGAGGTGGCTCCAGATCCTATGGAAGAGGATTATTTTGAGATCAATCTTTTTGATGCAGATACTCTTGACACTATGATCCAGCCGCAGTCTCAAAGGCAAACCATTTGGACTCACTTTGCTCTGACGGCAGAGGATCAGCTTCGACAAAAGATGGCTTGGGCTTTGAGCCAAATCCTGGTCATCACTCCAACAACCCTCACCGATCCTAGGTACGTCTGCTGAATTTTTTTAGGGGAGTAACAAGGGGATGTCTCTCTCATCGTTAATCACACAGGGCAACCGAGCCATTCCTCGTGTTTTATGATATTTTCGTCCGCAATGGTCTCGGAAACTACCGGTATGTCATGGTGTACACGAGTACCTCGTTTCGCCAACTGCGCCTCTCTCATCGATTTCATTCTACACAGAGACATACTGAAGGAGGTTTCTTACAGTATCAAGATGGGTGAAATGCTGACCTTTGTGGTGAGTATATCTTTGTTTCTCCTCGTGAAATGCGGCAGTCTCTCTAACTTCTACATCGTTCCGCAGGACAACCGTGCGATTGCATTTCTTTGGCATATTAGGAAACAAGTGCAACGTAAGACGCTTTGAAGCTGCTGTATTCGTCGCTCTGTCACTTTATGCTCACGTATTGAATCTTGACCACAGATCCGGACGAAAACTATGCTAGAGAGCTTATGCAGCTGTTCACAATTGGTACCGTGCGGCTAAACATGGATGGAACCGAGGTTCTGGACTGCTATGGAAATCCAATAAAGACATACGATTCCAAGGATATCGTCTCGTTCGCCCGAGCGTGGACTGGTTTTGCTCGCCAACCTTATCGTGGCAATGTCGAGGATATCACAGCACCAACAAGACACAGCTACCTTGATCCGATGCGAATCCAAGATATTAGGTTCCGAGACCTGTTTCCTAAGAGAGGGCTGGAGGGAAAATTTATCGGAGATCGGTATCCTCTCTGCAGTGATCTTCCAGACAAAGCCTTTCTCCGAAGGGGAGCGAAGTACCGACTTTTGGGCGGAAATCCGAGTCCCAAACTACAAAGTCACTTTGGGGTTGAGTGGAAGGATCCGAAGACAAAGCGCTTCAGTCTTTTATTGCAGTCTCCCTTGTACAATGTCTTAAACTGTCAACAGAAGGGTGGAGAGTGTATCTACGCACCAGTGGTCACTCTATCAACCAATCTACCATGTTATGGCAACGAATGCAAGGTTGATACTGTCCGAACGGTGCAAGTGGGTGGTGTTTTCTACGAATACATTCGTGTCCCATGTGTTGAGCTAGCAGTTTATGACAAGGGCAAGAAGTTATCCGCTGGATATAACGATGACTTGAACATGTGTGGTGAGTTTCATGGGCAATCCGATGGGAATGAATCTTCGCTAGCATCTCACTTATCTTGTATTCCGTAGGTAACCCCAAAATAGCATCGGCTACAGAGGCTTGCTGCGGTATCAATCGAGAAATGGACAACCTTGTATTTCGGAATCCACGACGAGCAGATAGGTCGTGCGAGTATCTCGGTGAAAAGGTGACTTTCGCGACGAATGTGGAACGGTGCAACAGCCTAGGAGGTTACCCCTGCGACATGGAAGGATTCCTTCATTGGAACGAAAACTCAGACCAAGATTGTATTCGTGACATCAGAAGCTCAAACCAACACATCTGGGAAAACATTTGGCACTGGACGGTAAGTTGCATTCATAGGTTTCTCTGGGTCTTGCTTCAGCATCTGCTCACATCCCTTCCAGAACGCTCATTGCAATATCCAACTCGCCATCAAGAGTAACGGGCTCATCGCTTTGCATCATAATCCAGATCAATCAGGACATATTGACCCTCCACGGACAGCTGGTCACGTCGATGCACTGGAGAGTCTCAACTACTTCAGCGTCCACTGGCCAAAGAATGAGACCAATGACGATCAGTTTCCATCTGTGGACAACAATTGCGGGAATGGGCTATGTCAGGTGCTTGATGACGCAACTTGTCTTTGTGAGACAAACATTGTTGATTCGGCAGTGTTTACTAGCATGCCAAGTCGATCAGACGTATTGTCGCAGCTCGCGATTGGTGCTTTCCCTGTGGAAATGTTTGATGCGGACCAGTATGATCTTGTAGACAACTTTGATGGAGTAGAGGTTTGGCGCAAGACAGAACACGGAGAAACATTTGCACCTTCTCCAAGTCCTTCAGGTCGTTGTGATCGAAATCTCATCGATTGGAACGCTGATGCGGAGACTGGTACGAACCAGACCTGGTATCGATGGGGAAAAGACGAGATCGCGATGCAGCAACCTGGATTCAATTCCGATTTCGCGTTCCGATACTGTCCACAGGAAATGACTGGGAACATGAACTTCGGTATTTATCAGAACCTTCCGATACAGTGCCTGCAAGCGAACGACGGTGTACTGTTTTCTTTCAAGGTCAAACTTCAAAATGTCGCTGATGGCTCGGCAGTGAATTGTGATCCTCATGCAACATCCGGGCAACAGTCTTGTCCCTTTGTCCGACTGTATATTCGAAGCAATAATAGACATCACTGGATTGCATTGTCTGGACTGCGTGAGTGGAATGAAGAAGAATGGAATACATTCGAGCTAGAATATATCATTCCAGCTGAGTACGATAGCATCACACGCATTCAACCGTTCATCGTCGTCGGTGGTCCATCGGCTAGTGACGGTCGCGTGCTTCTGGTGGATGATGTGAGCATCACAAAAAAAATAGGAATTGTGTCTAGCGAAGCACCTAGTGAAGCACCAACATCATCTTGTCTATATTTCAACATGGGAGTTAATGGAGATGCAGAGACAGGAGATATACGGCCTTATGGAAACACGGGGAGCAACACAAGCTTAACTGTCCAAAGCGAAGATGTATATACTGGTTCTTATGCATTCAAGTTCAAAGCGTATGAATGGTATCGTGGAATCAACAAGGGTGTGTGGAACATGCAACGGCCAAATGCTGTTGAGCGAGAGGGCCAATGCATATCATCGGGTACCAACCTTCACTTTCAATTTAAGGCAAAACTGATAAGGGAGACGAGTGCAGGCGCAAAAGGGGTTGATTGCGATCCGTCTTCGAGGACAAAAGGAGGCAACTCGGGCAATTCTGTAGGGTGTCCTTTCATTCGTCCACACGTGAAGGTGGACGGGATGAGGTGGGAAGGATATGACTTGTGGGGCTTTGATGACTGGGACGCTAACAGTTGGAACACGTTTTCGGCAACATGGACAGTTCCGGAGTACGAAGATCCCATCAAGCAGTTTCAGATAATTTTCCTTCCGAACCGATACAGCAGGTGGCCCAATGATAGCATGTACATGTTATTGGACGACTTCGAATACTATGTGGTTCCTTCTACAGATCCACCAAGTCTCGCCCCAACTTCGTCAGCTTGGCCATCTTTTTCCCCGTCACTATCACCAACGTCAAAGCCTTCACAAATTCCTACTGAATTGCCTACTTCGTCACCCACAGCGTTTGCAAGCTACTCGAAGGATACACTTTTCCGCGTCATGGATGAAAAGGGTGACTACATTTATTTGAAGAACATGAAATCTGTCATTGGAGTAAGTCGTTCATTGTTATCTGAAATGTTCTATATTAGCAGCTGCACTGACACTATCTTCGCATGTTTACAGATCGGAGCAAAGGCTTCGCAATCTACACAATATTCGATTCGAAATCCACCATCATTCTATGATCTATCAGGTACGCGAAACGTTTCGATCATTGTCTTTTTCACCTGCATACAACTTATCGTATCGCTATTTCTGAAGAAATTGCGCTTCGAGATGCCTACTACGAAACGGATGCGGTGATCGATCATCTTGCATATCATGATAACACTCCGCCATTCATTGCAAAGAACATCATTCACCACTTTGGAATCTCAAATCCTTCTCCACGATACGTTGAAACAGTCGCCACCGCCTTTCGCAGTGGGTCGTATGTCTTCAAGCAAGCTGGCTCTCCGGATGTATCTTTTGGAGGAAACAAATGGGGCGATCTTTCTGCTGTTGCGGCAGCAGTACTTTTGGATCGAGAGGCCAGGGCGGTAGTGGTGTCCTTAGACCCAATACATGGCTCTGTAAAGGAGCCAATGAACAAAATTATTTCATTGATGCGATCGATGGAGTACACCAGGGCCAATCATGCCAAAGTGAAATACCCAATTTTGTCTTCTGGTCTTCGTGAGAGAATTGGACAGATGCCATATGAAGCACCTGATGTATTCTCGTTTTTCGGTTCAGACTACCAGCCACCAGGAGCGTTCTCTCAGGCTTCTTTGGTATCACCTGAGTCTCAAGTATTGTCCATGATTACGATTCTCGGGATGTCAAATGGACTTTCTTCACTGATCAAGAACGGCATGACTTCGTGTAGCTACGGTTTTGGAAGAGGTGTGAGAAACTACTCGTGTGACTACCCCGACGGAAGATTAGCATACATGCCATCGGCTGCAGCAAATATGGCCAAGAAGACCATCGACGAACTCTCGCTTTTGTTAACTAGTGGGCGTCTCAGCGACGAAAATAAGGCCATCATCCTCGATAAGTACAATCAAGTCTGGGCATCCGACAGTGCTGACAAGGCTCTACAGGTGGCTCAACAGCTGATCGTGAACAGTCCTGAGTTCCAGACGTCGAGCATTGTTCGCAAGTCAGGATCTCCCAGACTTTCATCCGGAACGACAGGGTCTACAAACGAGCCATACAAGGCTGTGATCAATGTGAATCTTTTTGGCGGAATGGATTCGTTTTACATGCTATCACCCCATCCGTCTTGCTCGTTGTACTCCGGTAAGTACGAAGTCAAGCCGCGTGGATGTTCGCTCTTTGCATGAGACCAATAATCTCAACTTTCTTTTTCTTGACAATACAGAGTACAGCGATGTTCGCGGAAGCGACGCAACACTGAATCCATCGGATATGAAACCTTTGGACGCCTCATCCTCTGCCAACCAGCCTTGCGATAAGTTTGGTGTTCACAAAAATCTGGGTGTAATGAAAGAGTTGTATGATTCAGGGATGGGCGTGTTCATGGCAAACACTGGTCGTAAGTCTTTCTGACGGATGTAAGCTTTCTGAGTTGGCCTTTTGTCTAATCGGACCGCGTCTTGTGTCTTTCAGATCTCGAAAAACCTGTAACAAAAGAGAACTACAATGCAGAAACCAGAGCACAATTATTTGCTCACAACGCAATGCAGAATGAAGCTGCGTTTGTCGATGCAATGCGAGAAAATGTGGGCACGGGAGTACTTGGACGAATGCTTGATATTTTGCAGCATAAAGACTACGCGGTGTCCGCAATTTCCATCGACAATCATGGAACTGTACTTGACGGGAACTCAGGACTCGGTCGTGCTGTCGATGTTGTCAAGAGAAATGGTGTTGATAGGTTCTATGATAGTGTTGGGAGTCCATCCGATGCAATTACCGTTGATGATATGAAGGCTGCTTTCAACAGTTTGAACGGCGACGTTGAGCCTAACAGCGGAAAATACGCTGATCACTGGTCACAGACTTTTATTGACGGTATCAAAAAAGCGGGGTCTCTCAAGGCATCCATCGACAATGTATCTCTCACACATGACGCGCAATTTACTGGTGGCGTTGGGCCTCAATTGAAAATGATAGCCAAGCTGATTAAGGCTCGCGAAGAGAGAGGTGTCAACAGGGATGCCTTCCACGTCAGATTCGGCGGTTGGGACCATCACTCTGAGCTGAAGAGCAATATTGAGCCACGATTTTCTGATTTGAACGCAGCGCTAGATGCATTCAAGAAGGAGATTACAGAGATGGGTCTGATGGATCATGTCACTCTAGTTGTGACAAGCGAATTTGCGAGGGTAAGTTGGGTCCCGGGAATTCTTTGCTGGCTCTATGATGCTTCTGACCTTGATTTGGTGAATATTGTTACAGACGCTCTCCCAGAATTCTGGTGCAGGAACTGATCACGCATGGGGAGGCAACTATTTTGTAATGGGAGGACAAGTCAATGGGGGGAAGATTCTTGGCGAGTACCCACAAGGTTTTACGGCGAATGATCCAACAAATGATGGCCGTGGAAGGCTAGTCCCTACTACGTAAGTGTCACTTCGAACTTGTAAATATCTTTTGGGACTTGTTTCTAAATCATGATGTGGTGGACAGTTCTTGGGAATCTATATGGAACCCCATTTCCCAGTGGTTTGGCATCGGCGAAGAGGAGGATCTGGACTACGTACTACCGAATCGTGGCAACTTCGGTTGTCGTCTCCTTGCGGAAATGGATCTATTTAAATCGGGTACACAGACAAACAAGGGATGCGGTGGCGACATTATCAATATAAACCAGAATCTGCCATTGGGCGAAACAAGATATCTTACAGGTGAAGAACAGAGGAAGTTATGTGATCGCATGAGTACGGTAGCCGTTGAAGCAGCCGGAGACTATTCTTTTCGCTGTGTGGTACTCGGTCAGCGCATTGAAGAAGTCGATGGTTCGAGCACCCATCGATTGAGCCTTGACATCGAAATGAGTAGTGATGCTGTAGGAGTGGCTGATGCAGTTAGACAGGAAGTTGATGCTCGTTTCCAGTATATCTCGAAAGATCTCATGTCCAACGGTAAAGTGGGCGGAATCTGCGCAACATCGGGAAGGGCTACAATTATACCATCACAGCTTCCCTCCGCAATGCCAAGCAACGTGGCGTCGCAACATCCAACCAATAGCATATCGCCTTCAAACGCGCCGTCGTCCGATCCAAGTTCGATGCCGTCCCGAATCCCGTCGCCGGAGCCATCGAGTTTGGTCTCGGCTTCCCCAACAAATATCGAGAGTGGTCAACCCACGGCAAGTGCTCAACCATCTCATGGACCTTCAATGTCTGTCGAACCTTCGACAAGTCATCCGTCGTTGCTACCATCTACGATGCCATCAAACAGGCCGTCGCAAAAGCCGAGTTTGCTGCCGTCACAAAAGCCAACCAAATTGCCATCACATTCGCCCTCCGTCGTGCCGAGCAGTGAACCTTCCAACGTGCCTTCTGCTTCCATATTGCCATCAATTTTTCCAACATTGGCACCGACGGTGACTGGGGTACCGACCTCATCACCAAGTCCAGGGCCGTCTACGTCTCCCTCTTTTGTACCAAGCGTGGAAAAATCAAATCGCCCATCACACCTTCGCAGTGGGGCTCCTTCGATACGTCCATCGACACCCCCTTCAAGGTACCCATCGATTTCCGATGCCCCATCTGTTCATTCAAGCATGTCACCATCGTCAACTCCATCTCATGCTCAAAGCTTGAGTCCGACAAATACTCCTCCAAGCAAGATCCTCTCTGCGACTCCATCAATATCTCCATCAACAGCACCGTCGATGACTCCAAGTGTCCAAGTTACAAACGCAATCTTGAGGCCTAGGAAGAGTCTGACATTAGCGCCTTCTCGTCATCCGCTCACTAACGAGCCAAGTGGGGAAGCTTCAGATCAACCGTCATCATGGTGGCAAGCTCCAAATTTCGATATGACAGATGGGATTTTAAGGCCCAGGACGAGTCCAACTGCGGCTCCTTCTCGGCAGCTCCTCACGACTGAGCCAAGTGGGGAAGCTACAATACAACCATCATCGCAGTCGCAAGCTCCAAGCTTTATAGGGACAGATGGGATTCTAACACCGAGTACGACTCCAACTGCGGCTCCTTTTCGTGGGCCACTCAGCAGCGAGCCAAGTGGGGAAGCTGCAGTACAACCATCATCGCAGTCGCTAGTCCCAACTTTTGAAGTGACCAATGGGATTTTACCACAGGTGGAACCTTCAAGACTGCCGTCTATGAAGCCTTCATACACACAGCCAAACGAGCAACTGCCAAGAAACCCATCCGTGCAGCCAACCACGACCTCGTCACGTCCTAGCATAACGACCACAGCCCGTGCGAGCAACATTCCGTCTGTGGTACCGTCAACAGAAGCTTCAAAGATACCCACGGATCTTGATATGAACTCGCAAAACGTCAGCCAAGGGGTTCCGACAAGTACTCTATTCCGTGCCCAACCAGATTCGAACTCTGGTCCCCCTGTCACTTTCATTATACTCTTCGTGGTGCTATTTTTTTTATTGCTTGGTTTAGTTTATGTACTCTCCTTCCGCGATGCAAGATAGTGCGATAATAAAAATAATAATACATTTTACTTGTTTGCAGATTGATTCCAATCGATGCTGATTTTTTTCCCAGCGTTCGGCCAAATGACAGAGCATGCGTCCCTTCGACAAACCCCAAGCCGCCATGACACTGCTCGTGATTATCAAAGTGAGGTTTTGAAAACGGTTTCGGAATTTGCACGACTATTAAGTTGGTATCATAAAAATTCCCTAGCTCAACCACCCAATTGCAAAAATCATTCACTCGACTACATCGCTATCTATCTGTCTTTATATCTGTCTATCTATCCCCTGTGATTCTACCGTGACACAGTTTCCTTACTGATAATGGATGCACCAGGGAATCCAAGCTTGTCTAATTGCTCCACCAACGAATTTCCGATTTTTTCCGCTTCTTCTGTAGAACCAACGCTCAATTTTACTACCGCCTTTCCTCCCTTGGCTTTCTCTGCATCCAAAATGGAAGAGACACTGCGCACTTTGTTGCTTTCTGTGCTTTGTTCTTGGGACTGTCGCAGAAGGCGATCAATTTTGTTGATGCACGCGACACATCCCATGGTTGGAACATCTAACTCCATGACCATGTTGATGGACCTATCGTTGGAAACTTCTTTGCTGAAGGAACCATTGCTGCTATTAATGCTGGATTCGACAGTGGCGGAGACGTCCCCAGCTTCAACGCCAACTTCAGTATTGATGCTTTGGTAACGTTTGTTGCGGTAGTTGGTCCACAGATGCAATCCTTCGGGTAGGAGCGCAATGATGGTTCGCATAACCATCTGTGGAATGGTAGATAGCCCTTTTTTAATCGTAAGAGCATTAACATAAAGCAAAAGCGAGAAAAAGTATGGCCGAACAGGCCCCAATGCAGTGTTCAACCCCAAGCAACCTACTGTACTGATTAAAACGTTTGCAATCATTTGAATGAGACAACAAGAACTAGCCAATAGAGAAAGCAAGAATGATGAGATCCAGCCCATGGAAGCATTAGACGTTGAAGAGGCCACCAGATGAGGGAAAACAAAGTTGTGACCAACGGTCAATAAGAGCGTCGATAGCATCAATTTTCGAGCAAATCCTGGAGTCCACAAGAGATGATAAGAATACGCCGCTGGTGTCCGCGAGTTTTCGCTTTGGTTACAGACAGTTTCCGATGATTGATTTAGCGATGAATTACCAGCCGACAATTTGCTCGGGCGGTTGAAAACTGCTCGACGATGCTTTGGTTCTGGAAATTGACTTTGTTGTAGATTATGCGAGGAAATTGGTTGTCGATGAATGCCGAAGGAAAATGCCTGATTCGCTACCAATAATAGCACTACCACTATCAGCGACAGTGGGAAACTTTGATTGTATGCTAAACGCATAATGTTTCAAAGGAAGAGATGATTATGTCTTTCACTTCCGTATAAACTGAACACTTTGATGGATTTCTGTCGATGTTTCAATGCTGTAAAATGGGGCAGGTCGCATTGACTGAGTCGACTAATGAAGTCCGAGAAGTCGACTTTCAACTTTCATCAGCTTCATTGTTGCTCGGTACAGTGCAGCCGACTTAATGTAAGGACAGTGTGAAGGAAATCAAACTAAAGTAACCGATGCAGGAGGTAATGGAAAAATGGTTTCAAGAAGCGTCGTCCGAGCAATGTGATGCCATGCTAGCCCTTCAGCTGGACTACAGGTTTGAGGGTGACGTCTTTGCTTCCTTGTGGTGGTCACATTTTCAAAAAATAGGCTTCCGACATACAGGAACCTCGTATGAAGTGCCAGCCTCTTTTCCATACTCTCAGAAGGAATACGTAGCAAACGAGATGTACTGTATACTGGATAATCTTGCAGTTCCACAACTGGTCAGTTCCTTTCAGCACGATAATGGCAACCGTTCCTCAGTGCTGCTACCAATAAACTTGGAAAAGATGTCATTGGAAGAAATGGATTGGTGGAAACGGATACGAAGGCAATTAATCTTTGCAAAGTTCCATTCGAATATTGACAAGCAATACAAGAACCAACAATCTGACGAAGGCGAAGAAATGGGGGACGATGGCCAACCGATCGCATCCAGACGGAGGACTAGGTCGGCCAATCGGCGAAGTGGGCCATCAGGTGACACGAATCCCAAAGGTAACTGCAGACGATCCTTCGTCACAGATGCTGGAGCTGATCTCTACATTCGTAAAAAGAAACGAGCTAAGACCAAGGGCAAGGGAAAGTCAAAATCTACCTCGGAACGAGATGATGAGCCGGTATTTCCTACGATAGATCAATATATTGTGTATGCCAAAGACTACCACAATGCTGATTTGGAGGTTGTGGAAGAATCAATAGCCCAAACCTTTGACGAATGGCGTTTCTTGCTTTCGACGAATCAATCATTGCTGTTGTATGGAGTTGGGTCTAAACGGTCACTTTTGAACAAATTCATTTCAGTGCAGTTGCAACAAGATGGGGATGTCATTGAGATTAATGGTTTTGACTATTCCGTCACTATTGAAGGCGTTTTGGACTTGCTTGTCCGTCTGTTGCTCAAAAATCATGAACCACGGCTTGATCTTCACGACATATCCTTGTTTAAGAACAATGGTGGTATCACCAATGGCCTTACATATGCCAGACAAGGAGATGCAGTGATAGTCCAACGGGCGATAGCTATTGGGAAAGCATTGTCGCGTCGGGTAGTCGATACCTTAAAACCAATATATTTGGTGGTCCACAGTATTGATGGTGTAGGATTACGGAATTCTACAGCACAGGAAGCCTTGGCTGCTCTTGTATACCACAGTCGAACGTTTGAGTTTGGTCAAAATGCTGTACGCCTTGCCGCTAGTGTCGATCATATCAACGGCCCAATGATGTTATGGGACCCAACACTTCAAGCGACTTTCCAATGGGCTCGACGGCGTACTCCCACGCTCCGTCCATACACCAACGAAATAGTTAAAAATGATCTGTACGACAATCAAAGGGCGACTAAGGGGGGCAAGAATGGTGCCAAGACAGTTCTGGAATTGGAGCAACAGCAACTGCTGCAAAAGACAGATGTCGAGTCGATCTTTGACATTCTCGCATCTTTTGCACCACGACTCACCCAATCCTTGCAGCTACTAATCCAGCTACAACTGGAGAAAAAAGTGGATTGGATTGGATACACAGATCTGTTTGAACAGTGCAAGCAGAGTTTCACTGTCAGTAGTGATCACCAACTACGGAATTGGATGGGGGAATTGATCGACCACAATGTGGTCGTTGTGGACAATAGCCAGAGGCCTCCTAGGTATAGGGTGCCATATTCAACTACAGCTCTGCGTAAAATCCTCAAGTTCAAGCATAAAAAGCATCAACTAGGGTAGGCGAAGACTACGATACTCATCACAGTACGTACTATACTATTTTCGGCTTGCTTCCGGTAGGTACTTCGGGGAAGGGGGTAGCTATTATGGGACTTTTATTGGGGGAAGAAACGACATGATTCGATCAACAGGTGATGTGTGTTGGCATTGACAAATGTTGAATATCATGTCCTTGGTTTCGGAGCAAACACTGCATGGAAAGGTTGATTGTAGGCATGGAATCAACGAAGAGGCTCTATTTGCAGCTTGTGTGGACGCAAATTGGAGCAATGCGAGTGCATCAGATCTAGTTGATGGAATCGCAAAGGCTATCAACTCTGCCAGTGACTACCTTGGGCTAGTCGAGTATAGAGATGTGGGCCCAAAATGGCATTGGAATATTTCTAAAATGTCGAAGGGAAGAAACACAGTCATTGAGATTTTGCAACAGTCGGGTTTATCCACGCGACTGGATACGATGAAAATTCAATCGATATCACATGTGATCCAATCATTTTCAAAATGCAAATCTACTGAAATTTCAGAATGGGTGAAAACAAAATTTCTTGAACTTCTTACTCAAGTATCTGATTGCGACACAGAGGGCTCTTTCAGGGAACGCAAAGATGCTGGATTATCCTTGATCTTCGCGTTCGGAACATTGTTGTTACTGGATCAATTGGGTGTTCATCAATTGTCGTACTCTCCAGTTCCGATAGCATCTCTTGAAGCTCCGTATGCTAAGTTGCTTGTCAGTATGATGGTGAACATGAACGATACTGAAATCCTCGCAAAGTCGACACCCTTGGGAGTAGGGCTGCTTCGCGTATGCTCAAATAAAACGAGTGCAGATCCAGGCCACAGCTTGTTTTCCAACCGAATGTTGCTTCGAGGAGTAGGGCATGGTGAGAGCTTGCGAATGCATGCAGCCCAACAAGTGTCGATTTCAATTGCAGAAACACTGCAAGATGAAGCCACGACGCCGTCTTTCACAAAACGTTTTGCCTCGGATTTGTGGATGAACGACACTATCGTTCATATGGAAACAAATTTGGACGATACTACTGGTGAAAGCTTGGCATTTGCCATCAGCTTACTGTTGGATAATGGTGCGATTGATGCGTTTGTTACTCCGATTGTAATGAAGAAGGGGCGCCCTGCACATACGCTCCACTGCTTGTGCAAGGACGAAACAAAGGACGGGTCCGCAAAAGTAAAAAAGCTGCTCGAGCTGATATTCCGACACACAACGACTTTGGGTATTAGAATATATGATGACATGCCAAGAGCGAAACTCTGTCGATCAACGGTCACTGTACAAACACCATACGTGGATACATCAAGGGGGGGGAAAGTGGACGTGAAGGTTTCTAGCTTCAGGACTGGAGAAGTTATCGCAGCGAAAGCTGAATTCGATCATTGCAAGGATATCGCCATGGAGACTGGCATCCCGCTGAGTTTGGTATCTGATCATGCGTTGAAAATAGCTCGTAAGGAGCATCAAAGCTCGAGAACAGAGACTACAGGCCTGTAATAAAATGCCACAAACAACCCCCACTAATTTGATTTTAGACCGGGGCTGGTCGACCTATTCGACCAGTTGCAACTTTTGAGAAACGGAAAACCAAAACGACAGTTACTGATTTTGCCGGTTGCACCACTCAAACTGGAAACCAGTTCGAACGTCCGTTGAGGACAGCGATAGGATACTATCTGTGCTTAATTGTTGCTACTCGCATCAAGCCCACAATTATATGCCAAACATGTGGATGACATGATTAACACCAACGTCTCAAACGAGGCGGCAGAGCGATGAGTTCCAAAGTGGTTTTGTTTTCTCACAAAACAGCCGGTGCCACACAACTGTCATTAAATTTGCATTCAGTAATCGTTTTCTACAGTTTTTCAACATGGTTACCCAGTCTTCTCTACCCCACAACAATGGAGCCCGTTCTCCAAACTTCTCGTTCTCGCCTGGAAGTAAGTCGTCATCACGTAGTTCCAGTCTTTGTGAATCGAACTGAATGAAACCTCAACCACTTTTCAAACGCTGCTGCATTGCTCAAATGCATCTTCCCTTGAATGAAACATTGACCCTACAGCGAACAACCACACCACGGTCAGATTTACCACCACACCAACCATCAAAACCACTGCACCATCCTTTAGGTTTAGGACCACTCCTTTTCCGACCGATGTGACAACGCCCACATCGAGCAAGCTTGACCGTTACGTCAGCAACGACACAAACGGCACCCACGGCGTCATCAACCTCCCCGTCACCCATGGCAGTATATATAACCCGATGACTTGCCCACCGCCTGCCAAGAGGGCCCCACTCTTCTCTCCACCACCATATTGTTCGAACGACACAAAAAACCAGAATCAGGCGCCAATCTTTAGCTTTGGATCGTCCAATGCGACCGCGACTGCAACGGCTAGAGATCGTAATCCATCTCATACTGACTGGCGCACAGAGCTTGCTGGTGCTACTCCCTTTTCGATTGATAATTATCTTCAAAACAATCCCTCTCCCTATCCAATGTCAGATGTTGACAGTGTTGGTGTGAAACGAGGCCCTCGGTCTGGGTCTCGTCCAACCCGCTCCTTTGCTTTCGGTCGGACCGAACCCCTTATTTCCAGGAAAATCTCAGCCAATAACACTAGGAAAAGTGGACATACCGGCGGAACCGTGCGCCAACCCCAGAAGGCTGCGTTTCGTCCAAATCTATTTCCCAAAGTTGCCCCAGAGTCCAACGACTTCATGGATTCTACACCAATGAAAAAACCTCCTTTTGTGACCAATACATCACCTGGCACTCAAGCTGCAGTCTTTGATTATGATCTTGGTTTTCATAAAAGAATTGGCGAGGCAAAGATCACAACCTCCACTTTTACTTTTGGGAAAAGTAGCAAAAATGTCGCTGTCTTTGATGAGGAACTTGATGTGGATGAAAAACTTACCGATGCACCTACTAGTAGTGGAGCTTCTACTCTTTCTCTTACCAAGACTAGCACCTGTATTGTAGCCTCAGATGATGATATTGTTGAGAAGGTTACCGCGGAAGAACCTACAGAAGGGCTCGAAAACAATGGCAACCAAACTGCGGATTTGGAAATTCGTGTTGAAGTGTTGGAGGAGCGCATGGTGGCATTTATGGGCTCCTCCAATGAGGAAGAGAAGGGTTGCCCTCCAAAGACTACACCTACTAAGACCTCAAACAAAGCAGGGACGCTTTCCAAGACCCCCTTCAACACACCCAACCCTCAAGATACGCATCGTGTCACCAGATCCATGTCTGCGAAAAAGAAACGGTCCGGTCGCCATAGTATGACATTGCGAGAACTCGACCCTGTATGAGATTAGTTTCCGTCCTGGATGCTAAACCGCATATCCTCGCTTATTCCAAACTACGACATAGAGGATCTCTATGTGCGCACTTCTTTCTTGCTCGGTCAACCAATAGTTGGCCGTTCACTTCATCTTCTAAAGAAATCCTGGTGTAAAATAACGGCATTGTAAACTGAATCTACTTAATATAATGACAGCACGTCAAAACATTTCTACCACCTCGAGCATACTGTAATGATAAGTTTGGTTGATGCTTTCAAGGAAAACATGAATGCAACAAGGCGGGACTCAAAGTGTACCGGTAGTCAATTGGATCAATCACAACTCCCGCCACCAAAATAGAGACAAAAAACGAAGCAAATTATGCAACACTTTGAATTTTCTTTTTGCACAACTGCTCTTCTACGAACCATCACATGATGGAGATCGAAAATGGCTTTCTTTACCAACAAGAATGCGAGATTGTCGTCATCGGCGACATAGAAGTTCCAGATTCCAAGTGGTTGAACCTTATTCTGGAAGAGAATTCATCAAATTCTGCTTTGGATGATGAAACGTGCTTGTCGTTGGATCTTGTAGTAACTGCCCCCGACAATGGATCTGTCAGGCTGTGCGGACCAAGGCCTCGATTCGACGGCACATCAAAAGATATGAAGTCAAATATTAGTGCATCAGGTGGGCGCAAACAACGATCAGATGCAGTACTCCTTCTCGGTCTCACACTGACCTGTCAAGATCTTGGACACATCATTATCAAGACAGTGAAATTCCGGATACATGAAAAATCTCAGATTTCAGAGGAGCAAGCAACGGCAATGAATCAAAGAGTGGCATCCATGTACATTACTTTTAATGTTCCTCACGTAATCATGAAGTCGATGAGGGGGCGGAATGAACGTCGCTTCATATCTTTGTCATCGAAGATGTTGCCTCCATCAACACAACTACTTCTTATGCTGATGAGAAGTGACTGGGATTTTCTTGACGCAACAATATCTGCAAGTAACAACCTGAAAATAGGAGAGATGAATAGATGCCAAAGAAGGCCATCTCTGTTTCCGTCTAAGCTACTTCTGAACGAGGTATACCCGAGAATACGAAGTGCAGCATCGCTGGACCTCGAGATTGCTCAAGAGCTAAAATCAAGATTAGACCCGGGAAAGGGGACTTTAGACAGCCTTCCGAAGGATATCCTCGAGCATCACATTGCTGTGTTCCTCAGGGCTCGATCACTGGACTCTTTGCGACGTACTTGCAAATCAATTCATCGAAATCTCAGCTCGGTCGTTCCTGGAATGTCACTGAATTTGTACGACCATCAAGTCAAATCATTAGGATGGATGAGATACCGAGAAACCCAGTCAATTTCAGAAGGGGACTTAATATCGACCACAAGCCGACGAGTTCATTGCATGGACGGAGATCCACATCGTTCCGCTTCAGGAGGCGCTTCGACTCTTCTACTGGATCGTATTGAAGGTGCTAAAGCCATTCACATATCTCAGTTCGACGGTGAAGAAGTTGTGCTACAACGCGATAACCCACTGACTGCGATGGTTGCAAGGGGTGGGCTGCTCTGTGACGATCCAGGCCTTGGCAAAACAATCACCGTTCTTTCTTTGATCCTTCAGACGTTTGGGCTGTCGACCTCGTTGGCCCATGACGAAGCCAAGGAGACCACTATCCACGATAAAAAGAATATAGAGAAGGCTAGCGATCAACTGATATTTGAGGAATATTGGAACGAAAATCTCGTTCCACGGGATCGCATTTCATTCATGCTTTCGTTTCTGATGGACTTGAGTCGAGACAACAGATTCACTTTTGGATACTTCGAGTTACCAATAGATCCAATCAGGGATGGTTGTCCAGACTACTACGAAGTAATAAAGGATCCACTTTGCTTCAAGGCGATAAGGCAGAAGGTGAACGATGGGGAATACAGCCACTTTGCCGATTTTGAAAGGGACATTGAGAAAGTGCTCGAGTATGTATTATTGCGTTTGTCTCCTATGAATATTGTGAATTGTATCGAAGCCCCTCTTACATCCACTACAGGAACGATTTAAAGTATTATCCTCCAGGTGATGAAGTACATGAAGCTGGTCTCAAGTTGAGGGAGAGCTTTCGGAGAATCACTAAGAAATTGAAGGCAAAAACTATCAAGACTGCAAAAAAATCTTTCTCAAGAGCAGGTGCAAAACCAAATTCGAGAGTTGCCGCTCTGGTGGAGAAGAATAGACGAAAGAAGTTGAAGGATTCTCTCACGCCATCTTCGTCAACTCTTCTTGTTGTACCAGGGGTTCTTTTGGAGCATTGGGAGGTTCGTCTGTACTTGTTGCATGCTCATTCTAATTCCTTCTCGTTTGTCTTTAACATGTGGAGTTGTCACTCTTTCGTTTGATGCCCTTTACAGGAACAGCTGTCGCTCCATGTGGATCTTAAATACTGCACATGCAAAACTCCAATAGTATTTGAATACAGGGGTACAAACAAGTGCGAACTCAAAATGGAGCAGATTCTGGCTCAATGCGATGTCGGCAAAACCCATTTTCCGCTCCTATTTATCGACAAGACTGGAACAAGGAAGCTTCCTCCGCCTAACTTCTTGTCAAAATTCAGCGTTGTTCTCACAACAAACCAACGATTCACCAACGAGTGGAAAAATGGCTCGCTCGAAGATGAATTGAATAGGAAGCAAGGCGATACCAAGCTGTTTCAAGAAGATGATGAAGAGCCCTGTACCCTACTGAAGGTGAATTGGTTGCGAATGGTCGTCGATGAGGGCCACTCGATGGGAAGAGGGACGGATAATTCAGCAATATCATTTGCATCTTGGATACATGCCGAACGGCGGTGGGTGATGACGGGCACCCCAACGAGGCAAACTCTTTCACAAACCGGGTTGGTAAGCATTCGCCATCTACTCCATTACTTGGGACACACCTTCTTCTCCAGACGACAGAATGGTGATACTTTGTGGAGCAATCTAGTCACCAAAGGCTGGAATCGCGGTTATCTCGCTTCCTTTTACAGAATTCAAGCTCTCCTTTCTCTTCTGATGGTACGTCATACCAAAATGGACATTGAAGAGCTCCCACCTCCCCAATATCAGACAACTGTGCTTCCAATGAGTAAGGAGGAAGTCACGACCTACAACACGTTGGTATGTGCGGTACAGTCAAACTTGCTCATCACTTCGATGGAAGGTAGAACATCTGGTGCGCAAGATTCCTTGCTTGACAAGTCTCAATCACGACACGCCAAGAGAGCGCTGGAGAATGTCCGACTGGTTTGTGCTGGGGGTACTCAGGTGCTCCCGACACTTGATCATAAGAATTGGACTGAGTTCATTAGGGACATTGAACTGTGCAATCCGCCTCCAGAGAATCTCGCGGCTGTCAAGCAATACTTGTCGAGGGCTGTGACTGGAGGTCTTTCTGCATGTGGTTCGTGCGGCATGATGCTCAGTACCCTCCTAGTTTTTCCTTGCGGTGATCTAGTTTGCACAGAGTGCGCCGATCGTGATTCACGTGAATGCGTTGTTTGCTCCAAACCATTTGATGTGGATCTATTTCAAAGACTACAGCCGGGAATGCTCTACGAGTGGCTGCATAACGTGGAAGAAGAGCTCAAAAAGAAGAAAAACAAAGGAGTGGGAACCAGTGTATCGAGTGTAAACGTAGAGGACTCAATCGCCACGCTGGATGGTGGTGCTGGTGTCATGGCACCATTGGATCCAACTCAACCACGTCGGCGAAGTAGAAAACCTGGAGATGGTCATGCCTGTTTATATAGCCCTAAAACTACAAATGGGGAGTGTATATTGTGTTGGAAGCAGCATGAGAGTTGCAACTTCATGACATCATCAAGTCAGTGTAATGAATGTTTTCAACGAGCTGAAGACTGTCCGGAGAGTGAAACAAAGTCTTTTCACGTTGTCACAAACCTACTTGGACTGTACACTCAGCAGCAGAATCGGGGCCAACAAATTGCTTCCCCATCTTCGATAGAGATACAGCTAGCGACAAGGCGTCCTCTAAAGGCAATCGTTTTCTCTCAGTTTCGAAAAGTTCTCAACATGGCTGGGGATAGACTCCTTCGAAGATTTGGAGGTGGTTGCATAGCCGAGTACTGGGGTTCGTTTCGGCGGAAGGAGTTATCCAGATTTATTCATGATGATACATGCTTTTGCATGCTCCTTGGAAAAGATGGCAGCGAAGGTCTTGACCTTAGCTTTGTAACCCATATGTAAGTTTCGATGCAATGTTCCATGGTGGCATTTGACGACATCTCACAACCATCAAACTTCACAATCAATCCAGTTTCTTCATGGAGGAGGTGTGGGATAAATCTTTGCAAGAACAGGCAGTCGCTAGAGCGTGGAGAATGGGTGCCAAGGGCTCGGTCGTCGTAGAGACCCTCGTGGCCCAGAATAGTGTCGAAGAGACAATGGCTGAAATGGAGAAAGGGTCTTATAATCCAGAGCTGACAATTGACAGGGGTAGCGACCTTGCTGGAGCAGCCAAACAATCAAAGCTAAAGAGCTCCGAATACCAACGTGCAAAGCTCCAATACCTGTTGAAGGGACTTGCGCTTGTTACAAATCAGTATACTTCTTCATTTGGAGTTAACAAACGCCCAACGCCTATCGCGAGCTCAATTTCGGAACCGCTTGCCAAGAAGCAGCGATTACTAGACAGAAGGGTTCGTTTTCAAGAGTGAAGTTGTAGATGTCTCGTTATTAATCCCAAGCCAATTTAAAGGATGCCACTAAGCGTATTCTCATTTAGATCTCCCCAGTCCAGTCGTCTGATCTTTGCCACTATACGGCTCAATCGTTCCATTCCAACTCTCAAGACCTCCGGGGGAACCCACGCATAACAAATGCGGAACATTCCGGGCATCTGTTCTCTCATACTGTCGCCAGGGGTCAATATCACACGAGCGTGATCAATAAATAATTGGCATAGCTTTGCTTCCCACTCCTTCGTTTTTTCTGGTAGTATTGCGCTAAAGTCAACATAGACAAAAATGCCTGCCTGCGCTGGAACAAATGGTAGCACCCTAATGAATTCAAATGAAACGATGAGAGAATTGACATCACAGACCAATCACAATCTATTCCGACGTACATTTCTTCTAGCTTTTGTACACAAATTTGATAGTTGTTCCGTAACCTTGCACTGGATTCTTCTAGATAGTAGTCGACAAATTTATCATCGGTCATCAGCTCTGCAACAATGACTTGCATTGGATTGCTAACACCTCCGAAAATATTCAGATTTGACAATCCATTAATGTAATCTGCAACGGTAGAGAATTGAATATAATACGACGATTCAGAAGATGTGCAAAATATGAGTCCAAGAAAACTGTTCAGATTTATCATACCTTTGTTCCCACTCAAAACAAACCCAACCCGCAAACCACTAGCACCGAAGTCTTTCGATAGAGACCAAACCATATGTACATCGTCTCCTAGTTGTCCATCCATAATCCGGAGAACAGATTGAAAGGTGTCTTGAGGAGCTGACAATGCATAAATTTCATCTACAATGGTATGCATCTTTCTCTTTCTTGCCCAAATGATCGCATCTCGAATCACTTCAGGGCGATATATGGTCGCGAGGGGGTTATTCGGATTCGTTAAAAGTAGAAAACGCGGATTCAATCCTTGTGATCGAGCTTCCAAATATGCCATGTCTAGCTCGCTTTCGGTTGGACCTTGTGTCGGTCTAGCAAGTGAGAAACCAAAAGGAGTTATCTCAGCTACTAGAGACATATCACTGTCAAAAGCACTGTAATAGGGACGAGGAATTAACGCTGCATCACCACCATCACCGAGAAGAAAGAAAAGGCTGTTGAGGATTCCTGCAGCCCCTGATGCAATTCCGATACTGTCGGGACTGATTGCAGCCAAAGCCTTTTCGATTGAAAGCGAAGGCAAGTGCGGGTAAAGGAACCTTTTGGCAAAGAAATAAGCCGCTGCTTGCCGAGCAACTGGTAGTCCTAAGAAGGAGTTGTATGCATAAACGCTGTCATCTGAGAATGTTGTGCTTGCGGTCTGCGGTTGCATCAGCTTTTTCGCCAAAAGGTCAGTTGCCAGCTTGTTCTCAGCAACACAAAGCGGAATGTATCCGTCTGGATGATCAGGATCATAAGGATATTGTAGTCCTAGTAAGAATGATTCGAGGTATGGAATTGCAGGAGACAGCGCTCTTTGCTGACAACGTGTTGAGATATTGGATTCGGTTGCCCTTTTCGAAATTCGAAGGCTCCGTCCATTTCTTAGACGTCGCTCTTTTCCTTCTCTGTGTTTCTTCACAGTCCACCACGCTGATGCAGCAAAAAGAACGCCTGAGATTATGGTAAGTGATCTCTCTTGATCTCTGACAATCTTCATTATTTCTTTGACATCGATCGTATGAAGTCTTCGCGTTGAGGTGAGAGAAGTTTGACATGAAGATCTGAAATGAATCCGCGCGTCGATGTTTTCGACTAGCTTGACTGTGAAGGCTGGACGGCGCGTTTTGATATTTTGAACACAGTACAAGTATCCATGTACCTAGCACCAGGTACGTGTATGTGTACAGGTGTCCGCTACCAGGCGGAAATGTCGCGCCTGCCGAGCTACACGTACTTGGGTGGAGCTCGCCAATCGGACGTGTCACACACTGTTGTTAGCGATTTTGGATTTGCCTCCAACAAACTCGAAATTATCTCACAACAAGCAAACTTCGATCCTCACTGTGAAAATGAAGCCATCTTGCGAATACCTCGTCTTCCTTGCGCTACTGGTAGGATCCAAGGCACTTGATCTTGAGCTTAGAAAAGTTGTATGTGACGAGACGCTTCCCGCATACATTGCGACAGGGGATATCAACTGGAGATGCAATGGAGGATCCACAAGCTGCTCCATGGGAGAGCACGTTTATATTACAGGAGGACGTGAGTGACCATATCATTACAGCGTTGTTATTTGTCACCGTTTCCTTACTCACACTGCCACGAAATGAAAACAGTTACCTACAACCAACTTGGGGCGTACTTGCAAAACAACAGCACAGCATATGCTTCTGCCAAGTTGCAAATGTTGACACTGGAGTATGAACTCTTTCAACTTCTACCATTCAATTTTTGTGGGGATTTTGTGACGAGTAGTGCTGCTAATGGAAATATGACCAACTACACCGCTTGCCCAGACGACGGCCGATACACCTTTAATCTTGACTACACCCTTCCAGAAAACCAGGACAGTACATCATGGTTTGCAAGTGGCTGGACTGCAACTTCTGAAATCATGATTTATTCTTCACGGACTGAATCTTCAACAATCCTAGCCGACTGCAAACTTGAATTCCATACTTACGTCACACACGACCAAGAATCAGCACAGTGGAAAGAACTGCCATCTGCAGCTACCATCACATTTGCGCTCTTGACTGTCGCAATGTTTCTGTGTGTGATGGTATGTTTCCTTGCCTGCCGAAAAACGAAGACCCAAGAAGCCAATCATGAATTTGACGATTTCCAGAAATACATTGACTCCATTGACGATGAAGAAACTGTTGATACCCATGTTGAAGTTGCCCGGAAAATATCGAGAAAGCTGAGGTATGGAAGCGCTCCAAAGCCAGAGCTGGCCTAAGACAAAATTACTATGCGCAGCTGTTGATTGTAGAATATTACTTTTTGTACCCACAGTACTTCTTTGCTTGCTGAGTTGCTTTCTCCTACCAGGTACTCCTGTACTGTAGAAGAAACGAAATTTTGTAGAAGTACTTTCAAAGTCCTTCTGACTACGACAACATCGTCATTCTCGCAAACAAGAAGATGTTGTCAGACAAAACGTGGGGGGTAGTCTTGTTTTGGTTAATTGGGTGCGCTCTCTCATTCTCAAACATTCACCAATGCAGTCACAAATACTTCCAAGTAAGAGCATGCGCTTTACAACATGAAACATACAGGAATTCCGAGGGTCGGAGATTGTTTTCATCGAAAGCTGACATTGTAGTTGTGGGAGGAGGAGTGAGCGGGTTGACGGCTGCAATAAGTGCATCCAAAGCCGCAAAAGAGAGTGGAGCCGAATTGAAAATAGTTCTTGCAGAAGGAAGCTCCAAGTTGGGTGGACGCGTGCAGTCGGAGGTCACCGACGATGGCTTTGTGTTGGACATTGGATTCGCAGTTTTCATCGATCAGTACCCTCAAGCAAAAAAGCTACTTGACTTTGATTCGCTTCAACTGAAGCCATTCTTGCCAGGAGCGCTCGTCAAACTAGATGAGAGGGAAACCTTTGCGAGAGTGAGCGACCCCCTCCGACAGCCCAAAAGACTAGTTGGAGCTATTACATCACCGATTGGATCCCTAGCCGACAAGTTGAAACTGGGACTCCTTATTCTGAATGTAAGGAGAAAGTCAATCAGCGAGTTGTTTGAAGAAGAAGAATTGGACACCGAAACTGCATTGCGATCAAGATGGCGACTCAGCGAGAGTATAGTTGAAACGTTCTTCAGACCATTTTTGCAGGGTGTCTACCTTGCCCCGTTGAACAAACAATCATCACGCATGTTCTCCTTCGTTTTCAAAATGTTCAATGAGGGCGCTGCTACGCTACCACGTGGAGGAATGAAGGCAGTATCTGAGCAACTTGCCCAAAAGGCGCTAGATGCAGGGGTTGAAATCCGGAAAGAAATGCCCATCTCGTCGATTTACAAGGTGAGAGACGGAAGTTCCTTTGTAGTTGAATCGAAGGCGGCCAACAAAAATTTCGAGACAGAATGTGTAATTGTGGCGACCGAAGGACCAAACACCCGTGAGCTAATTTCTCAAGTGGAAGGATTTGAGTCCATTGCAGACCTCCCGAAGCAACCACAACTATCCGTCGGGTGCATGTACTATTCATTCCTAGGAGATCCACCAGTTGATGAACCCATCCTGATACTAAATGGAAAGGTTGATAGTGGCCTAAGCCAAGGTGCTGACCCAAAAAGTGTGGTGAATACCATGTGCTTTCCATCTGTAGTAAACGAAGGCTACGCACCAAAGGGGAGCAGTCTTTGCAGTGTCTCCATATCTGGCAAGGTTATGGAAGATTACGAAGGGAAAGACGAAGAATTAGACGCTGCTGTTCGATCAGAACTGGCCTCTTGGTTCAAAGACAGGAACACTGAGATTCTTGAGAAGTGGAAACTGAGAAAGATCTATCATGTGCGTGTCTATCGTTGCTTTGGTTGATTGTATGCAATATTATATTTCTCACTTCATCTCTCCTCCGTATATCGATAATCACTCTCTGCTTTAGATTCACAACGCACAACCAGCACAACTGAATGGACCATGCCCATCTAATGTAAGTGTTGTAAATAAATATGAAAGCGAGATACCGCGATCCCCATGGTGTCATTCGACTGAACCATCTCTTCTTTTCAACTCAGGTCAATGGGGGGCGACCGTGCACCTCGTTTCAAGGAATGCCAATTCCAGATGGGATGGTAATCTGTGGGGACCACGTCGCTACTGCCTCACTGAATGGTGCACTAGAATCTGGTGCCAAAGCTGGTGCTGCGGCAGCTGAGATAGCCGTCATAGCAAAGAAATAGACATAGACTAGATTGCTGCACGTAAACTGTCATGATTTAGTAGACTCTGCTTATAGATTTGCGGAATGAACAAACTACAAATGCCTACTATTTTGCGGGTGCCGGAATGTGCATCCAAAGAAATAGCGGCATCGGATGCATCCTTGTGGGTTGGTGTGGTTGGTTTGTTTGGTCATTTTTGTTGGGTATCTATTCCTAGTTGTATGTATATATGAGTGTGACAAACAATTAGTTTCGAACTATACAGTTCGTCCATGGAGCCAGCTAAAGCGCCTTTCGGGCTCCTCTTCGTCCACTTTCTTCTTCTTGTTCATAGATCTCTCGGCAAGCTTCTTGTACCGTTGTGGGAGCTTGCATAGGTACTCTCTTTCCTTCTCTGCTTCAGCAGAAAGCCCCTCCAAATGCTCCAAATCCCATCTCTTGACCAAGTGTCCAATGATGTCAGCATAGTCAAGTGCAGTGTAGACTCCTAGTCGTTGGGCAATAGAGGAAAAGTCATCGTACAGACTGTCGCTGACGCCGTCAGTCATCAACTCTGCTGGCATTGAAATTTGACCTCTCATCATGTCTCCAAAGACCATGATCAAACCATCAGCATCTCGCTTCAGAATTTCTTCGCAGAATGTTTGGTAGGCCTTTTCGTGACGTGCTTCGTCGCCGGCAATTTTGGAACAGATCTTCTTCAAACTAGAGTCGCCGTACTCTCCAGCAAGCTTACCAACATTTCCGTGGGAGACCTTGGTAGCTCTCTCTTGGAATGACGTGTAGACAAATCCTCTGTAAGGATCCTTGCGAGCGTCAGGATTGAACCCATTGGTAATCAAGTGTTGAATTGTAACTTCGATGCTTCGCATGTCGCATCTGCCACCAAGGTACAAGTATTTGTTCAACAGGTCACCGTGTCTGTTTTCTTCTGAAGTCCAACCACGGCTCCAGCGGGCCCACGCACTGTCTGCGTCTCCCGTTGGGTCGTCGCAACCTTCAAATGTGTTTAGAAGTGTCTGATAGGTGGGAAGCGCCTCTTCGGTGACCATGTCTCCCACGAGAACCACCATGACGTCATCTGGTACTCCCTCCGTCATCTTTCTCAACTCCTTTACTTCATCTTCCCATCCTTCCTTGCTCAGGTCTGGCAAGAAGTCTTGAGGTTGCCAGGAAGCTTCACCAGTTTCCAAAAGCTACGATTTGATGGGCAACAATATGATGGAATTGTTCCGATCGTGGAGTTTGAATAGTGAGAAAGAACGAGATTTAAGGTGTAAGTCAAGGTGTCAAAAGTCAAAAAGATGTCAACAGCTTGAAACGCTGCGCTGGACTGCCAAAAGTAAGCACTTACAATTTCATCTACCATTGCACCGGCAATAGGAGCAATGTCTTCAATCACTTCAACATGCTTTGGGTGCAAAAAGTTGGTTGCCTTCAGTCTTTGAAGCAAAGCGTCTTCACCAAAAGATACCCCACAGATATCTTGGTATTCTTGCTTGGTGACAGTAGTGGGATCTACAGCAACCATATTCAAGCTAGTTGTCCCACGACTGATGGAGTTCGATGGCTGAAAACCATTCGAAGTCGCCACGATCGAAGCGACAAAGGTTCCAATAGAAATCTTCATAGTACTGACGTTTCTGTATAGATTGTTGAATGTGTAAGCTAAAGTTAGATGAAAACCTTGGTCAATCTTTCCTGGAAAGAGTCGATTGATGGGTTGCAGATCGAAATGAGCTTCAAGTCTTGGAAAGTCTTGATGTTTGCGCCTGAATTCTAAGACAGGAGAGGCAACAACCAGGAAGACAACGTTTTCTGATTGCTTTAGCGAATCAATTTCCTTCAGCTGTCAATTTGTGGCGTCACCAACCTTCGTACATTTTCTACGAGACATCACCGTAGACTTACGTATGACATAGTTCTCATTGCGCTCTACGCGCAGATTTCTTACGCAATCTGCCTTCAAGATCTATTCAAAATCTTTCGCAACGAAACTAGACGAGTACTTTCCATAGGTGACGTAGCCAAATTGATTACGTAACGGCTCGAATTTTGATTACGAGGAGGGAGATTCGGAGCCGCATCACCAAATTCGAAAAGAGTGTTGGACGTGTCCAAGAAGATCGTCGATGTCATGATCGTAGGTGGGACTGCTGGAGAATGGCAAAGGCGTTTACTGTATTTGATATTTATTTCTCAACGAACCTCCAATCATCCGAAGGAAGTTTGCTTCTGGATGCTTCTCCGTCCACAGCCGCCAAGCAGTAATTCCTCCTCCTGCAGCAGCATGATTGGCCAGCACATACTTTCATAGATACTAAGTACCTTGTACCGCCGGTACATGCATACCGGTATCTCAAAATCAATTAATTCATGTTTTGAGCACGGTTGAATTTCTGCTACGCATGTTTACCAGTATTCCCAAGAAAAATTGCTGTTTTATTGTGATGTAACTTCTCATGTTCGGTAAGGTGAAACTGATGATAGTCATGCTCGTAGTGGTAATGACGGCTAGGTACTAAACTAGGCCGTATATCCATCTGAAACTAAATAGGAACGAGAGCTAAACGACTGACTCATTGGACCAGTTACCATTTTCGTTTGCCTCCATTTTTTCTCTTCGCTGCAGCTTTGCTTTATTGAATTGATTGGTGGTGATTGTCTGTTGTTGCTATTGTTAGTTTCGACTCTCAATGCGATTTCCAAGACCAAAACAGTGGACAAGCGATCGATTGGCGATCCAATCAATGCACAAGGAATCCAACTAATTTTGTTGGAGTCGGAGAATGAGACCATGTGTCTTCAGTTTGACTTTTGGTCTGGTTCTGTCAAACCTTATCTGGTCCTTTGCCCTTGTTCACTGGGAAGTCATACCTCGATCCAGCCCAAAAACAACGCGACCCCATAATTTCAATAATCGTGAAATGTTCCTGACAAGTCGACAATATGCTTCCTGGAAGAAATTGAGTGATGACATTGACGAGATGCCAGAGTCAAAGCGAATACGGAATCGTTCCACAAAACGAATATATCCCAAGAGTCGACCATCCGATGGAAACTTCCAACGGGCTCCACAGCGAAAGATCAACGATCGATTTAGAAATCCAAACAAAGGAGGAACTCAAAGGAGTGGATATCAAGTCCGTACACCAGAAGCCTTTCGCAATGTCTACGCAAGCAACACTCCTGACAAAATCAATCGTTGGATGAAAGATATCTACGACGAGCAAACAAATCAAAGCTTAAAGGATAAGACACCAAATCCCTTTGCAAGTTTGAGCAGTAGAGATGAGATCAACTTTGTCAAACTGCTACAAAGCAAACAAGCTTATGAAAGCATTCTTCTCTTTGTCCAACTTGGAAACCCTGACGTGAAGGTTTTCACAACTGCTATTTTTGCCTTGGCGTTGTCCCGGGGACCCTATCGACAGCGAGCTCTGGATGTGTTGCCCCTGATGGATCAGCAAAAGGTGGAACCTACTAGCCTCACCCTCATTGCCCTTTTGGGTTCGCTCGATGGTCCCAATGCCGTTTCCGAGCTCATGAGGACGATGGAACGTCGAGGGATTACCATGACAACTGAAGTTTTCAACTCGGCCATTTATGCTATCTGTCGAACTCCATGGGGACAATCCACGGCCGAGAATTCGGACTTTCAGGTGGCGTTGAACTTGTTTCAGAAAATGAAAGCAAAACGAATACAGCCGTCGTCCAAGACATATCATGCATTATTGCAAGTATTAGCCAAAACTGGAAAGGTAGATCTGGCGATACCGCTGCTGCGACAATGGAAGATGTCACCTATCGCAGTTATTAGATCGAGTGACTTTGTATGGCTCGCAGCTATGCATGTTTGTGCTCAAGCTTCTGACTGTGACACTGTGATCCAACTTGCTATGGAGATGCAAGAGATGGGATGCTCGCCAACTCTGAGGCATTGTTCCGCTCTTTTGCGAGCATTTGCAAGAGCAGGCAACGATAAGCTTGCGTTTGGTACTTTGCAATTGATGTTGGGCGATGTTGACACTGTTGAGATTGGAAATACACGGGAACTGAGGTTACCACGGATAGCTCCAGACCTTGTCGCTTTGAATACAGTAATCAAATCTTGCGCGAAAGCTGGCAACTTTGAAGGGGCTTCTTTAATCTTTCAGAGAATGAAAGCTGGAGAGTTTTTTGATCCAGATACCCATTACCCAATAAGCCCTGATCTTATTACATTTCATAGTATGCTTCAATCGTGCCGCGATGCCAACCTGGCAAGAGACATTGTCAGAGAGGTAAGACCGTTGACAGTCCACATGTTGATGGGTGTCCCATAAAAACTCACAGGCCAAATTCTCTGATTTTATAGATCAGGTTCTCGAGGCGTAACCGTTTCGGAGCGGTCACTCCAACAAACGTCACCTATGCACATGCGATCAACGTCTGCCAAAAGGCGGATACCGTTGATTTGAAGCTAGTTGATCTACTTTTGGGTTGGGCAAAAGACGACAGCATCACACCTTCAGTGTTTATGTATGCCTCTGCTATCTGGGCCGCCCATAAGTCCGGTAATTGTGAGAAAGCTCTAGGCTACTTCAATGCTATGGAGTCGGCAGGATGCATCCCAAATGCAGTTGCATTTGATGGCTTGATATCCGCTCTTGGTGAAAAAGGCGATTTTGAGGAGGCTGTAAAGCTATACGAGAGAACTCGTGGACTTGGTAACGAGGTTTCTCCTGCAACGATGATGGTGAGCATACTTGTTGTCTTCTGACTTGTCCTCACTCTAATGTAATGACAACTGAACATCCACTGTCACTACTTTTCCAGCGTCTCGCGTCCTCAATCCAATCTGTATCCAATCCAGACGAGAGGGAAGAGTTCTTGACAAGAGTATTCGAAAAAATGAGTGATCAAGGGCACTTCATCGACTTCGGGGGGGCCATTTTTGAAGCATTGATCAATCTCTATGGGTCGCAAGGTCGTTTTGACGAAGCGCTGTTAACATTCGACGCAATTGTTGGTCCCATAAACGGCGCTTGTCTTCGGTCAATACTTCTCTCGTGCAGTACTGCGAGACCACCTCGTTGGATGGAGGCAATCACGATTATGCACACCAGTGATGTTGTTGAATCCGCAAGCGGCCCAGGAAAGGTTGATCAGGTGGCATTGAGTAATGCGGTGATTGCTTGCAGTAAAGCCGATGAGTTCGAAGAAGGGTTGACCTTGCTTAACTTGTACGGGGACCCTGAGTCTTCCAGGTAAGTCACAGCACAAAATTCACTCAGTTTCTGATGTACTGTTGCTAAATCAATACTTCCCAGAAACAAATCGTATTCATCCATCTCAGTTTCAGCCATCGATTCCCTGATTGCTGCGTGTAGTCGGGGAAATCGCCCAGACCTTGCGATTTCTCTTTTCAATGAAATGAGTTCGGCGTTTGGAGTCCAACCAGACGAAAGAACATACCGCAACGCAATAATGACTTGCAATCGCGCAGAACATAAGGCCCGATATGAGGAGAAGCGTGCACGCGATACAGGAGAAACCTATTCATCAATAGAATGGTGGGAAGTCGGTTTGGCCCTATTTCGGAGGATGAAGGAGGAAGGCGTTAAACCGGATGTAAAGGTGTATTCGTCAGTGATTAGTGCATGCCAAGCAGCTGGCGAGTGGCAACGAGCATTGGGCATTCTCGAAAATCTGATCGAAGAAAGTGTTGACAGGGGCGATGTCTCTCTGCTGAACACGTACTGCTTCAATTCTGCAATCAGCGCCTGTGAGAAAGGTGGTGCCTGGGTAGAGGCATTGGATCTTTACGAGCGAATGGTAGATATTGGAGGTTCCATTCGTCCAAACTTTGTCACTGTAAGTAGTCTTATCTTAGCATTGGACAAGGCTGGGCAAAAGGATTTGGCGCAAAGCAAGTTCGAAGAAGGAGTGAGGAAGCGGATAGTTAAGCCATGGAGGTGGACGCAAAACGATGCTGATGAGTCAATATACGCCCTGGTAAGTATAAATGTCGTGTTGCTTACGGTCGCGATGGTGCTTCTAAACTTGAATTCTGGCAGGATCTTCACAATTTCTCGGCCGCAATGGCAAAGGCAGCTGTTCGGAGCTGTATGGATTCTTATTTCTTCGGAATAACGAACAGGATGCTCGACGATCGTGTTGGGAAGGACTTGGTTATCATCACGGGAAAAGGATTGCACACGAGGTCAACGGATGATCCAATCCTTCAACAGACAACTCTACGTCTACTCCAAAATGAGTATGGGGTCAGTGGTGCGGTAAAGGAATCAAATCAAGGACGAGTGATTGTCAACGTTGCAAAACTGAAGGAGTTTGTGACGAGTCGCTCATAATGGTCTTCTACATTTTCTCCAAGTTGACGCATGCTAAGTTTGCTCTATTTTCCTTCTTCTGCTACCCTCTTGTACAAGAAGATAGTTTCTGTCGAGGTACATCCTCGCATGACTCGGAAGTCTTCATCAAGATATGTCAGGTCCAACAAATTCGTTGGTCCGAGACTCTTCCAATGATCCCCTTTTGTCACAGTTGTACCCCACTGGACTCGATCAGGTTCAATATTCAACACAATGGAGGGTTCACCAGTAAACAATGACATACTTGTCTTGAGATCCCAGCTTCCATTAATAGTCACATAAAATGAAGCCGCTGATGGATTGACTTTAATCCATTCTTGGTATTCCACATCTCTGACATATTTCGTTGCGGTGAGTTTTTGTTTCAATCCCCCAAAGCGTCCATTGGGAAAGCTGCCGCCTAGTCCACTGAGTCCCTTGTTAAACTTCATACCGGAGGAGCTTGAGTAAATCATTTCCCAAGTCCCAGTTAAATCACTTGAATCGATGTTTCCTTTTTTCTGTTTGATGAAATTAGTTGGCTGCGCTTCAAGGGCGCTGACAATGTTCATTACTTGCTTTTGGTCCTTTTCTGTCGAGTCGAGACAGCAAGCAAGGGCTTCCTCGTCGTCATCATTGTCAATCAAATTAACAAAGCCCAAAAGATCCTCTTTGATTCTACTTGCCTGAGCAGCTGCTGCAGCATCATCATTTGCCTCTTCTTCATCGTCATCCTCGAATAGAACGTCAATTTTTTCGTACAGTGTGACAAACCCTTCTTCACTCAATTTCCCTGATTTCTTATCTTCAATCGAATCGTAAAAATCCTGCAGTTCAGATGGTAAAAGATCTTCCTCCTCGAGCATTTCTTGCAATTCAGCCCATAGTTTGAGTTCATTCATTCCAACAAGATAGTTCTCATCTGCAATCGCGGCAAACAACACGGCAGGAGGAAGATCATCACCCTGGACCATTTTCTTTGTCACAGGAAGGGTTGGTTCATTCGTTTGTACAGTCCCACTCTCGTCTCCTTCTTCATCGTCATACTCAAATAAATCATCGAGCCCTGCATTGAAGCTCAAGAAACCAGCCAGGTCAAGTTGCTCACTTGACGCCGCAGTCTTGCTCCAGATATCATCGAACTCTGATTGACCAAGGAGATTTTCAGCAAACAGCGTCTCGATCTCGTCCCAAGCTTTTAAAGCTACTTTGGATATCAACTTATTGTCATCACATAGACTATTAAAGGCAACCTTCAGTTCGGACTGTGCCGCATTCAATTCGACATTTTCGGGAGCCTTTGCCTCTTCTACAACATCGGCCTCTTTTTCATCATCTTCAAACAGGTCGTCAACGGCCTGATATATCTGCACAAAAGAGTCCGCACCTATTCTGGATTCGTCTCCTCCACTCTTCGGTGCTTTATCCCATATTTCTGTCAACTCCTCCATAGATAGATCTTCAACTTCCTAAATCATACGACGACGAAAGTAAAAGTGAGAAACCAGACTTTTTCAAGATTTATTCGCAATCCCTGGATCTATTTGTTTTCTTTGCCTTACCAGCATCTCATCAAACGGAGGTACCTTGCACAGTGTGTCTTTTGTCATCGAGTCTGACTCATCAGCATACTTGGAGAAAAGAGATTTTATTGATTTGACATCTTCTGCCTGTGCATAGTCTACGTTTGAACTACTTAGATGAAGGGAAAAACTGCTGAAATGGCGTGATCGTTCCTCTTCCAATGGGTTCATCAAAATTTGGTTGTATCCACCAGACTTTGTTGAAATACCATTTCTGTTGCTTTGCGGTCCCTGGACAGAAAAAGAATGGGCCGCCTGAAGCAAATTGACCGACACGAAAAATGCAGTCTTCATTCCTCTTGTAGATTGTGATGAATTCTTCATGCCGTGTGGTTTTGTATTGCATTCAAATTGGCGAAGATTTGTATCATTCTCAGCGTTCTTCATCGTCTTCTCTCGACGTGGAACCGCACGAATTGGAAGCGTGTCGTACGGCTGACAGGACCAAAACCACTACTGTGGTAGCAATGTTTTTCACCTGGATACTTCTCTGGATTGTTTTACCTACCTATTAGGCCCAACCTCCAAAATGGTGCAAGCTAGTAGGTTTTTTTTCTATTCTACCCTCTTCAAGGACTACATTATTCAAATTGCTGATCTTTTGTTACAAATTCATGTTGTGTGGTGAGCGAGAACAAAGACTACACAATGATACTAATGTACAACAACAACAACAAAAATGCCTCACAAGTGAAGCCCATGGTCTATTGCGAAATAGCAACGGACTTGCAACGTGTGACAAGCATCACGGGAGGTGTGCTGTGGGATCTTGCGCTCGTATTTCTCTTTCCCTCGAATATTGGTTTCTTTCATTGGTACATTCGACGACCTTCCTAAAGTTCAAGGCGCCTCTAGAGGTAAATAAGACTACTGTAGATAAATATCGAAATTGCGCAAGCCAGCGACCGTGATCAAAGAATATCGATGCTCCTCCCCAGTTTGTTCAGCTTATCAGTCTCCTTGTTGAAGGTTTGCCATCGATTAGTGTAGATACGACTCTTGGTATGATCAATCTGTGATTCCCGGGATGTGCAACGTGTATGTGGGGGGCGGAGGATCTTTTGCGGGGTCCCATCCAAAACCGTAGCGACATAGAGCGTAGAGTCCGTAGAACATCAGCACCAATGCAAGCATGTGGTTGACAGCCATTTTCATTCGAGCTTCTTCATTGAAGGATTCAATCTCGCTTTGAACGATGGCATGTCGTGTGAGAGGCAGCCCTTCATTGCTGCGATCCACTATGCCTCGTTGACGAAACCATACTGACATGGATTATGAGCTATCTTGCTGTTCTTGGGTAGTACTGTGGCCGTGCATTTCTTGGAAAGGATTGTGATACCGGTACAGGTTTTTGGTTTTGGGGCTGAAAAATGCGATCAAATAATCTTCGAATACTTATTTTGGAGCCAATTTTTGTACTCAATTGTACTTCATTCCCTGACCACCTAAATTCACAGCCAGTGAACGATCTCATTTTTCGTCAACATTCAATCCCATCATTCACAATGGGTCGCCTTTCTCGAGACAAAAGAGATGTTTTCTATCGACGTGCGAAGGAAAAGGGATACCGTGCTCGTTCCGCATTCAAGTTGCTTCAGCTAGATTCTGAATTCAATCTGTTTGAAGGAGTCAAACGAGCAGTTGATCTTTGTGCGGCTCCAGGCTCTTGGAGTCAAGTTCTTGCTGATCGACTAGACTCAGACGATGCCAATCCCAACATAGTTGCTGTAGACTTGCAACCGATGGCACCGATCGATGGTGTGCTTTGTATCCAAGGAGATATCACTTCGTACGACACCGCACGATCGATTCTGAGCCCTTTCCAGACAAATAGAGCAGAGCTTGTGATATGTGATGGTGCTCCAGATGTGACGGGATTGCACGATTTGGATGAGTACCTTCAAGCACAATTGTTGATTATGGCTGTCAAGATCACAACACACGTCCTTGTAGACGGCGGAACATTTGTGGCAAAGATCTTCCGAGGCCGCCATGCATCTCAGCTCTATGCTCAACTGAGACTCTTGTTCGATCGAGTTTCAATTGCAAAACCGACAAGCTCCAGAAACTCGTCCCTCGAATCCTTTGTTGTCTGGTAAGATTTTTGGCTACTGTGCAATGTACGTCTTTATGATTTGCTAACCGATGTCATTGATGCGCCTGCCCTTTTGCTCTACAGCCAACAATTTAAAGGTGCACCATACTTCAACTTATCGCTGGACCAAGACACGGTTCTCGAGGGTTCCGACATTCCTCCGGCGGTACCTCCCTTTTTGGCATGTGGTGATCTTTCTGGATGGGACGAGTCGGAACAAGTTATGATGGATGCTGACAAGAGTTACCCGATCGAACAAGATTATGTCGCGCCCATTGCTCCACCAATTCTTCCACCCCACCAGGCTCAAAATGTGCAGAAAGCCAATGTAAGTTTTGCTATACATTTTACATTTTGACAAACACGGCAAATACCTTATTTTGGCGGCAAAGTTATCCTCCTCCATGGATGCTTTGTACGTCATTTGTCCTGCCAACATCAATGAATCATTTTGCCCTTGATCAATTGCCATTTCACTTTTCATCAAGCTTTATTTTGAGTCGACAATTTTTTGACACGAATTGACTTATTTTTTTCTCTTTTACCTAAAGGGAAAGGAATAATCACATGTAGTGAAATATGAAAGTTCTATTGAAGCAGTTACCTGGAGGCAGAAACCACGTTTTGCGTGCAGTAGAGCTGGCGTTGTCTAGATCTGATTCAAGGATCTTAAGGTGATGATGCGAGGAAGATTACAGTATGATGTGAGTTAACAAATGCCTCGCCGCTATTCCCTATTACACGGCAAAAAAAGAATATTGGCGGCAGAGTTATCCTTTTTCTATGGATGCTCTGTACGTCATTTGTCCTGCCAATATCAACGAATCATTTTGCCCTTGATCAATCGCCATTTCCACTTTTCATCAAGCTTTACTTTGAGTCGACAATTGAATTTCAAATCTTGAGCTGGAATACTCATCATATCCTTTCTCCTCTGTTTGGTTTTAAAAAGCTGGTAGACGTTGGAATTATCCTCTGACATCACGATTTGTCAAAAGACGCATGCGTTCTTGCAATCAACTTCTGCAGACTTTACTACAAGATGAAAGAGGGACCTTGCGCAAAATTGCAAGATATCATATTGCAAAGCCTTGTCCACTCTTGAGCAGAGGCAGCTACTGTCGCTACTACCTCTCTTTCTTCAGCAAGACTAATCATCAACTCCTGACTGATTCTTTGGTTAGTTTCCCTTACATGTATATTCGCAAAACCTTGGCCTTGATTGAATCAAAGTAACCTTGATAATTTGGTACTTTTTCTATTCCTTTCGTCTCCTTCAATATCTTGAGCTCTTGCAGAAGCGACTCCATCTCATTTACATCATGCTGTGGTTGATTGAGCAGGTTCTCATACTCCCAATCCAAGGTTTCTAGTCTATCGCGTAGCTCTGCAATCTCCTCGTCTGTTTCATCACTATCATCTACTTCCACCGGTGCTTCGGTTTTCATGAGCTGAACTGCCAGAACCAAACCACTCTGGTTTGTCATTACAACGGGTGTAAGCTTTTGTAGTTTTCCTTCTCTCTGAAGCCGTAGAACCTTTCTCTAGATCGATTGGATGCGCTCTTTATAGTCCTCCACACGATCGAGCCCTTTCATGCTGGTAAGCTTCCGCAGCTCGGCCAAAAGTTGTGTCATCTCTTCCCAACTGGGAAATTCCTTGCGAAGCAGTCGAGAATACCTATGATCTAGGCGCTTAATTCTTAGCTCTAGTTGGATGGTATCCAATTCCATTTTCAATACCTCAACCTTTGACTTGATGTCTTTGCTTGTTGGGCCACGAAGCTCCATATTTGTGATTGAAAGTTCGGATACAGTAGATACTCTGTATTATTGTGCAATCGTGCGTGCTATATTCTTTCGCTTTTGGTGTCAACAACATCAGTTCTCATGTACGGTAGGTATGGAAGCAGGTTGCTGAATTTGGAAGCGAATGACGCGAGCAGTTGAAAATTCTCTCTTGCGCGCTTGTTCGATCCGCGCGATGATACACGACCAAGTCTCAATTTTAGTCCAACGGTCACGACAAAACTCGATTCCTCCGACTGCTGAGCAAGCCTCACAGATTTGGGTTCCAGTCTGGTACATTTGCTACGTTGGCCTACAGGGATCGACAAATGACGAGACCAGCACGGCACGGCACGCCTCCGAACCAAATTGAAAAAAGTTTGCATTCGTCCACTGTTTTCACCATCTTGTTTTGGGAAACTATTTTTGTTTAGCGGGAAGAAGAAACAGTAGTCAAAATGGGTCTTACTTTCTCACGTGTGTGGGAACGCATGGTAAGGGATAGCATTGCAACAATTTGTTGGAAGAATGGAGTACCATGGGGATGGTTCAAACGATGGTGCAAACCGAGTTGGATCCTTGGGGTCACGCCTCTCTCGTAGGGCTCTGGTACTTTTCCTACGTGTTTGGTCATTCCAATATTCCGACCATCATTTTTATGATTCTCACCAATTCCCCTCTCATCTTTGCAATGACGACAGTTCGGCAAGAAGGAGATGCGTATCCTCATGGTTGGTCTTGATGCCGCTGGTAAAACCACCATCCTTTACAAACTGAAACTTGGAGAGGGTGAGTCTTGAGTCATTGGACAAATAGTAGCTTTTTTGATTTGGATCCTTTCTCATATCCTTGTCTCTTTGATCTTTCTCTTTGCGTTACAGTTGTTACCACTATTCCTACTATTGGTAAGTTGTTTCTTGCCGTCATTATGACCGTTTGGTGAGATTAGACACTTTACTCATGCGAACGATTTGTCATTTTTTAGGATTCAATGTGGAAACTGTGGAATACAAGAACATTTCATTCACAGTTTGGGATGTCGGTGGTCAAGATAAGATCCGTCCTTTGTGGCGTCACTACTACCAGAACACGCAAGGTTTGATCTTCGTTGTCGATTCCAATGATGCCGACCGTATCGATGCTGCTCGGGATGAATTGCACAGAATGTTGAACGAAGACGAATTGCGTGACGCCGTCCTACTGGTTTTCGCTAACAAGCAGGATCTTCCAAACGCCATGAGTGCCGCTGAAATGACTGATAAGCTTGGACTTCACGGTCTTCGCCCATCTTACCGTCAATGGTACATCCAAGCATGTTGTGCTACTACTGGAGACGGTCTTTACGAGGGTCTTGATTGGCTTTCTGCCACTCTTGTTAAGAGGAAGTAAACTGGCTTTTTGTATTCATGGAGTGTGGTATCTGTCTGGGATTCGTCCGGGAATTGTTGCGTACGTTTAGAACAGCGTGAAATGAGATGATGATGCTGATTGTGCCAATACATCCCGAATGCAAATAGAATACATACAGTTTGGAACATCCCTCCTGTGTGGGATTTTCATTCAGGCACACGCATCTACTAATAAACAATATATCTTCATCGAACACACACTATCTCTTTTACCGTACAGGTATTATTTCAACTAGAACGAATCATTGTCCAGCAACGTGGTTTCTATCGGCGTTTCACACTTCACGGACGACGGTAGGGTGATATTCTTCGGTTTGTCAACTCATCGTTCGGCTCTATCGGGATGACTACTTCGATCGGCAAAACGGCAGACGCATGGGCTTGGAGAGCTTCAATACCGGTAGTCTAAAAGCATGTATATTATAAATCAAACACAACCATGAGTACCAAAGAAACAACATCCGTCGAGAACCGCTATGTCCTGTTGAAACTCGTCCTTTTTTTCCGTAGTAGGCCACTGATGAGTTCTTGACACCATTCTGTGCCATGGGCTGCTCCCAACACTAAGATCAGCAACTGGTGGAATCTCCCAGTAGCCTAAAGTGGCATTGATTTATTAAAAACCTTGTCTCTAATGGTTGCAAAATTGTAGATGGTGCGGAACTGCTATTTGAAGTAAACATGCTATGCTAACTTAAGTACGGCGACTTCGGCTTGCGTCACGTGCTCTCTTTCCCTGTCGATCTGCACCACCCTTGTTGTTGGCGGTTCTCTTCATACCACCGGGGAAGTTACCTCGTGGATTGTATCCGGAAAAGTCATTCTTACTGGCAGGATCATTTTGCTTGAAGCGACCTCTCTTTCCACCATGACCAAACTTGCGGTCAGCATTTTGTCTCTTCTTGCTGGGTCCACCACGATTCAAATACATATCGTCTGCATCGTCTTGCAGAGCACTTCCACGATTCTTGGCAACAGAGGTGGCCCATTCTTCCACTTGTTGAAAGTGCTCCTTCTTGCGGCGGGACTTTTCGGCCAGCTTGTTGGCATGGGACTCTTTGGCACGCAACTTTTGTTCGCGGTTGGTCTTACGTTGGGCAACAGCTTCCATCTTTTTGTTTTCAAATATCAGACGATCCTTGACCTTCGCCATGTGATCTAAAGGAGTTTTGAAGAAAGCAGAAAGCAAAGAACAAACAGTTAGCAACAAGAGACATTGAAGCAGATGAAAAGAAACAAAAAGAAACAAAAAGCAGCAGAAGAACGCACCATCCGTCTTGACCATCTCGGCAAAAAAATCTTCTGGTCTGGAAAAAGGTACGTTTGCCTTTTTGCATTGTTTTCTTGCCTCGTTGACACCCTCCAGGGCCATTTTGTAAAAGGCAACCTCTCGCTTCAAATCATCGTGGACATCGAGTGGATTAGCATCGGCATCTCCATGCTCACCAAAAGGAAGTGGAGTTTCAGGAATGATATCTAAGCGTTCGGCCCAAGGCAGTTTGGCGTGGGCTGCAACAAGTTCTGCAGTAACGACGGACAAGGCCTTGGAATTCTTGACATTGTTCGCCCGAAGCTGCTTGATTTTAGCATTTCCAACCTTATCTTCCTCTTCAGAACTTTCCTCGTCGCTGTCTTCCTCCTCCCTTTGATCTCCTTCTTCTTTTTCATCGTCATCCACCTCCTCTTCATCTTTGTCCTCTACTTCTTCCTCGTTGTCGTCGCTTGCTTTTTGGGGAGACTTCTTTGCAGATTTGGATGCTTTGGGTTCTTCAACTTCTTCCTCCTCCTCTACTTCCTCTACTTCCTCCTCGACCTCTTCATCCTCGGCACTAGACGAATCCAAGGTAGCTTCTTCCATTTCATCTCCGTCGTCATCGTCATTAGCACTTTCTTTCATTTGTTTCAACAAATCATCGAATTTACCGGACTTGATAGCTGAAGCGAGACCCTTGGCCTTGGCATTCCATTGACTCTCTGGAACATCCTCGTCGTCCGAATCTGACATGGCCGCAATGGCTTCAAGTGTCACCTTTTCTTCCACCACAGCCTCCTTTGGCTGCTTCTTCTTGTTGGTACTAGACTGCTTGCTCTTTTTGTTCTTTTTGGCCATTTTCTCAAATGCAATAAAAGGGGGAAGATGGAGTGTACTTTTTCTTATATACAATGAACAACTATATATTTCTCAGGAAGCGTTCACAAAGCAATGATGATGATTTCCTGTTGTAACGAAAACTGGTTTGTGTCGGTATCAGAAAATCAACAGAAATCAAAATCGACTGGTCAACCCCATAACTGCCGGACGTATGGCCAGGCGACTTCTCATTTCGCGCATTTTCCTTGCGCGTTCAATGGAAAAGATCGCTTCTCTTCTGCCGGATCGCCTTCCAGAATTGCCGATCTTTTTGAAATTACAGCTTGACCAGATCCTTTTTATATCCTGACACGCTGTTTACTTGTACTTCGTAGTTAGATTCTCATTTTATAATCACCAAGCCAAAGAAACCGTTCAACAATGAAATTCTTATCCCTCATTGCAGCCTCTCTCTTGTTGGCATCTTCCACTGGCTTTGCTCCAAGTCCTCTGTCAACCATCCGACCGACGGCTTCTCTTAATGCCATTTCTGAAGACTTTTCCGACTCGGCCCTTACCATTGCCGAGGCTGCTGCTTCTCTTCGCGGCAAGACTATTGTCGTCAAATACGGAGGTAACGCTATGACTTCTCCCGAGCTCAAGGCTGGATTCTGCCAAGATGTTGCCGCCTTGCAAAACCTCGGCATTCGCATGGTCGTCGTGCACGGTGGAGGCCCTCAAATCAACAGCATGTTGGAAAAGGTCGGCGTCGAGTCTCGCTTTGAAGGTGGTATGCGTGTGAGTACACCTGAAGTTGTTGATGTCGCTGAAATGGTCTTGTGTGGTTCCGTCAATAAGGAAATCTCGTCTACCATTTGCAGTGCCGGTGGTCGTGCCTTGGGTTTGTCAGGTCGCGACGACTCCTTGTTGCAATGCGTCAAGAAGATTGACAAGCAAGGGTACGATTTGGGATATGTCGGTGAAGTCGAGATCGTTAACACGAAACTCCTCAACGAACTCTTGGACATGGGCATTTGCCCCGTCGTCTCGCCAATTGGAACTGGCATGGGCGAGGAAAAAGACATTGCATACAATGTCAATGCCGATGTCGCTGCTGGAAGAATAGCCGGTGAGCTCAAGGCAGCCCGTGCTTTGTTCTTGACCGACATTGCCGGAGTCTTGGACAAGGACATGAAATTGTTGCCCAACCTGTCGTGTGACGACATGGATGGATTGATCGAGGACGAAACCATTACAGGAGGAATGATCCCCAAGGTTTCCTATGCCACCAGTGCTGTCAAGTTGGGAGTCGGCGGTGCCTTTATCACCGATGGACGAGTCCCCCATGCATTGTTGAAGGAAGTCTTGGGCGGAGGTGCAGCCGGAACTGGATCGGGTGACGGTGGTACCTTTGTGAGCCTGTAAATTGAAGGAATCGATTGTTGGATGGATCGGATCGGATCGGATCGAATTGATTCATTCCGGCTTTTACAGCAAGAAGAACAATCTAGACTCTAGACGTTACATACCTAGTACTGGTACTGGTACTGAACTTGATAGAAAGCAATAAGTCTAATGGGAATGCTATGTATTACTGTGTTACATACGTACATAGGATTGTGGTCATGAAGTATTATTATTCTACAGGAGCGCCATATTGTTGATGATAAAGGTTATCAATCACGCAGAGCGCTTCTCTGGCTTGGGATGCCACCCTGGTATTGGAGTACCAAAAGTTGTCAATGGCTTTCTCCAAAAGGTAGGGAATTCCTCTTTTGTGAAGCTTATTCTTGTAGTTGTTCTTGTGGTGATGGCTGCAATGAGCAGCAAAGTAGCCAATATTTTCCAAGTAACCACAAGCATTGCGTTGCAAAATGTCATCGTGTGGATAGTCGTGCATTTTGGTGGCAACAAAATCAATACAATCCGAGGTGGCCAAGACTTTTTTCATAATCCCATCCAAAGGACAACAACTTTTCGTCCTGCTTTGTTCCAAGGAAGAATCACCACGACTGGCATCATGGCGACTGAGGTTCTCCAGAACCAGCAAGATGTCAGCCGACAAGTTCAAATCATCTTGGTGGTAATGAGTTCCAATATTGAGAAGTAACGGGATGCCATTGTGCTCCAGTACGTGAGTGAGACTGCGGTTCGGTTCAAAATAGGTGATTTTGATGAGTAGAATCACGGTCTGGCTGGCAAAACAAAGGGACTCTCTCCATTTTTCAAGAGCTTTCAGCAAAACTGGAATAGCCTTGAGACGAAACAAGCGTCGACAAAGCTTTCTTTCGATCTTGTCGTCTTGACGGGAATCCCCGTCGAATGAAGCTTGGTAGCAAAGAGATGCAATGGCGCATTGGGCTTCGATTTCACTATCAGAATTTTGCAGACTTCGAAGAGTACGTTTCATCTTTTGTTTGATTTCCTTTCGAGGGCTCTCGAGGGCCCATTTTTCCGGCTTTCGGCTTGGCGGTGGGTGTTCTTTGGGTTTCGCATTCTCCTTGTCGTTAGCTGCTGCTCCTTTTGGGACTGGATGGTGTCCGCCGTAGTACAGATCTTGGAGCAGTTGGGTATTGACTGTAATCTCTAGCGCCATAAATATCAATTCTTCTTTTCTTACTTTAGAAAATTGTGCGAGCAAAGGGTTATAAAAAAAGCTACTGTATGATAGTCGTTGTGACGGTTGCAAGATGAGCTCTCCTGAAAACTCGAAACTACTATGTGGCAACGTTCCTTTTTTTCATGCCGAAGTCTGCCATTTATTTTGGGGGCTTCATCACCAGGCAGCCCGATGAATGAATCTCAAAAGGGGGGATTTGGTTTTGGCGCCAAAACCAAAGTCACACCATCGAACAAAACCCTTGTCAACAAAGCAACAGCAACACGACAAACCAGACAGAAGGATCCTTCTGCCACAAGGATACGTCACATCGAACAAAAGCCAGCAACAGTAACAAGACAAACCAGACAGAAGGATCGTCGTACCATAAGGATACTGATCACTCGAATATACCATGTCTTCGCCTCCCGCCGCATCTCGCAAACGAAAAAAGGCAGTAGTCAACAAAGCAGACGACCTTGACATTGTGATGAAAAAATGCCGCAAGCTCAAGGAAGAACTCCGCCTAAAGGCATCCAAGTCGACTTCTTCCCGCGAAGAGGAAGAGGAGCTTGGTGAAATCCCCCCCGGTATTATGGAAGTCACTGCAATGTCGACCACTGAAGTCTTGGAAGGGATTGAAGCCATAGCCTTGTCAATTGCAAGTCAAGTTATGCGATGCAACCCTAAAGGTTTCTCCATGGAGATTCCGTCTCGGGCTTCTTCGGTAAGTTTCTTCATTGCAGACGATCAAAGATCAAGAGTTTTGAAAGATTATACTCAAACGGAGTGTATTGCGTCACGGGATATTTTGAGAATATTCAACAGCTTACAACTTTCATTATTTATTTTCGTTCAGAACCAAGTGTATGTCAAGGCTTGGGACCGCATTGTGTTGGGTAGTAAACGCTCCTCCCGTAGTTTTACGAATGTTAAGGAATCCCGTAAATCAGCAATTACGCTGAGAGCCATGCAACTCATACACGCCGTCTTGGACAAACGAATCCACATCACCAAACGTGATTTGTTTTACACCGATGTCAAACTCTTTGTTGATCAGGCCGAATCTGATGGAGTCTTGGACGATGTGGCCACCATGATTGGTTGCACTCGTAGTAATTTAAATGTGGTGGCATCAGACAAGGGTTTGGTTGTGGGACGGATTCAGTTCGAGGAGGATGGGGATCCAATTGATTGTACTCGAATGGGAGTGGGTGGCAAGGCAATTCCTCCATACATTGACAAAATTGAGAACATTCGCAGTGATGCCGAGTTTGTGCTGTTGGTGGAGAAGGAAGCTGCCTACATGCGAATGGCTGTGAGTGTTGGTACTCGTGGTGTCCGGTCCTATTCTTTGTTGCAAGGTTGTAAATACTCACAGACAATATTTTCTCCTCCTCATGCCCTCAGGAAGATCGTTTCTACCACAAGTATCCTTGCATTGTGATTACAGCAAAGGGGCAGCCCGATGTTGCAACAAGGTAAGTTGATCTTGTCCAGACAATCACATTTGCTTGGCCTTGTGCCAACTTCTTCTCGCCATCGCATTTAGAATGTTTCTCGCGCGAATTTACAACGAGCTTCAGATTCCAGTCTTGGCATTGGTGGATTCGGATCCTTATGGACTGAAAATCCTTTCTGTGTACATGGTACGAAACACTTGTCGTAGTGACGCAACCTGTTCAACAACAAGCTCAAATTTCTGTCTTTAGTCGGGGTCGAAAAATATGAGTTATGATAGTGCCAGTCTCACTACTCCAGATATTAGTAAGAATCACCAGCCCTGAATCAATGTCATTTGTGCACTATGACTCACAAATATGTGTTTGTTTCTTTTTAACAGAATGGCTGGGGCTTCGACCTTCCGATTTGAACAAGTACGACTTGCCTGAACAGTGTCGACTAGATATGACAGAGAACGATATCAAGACGGGGCAAGAATTGATGAAGGAGGAGTTTATTCAGAAAAATCCAGAGTGGATGAAAGAGTTGGAAATCATGGTACGTTGTTTGGACAAAGCTTACAATGATCGTCTGGTTCTTGCTGGAGTAACGACTAATTCACGAAATGTTTCAGGTCAAGACCAAGAAAAAGGCTGAGATTCAGGCGTTGTCGTCGTTTGGCTTTCAGTATGTGACAGAAGAATATCTACCACGAAAATTGAGGGAAGGCGATTGGATATAGACTGAGTTTTAGAAAAAGGACATTCGATGCGTCGTGTGAACGGTAACTTTCCCCCCTAGCAAGTTTTGTTCAATTCTACGCTGTGACTATACCTCCTCTTTGGGGCTCATTACTGTGCCTAGTTCCAAGTCTTCTCCTCGTAAAATTTGCGCGAAGCCCTTGGATCCGCATCCCACAATCGTAACTGGCTTTGATATAGCTATTCTTGCAGCAGCCTTCATTTTGGTCTTGAATGAGGAACAAAGAGACAATGTTTAGCTTAAAATTGAAACAAGCATAGTCCAATCAGAATCCAATACTAACTTACCTCAAGCCCACCTGTTACATCGTGCTCATGACTCGACCCGGATGCTTTCACATCTATCATGAGCGATCCACTCTTTGGGTCGACAAATATATTGGGCAACAGCTTTGCATTTGGATTTTGTCGAGGATCTTCATCATACACTCCGTCGACATCAGTGATAAAAATGGCGTCTGAGACCCAATCTAACGATCCCAGGACTTGGAGAAGTGTGTCACCACTCAAGATAGCTGCATCATTACCATACATGCAAGCATCACCATGTAAGACAGGAACCAGGCCAGCATTTATTGTCCTCAATATGACCGTCTCCAAATCCTTCATTGGTTCCGGCTGAAGATGTAGATGGGCTTCGAGGCCAGGAATACCAAAGCCGGGAGAGATACCTACTGCATTCACACCGTGGTCAATCAATTTGGACACAACAAGATGATTGAGCCTCTGTACAGAAAGACGCGTTTCAGCAAGTCCTCGCTTGCGACGCCGATTCTCTTGAACTGACATATCCTTACTACCATCTGGTTCAGCTGTCTGTCCCGAGAGGCCATATACTTTTGCTGAGTGATGACCAAAAGATCCAGCACCATGAATCAAGATGAAGGCTACCCCCTGTTGAGAAATGCCTACGAGCCATTAAAAAGAAATAATGAGAAATAATTCTATTTCCCAACATCTTCGTTCGCTCTACGAAGTGAAAATACCTTGTTCAGATGCAGTGGCGTCATCTACTGCTCTAAAGTTTTGTCCAACATTGTCGGAAACAACACGACAAAACCAATCCAATACCTCCTCGTTTACCGACTCCTTATTTGCCTTGTTTGTTACCGATGAACCTCCTACCTTTACAATTACCACCCGTTTTGCATTTTTCACCTCAATCTTGCTCTTGGCCTGATCCATGGCAGTGTCAAGGTGAAGATCCTTCCAAAATGGAAGAGACGAAAAAAATTGGATGACGACAAATCTGATTGGGCGGTTAAAATACCAGTAAACCTTCACAATTCACCATCACAAAAATACATTCTGTGAGGACGACTGAAAGGAGTTCCAAGACGAAAGGCAAGTACTGCACAACTGTCCATGGCTACACTATAATATCCTAGTTCAATTTACTAGCTTTGTTGACATTCAGGATTCTCTCCATCACCAGGTGCAGATCCCGTTGGAAAATTCATTCCTGCCATTGCAGCTTCCATTTCGTTCTCCATAGCCTTCAGAGTATGAAAAAATGATGCACATGAGATAAAGGGCGACAAATCAAATGGAAATAGTCCATCAATGCGAAATAATTACCTGTCCTGTAAACCACAACACGGCCTTGGGAACAATGTGAGACCGGAATGCTTGCGCGATGTCATAATCCTCGTCAAAGGCATGTTCAAGCCGCTCTGCATCTTGTTCGTTCATTGTGGAGAGACTTGGCATTTTCGGGGGAGTAAAGAAGTGGAAGAAGGATTCTTGTTTCTCCTGCTTTTTTACTGCTCTGACTTGGCCTGCATTTTTTCCTTTCCCTCTTTGCTGCCTGATAACCTCTTTGAAAGTGAGACATTTACCTTCCTTCCAAGTTATCTCGCATCCTTGAACATCCTTCAAGATTGGCTCATCTGCAAGTAAAAGGTTTGGAACCACGTAGCTCTTTGTCAATATCGTATTTTCGAAGTAATCATTTGGAGCAAAATGGAAGGACAAGGTGAAGCCTCCACCATTTTCATGGTCTACGCATTGAATATCTTGCAGGTGTTCCAGGCATTCTAAATCTGGTTCCGAGAGTAACTCTGCCACCGGACCCATGTGGCCAATGGCCGAAAGCCAAAACTGTGGGATTCCAACATCGTCGGGATCACCTTTTTCTGCGCTTTCTCCTTCGTGCTCCTTTGCAATTTCTTCATCTTTCTGTCCAAGCACAACTTGTTTTCTCTCTTCGTAGAGTGGTTCCGCAAGTTTGTGGTACTTGGCTTCGAGCTCCGCTCTTTCTTTCAAATATTGCTTTCTTTGTTCTTCTCGATCATTGTTCAATTTCTTCAGCCTTTCGACACGATGCATGATAGTTGGAGGAAACTCGACTTCCTCTGAGAATCCCTCTTGATCATCTTCACTATCCAATCCCGTACCCGGTGCGTTCACCATTGCTTCGGCGTAGGCATTCACAAATTCGGATTTTTCGACAAAAGAAGTAGTGAAGATTCCTACCGCTTGCAATTTCAATTTCAGTTCTGAAATCTTCATTCCTTTAGCGATCTCTTTTTGAGCATTTAACTTCTCCTCATAAGAGGCATCAGTATCGGCGTTTTCACTGTTAGTCTCGGCCATTGCTCTATTGTTTACTCGGCAAATAATCCTTCGTTGAAAAATTGTGATAATTTTTTGTGGTGGCAAAAAATCGCACGCTATTGCGCGATTGGCAGTTATTCGTGTCTATTGTAGCTTGCGCGCTGACCGACCATCGGCGTGTTTCCCAAACGCTGGACGAGACAAGCACCTTCTCATGGACACTTCTCATGGACATTTTTTGACCTCCTTAAATGAAGCAACTCTTCCATTTCCAATATGTCGTAGACACGGCATCTCCCTGTAAAATGTCCTGGTACTATAACCGAAGGCATAAACACGGCATAGGGAGAAACGGCTTTCGCGCCCGGACGACCTTCTCAATGGACATTTTTGGAATTTGTACTCCATTCACAATTCCATCAACCCGTTACTTTCATTCCATTACAACAGGTTGCTTTAGAAGCCCTGGCTATTCGAAAGGAAACCACATCCTCTCAACATACTCCATTTATACATACTACAATGAATTTCTTCCCTCATGAAGCGAGGGTTGACCTTTTCGAACCAGCACAGCAAACTGAATATCACATGGCGCCGGGAAACAGAACGGCTGCCCCCAGCATGATCTTAAGATCATCCATCCCCTATTCGGAGTCCAGTGTCTCTGGACGAAGAAAGAGAAACAAATGGGCAGAAGAAGTAAGTCTCGTATTGCATCGCGGCCCATTGCCAAACTTCTATTTTATAGTTTTAAAGCTGACAACGGACATTCTATTTCTCACGCAGGAGGACGCCATTCTGTTGGATACAGTCAGACAGGAGTCTAGCGGTAAGATAAATTGGCCACTTGTCGCTCACAGAGTCAATCAAGAAAGCGGCCAAGAGCCTCGGACTGGAAAGCAGTGTCGCGAGCGATGGCAAAACCATCTTCGCCCTAATATCAAAAAGGGCAACTGGACAGCCCAGGAAGAAGATATGATCCGTGTCTTGTTCGATGCGTATGGCCCAAAGTAAGTGTTTTCGCGTTTGACTATATCTGGTTAAAGCTTTGTTCGTCGCTAAAGATAAGTACTTTCTCTTCATTCAGATGGTCGTCGATGTCAAAACTCATGAAGAGTCGTACGGATAACGACATAAAAAACAAATGGTACTCCATGCAACGTACGGAGAAGAGCAAAAAAAGGAAGGTGGCCGAGACAATGGCGATAAAGAGATCATTGAAGACCAGGTCCAAAGAGCGACAAGAAATCATTGACCTCATCACCGTATCCAAAGCAAATCGGCCACCTGTCGATCGTGCACAGGACGAGAATCAAGCCATCGCGGCGAATGACACTCACGTTTATGACGATCTACAGCCATACTCCGCGCTATACCAAGGTTCATTTGACACAGAAGACGTGTCAGAACTTCTTGGTCTGATTGCGACGGATTCGTCCGAAGTGTAAGATTCAAGGAACCATATAAGCAAAGATTTGTGGGGAACACGAAGTCCAACTCTTCAAACTCCTACTTGTTATTCTTTTTCATAGAACACAAAGTTCAATAGCAGGCAGCTAAAAATAAAAGCCTCTTCAATACCAGCAATGCCAAAAACAGACACTATGGCCGTTCTCTGTGCGAGAGACGGAATCGTCGCGCTAGTTTCATTCGTACTTCTGAGGGAAAAGAATTTGGATTTTCGATTGCTTCCAACTCGACTTCACTCAGCTGCGCATGCTTGCACTGACATCGTACGAGTACAGGGAATTTAGGCTTATCGTCTTCATCCACCGGAGTGTTGGCATCGATAGCAAACCTTGCTTGTAGTTGAAACTTTTCTCCCCCACCTAGTTCGGAGACACACCAAATAACACTTCGTTTGGACGCATTCCATACTCCACCAGGCGGTGATGTTGTGAGGGTCTCCCCTCGAACCATGGGTGGTACGCCCATGATAATGGTGAGGTCTGTCAAATTGTCTTCATTGTGTGGATTGGAACTGATCTGTAGGGCGACCCGCCAAAAACGTTCCTCTAGCCGTACTCGTGTTTGAACTCGCTGTTTGAATCAAGATGTTGAAGGGTCAGCAAGAAATTGAAATTCTCTTTGGAGTATTCACTACATAACTTACAATTGGTACTGGCCGAAGTTCACTGTTGCACTTGTACCTTATTACTGGAAAGTAATTGTCCGCTTTCGGCACCGTCACAGTAAATACGTGATCCCCATCATCTTCTCCCTTAGTGTTTATCAGTGCAGCAAACTTTTTATTCTCCTGTATGGACTCAATGTGATGTAATGGATCACGAATGAGAAGATAAAATGGAAAGCCGGGTGCTTGAGCGTTGGATTGAATCTGGATTTGAATGCCGCCCTCAACAGTACAAGATGACATTTTGGATAGCTTGTAAAAGCAAGTGAGATCTTCGCTCAAGGCAACATTCACATGCAAGCGAGGCAAATCTTGGTCATTGAAATTTTGTCTGTGGCCACCATTGCTTCCTGGAGGCGTAGTTTGGGGAAACATGGACTCCATTGTTGTTTCGGAAGCTGTGGATGCTGTTCCTTCTCCAAACGGATCAAAATTCCGCCGCGCTTGGTTTCCATGCCCGAGTCGTTGTTCTAGAGGAGGAGAGCGAATTGGTGCTGATTCATTTTCACTGAAAACACTGGCACCCGTATTGTCAAAGGCAGAAAAGTCATTATTTCCAGAAAAGCCACTCATATCACCACGACTATTTCGACTTCGAATGGTATCAATGGAACTGTCGGTGCCAGGTTTGCCGAGTCTGTTGGGATCTCTCCCTGATGCAGGTCCTGCATTATTGCGATTCGGTCGCGCTGCAGGCGGGCGTTTGCCATCGCGAGATGACTGAGACTGCGAAGCAGCACCATTCGATTGGCGTTGGTTGGAAGATGAGGCAGAGCCCATCTTGTCAGGTTGGAAATCAAAGCCATCCAGATCGGCAGCTGCTTGTCTTCTCTTTTTCGACGACTTTTCATCGCTCGCTGTTCCTTCATATTTCTTGAATATGGTATCCGTTTCGACCACTGACAATACCTGCAATCGTTCCACCATTATTCTGGCCTTGTCCGCTGAATTTGTGATTGTGTCAAAGTCATCGTCGTGTTCCACCTTTGAATTCTTTCCTTTTTTGGCCTTTGTAGTTTTCTTTCGAGTTCTTGTCCTCATTTTGGTGTCGTCATCAAGTAATGTGCTCCGTAGTCCATCGGCCATGGCATTTGTGGTTCGATCATCGTCCTCTGTCAGAAGCAGTGTTGTCATTAATATCTTTGCAGCAATAATATCTCTCGATTCAGTCGAAGCCAAAATCTGCAAACAGTCTCTAATCCGTTGCGATAATGAATAGTGCAGCGGTGACATGACTACAGCTGAAGGCAAGCCAGACATTCCAATGCAAACAATGATTGATGAAATATCAGATTCGACTGCTTTGGAGGGAGGAGCTGTTGCTTTGGAGCTCGAAAAAATAAGCGGTACCAGTGTTGAGATGAGCCTTGGCTCTCGAAGAATGCGGTAGTGCAATCCAATTCCATTCCCCTTGTGCGGTCGAAACACTTCCAGGTCGTCTGAGTGAAATTTGGCATCCTCCCTTAGCAAGGCCGCTGCCATACGGCTACTCTCCGTCAATCCCTTCTTTGATTTCGTCGCTTTTGTAACAGCATTCACATATTGATGCAATTCTCTCAGTGACTCTATACAATCATCATGAGAAATCGTTGACAAAGGAGAGGGAATCAGAAAGGGTTCTAGGATGTGTGTAGATATCGTCTCGTTGCTGGCAATGTCCCTCTTAAAAGTCACTGACAAAGAAGCAAACTCGGGCCCAGGCGCCGCTCTTGAATGTAAAAGCTGCATTCTATAGAGTTGGCGTGAGCCTTCTTTGGATGCTTTTGTAGAAAGCTAGAGTCGAGTGGGTGCCTTTGTTGACAGGGTCGTTAAGACAGAGACGCATGTTCGCAATACCGGTATAAGATGTCTTCCGTGACATTTCAAAACGGTACTTTATTAGTTTTCTCAACATATTGGATTTGAGATTTGCTCGATGGGGTTAGGCTGACTGGCTCACTCAATCTTTGTATTCCTACCGCTATGTGTTTGCTATTTTCGCTGTGCTTCCATTGTCAGTGCATGTCTATTTTACCGATCGATCTTATAGCGCAGCATTCCGTTTCATTGTCAAGAAGATGGAGAAACGATGATACTAGTCTTCGGAAGTTTCAGCTTGACCTTGGAATACGAGTACTGTGTTAGTAATATTACCAAACTTCAAACGATGAAACTTCAAGCTACAACATCCTTTTGTATCCGAGAACCCTCGAGGATGTACGAAACTCTCTAGAAGAAAGCAATTATTCTGTATGGTGGGTGCAACATGACATCACATATTCGGTAGAACTACAGAAACTACATGCACGTGCATCGCTTTGATGATATTGAAGAGACATCCATCCAAAATCCAAATAGTCTTGATATGCCCGATCGCGGTTCACTCGTCAAGGTCCATTCCAATTCCTTTGTTTGAACCTTCTGAAAGTCAGTGAAATAAGTTTGCGTTCGAATGAATGAATAGCTGAAGACAAGTGCCTCTTCAAATTCCGAGCCAATGGTATTGTACAATATGGAACTTGGAACGGTTGGCCAGCCCAAGTCCATAGCCTTAGTTTTTGGACATCACTCGTTTAGCTTTGCCATCCTTCCACTCCACATTCTCCTTCCAAACACTATCATCCCCCTCATATACCTCTCGCTTCCAGATTGGAACTCGTGCTTTCAGTTCGTCGATCAAATATGCCACACATTGCAAAGCATCCCGTCGGTGTGGACTGGAGCAGGCCAAAATCACGGATGCTCTCTCGACAGGACAATCACCAAGAATGTGAACGGCAGCAATCTTGGTAACATCATATTTTTGTGAGGCTTCATCACAGAGCTTTCGAAGCTCTTTCTCAGCCATTGAGACATATCCTTCATAACTTAGTTTGACCACCTTTTTACCCTGAAAGTTGTCGCGAGTGATGCCAACGAACGTTGAAATAGCACCACACGTTGGTGCGGAAACAAAGGCGCTGCATTCTTCTAGACTCGGAATGTTTTCTGCAACCTTGATCCAGTATCGGTCAGACGATGATTCGTTGGAAGTTGCCATTGTTGATGGTTGTGGGTCGGAAGAGTTTCTTTGAGCAAGGTGGTGGTCACGTTGAGTTTGCAGGATGCACGATA